AGTATATTTCATCAAAAATTATAGAAAAATGTTAATACTGAGTTTGATAGTTTTTATTTTTTGGATATAATATTCACACTGTTTCACTTTAAATAAACGGCATAATGATTTGTACATATTATCAAGTGTTCCCTTCAAAAATATGTTAATGCTGTACAGTATTAGATGACCATAAAGTACCCCCTAATACGGTAGTGTTATTTTTATCTGCCAAAAAATATGGTCTGCATTAAAATGTACGGCATCATTTTTTCTTCATTCATTTACCCAAATACTATTTTAAACAACAATATTTCAAAAAATTTCTTTATTTTATTAATGTACGATAATCTAAACTTTTGCAAGAATTGAAAAAATTTCATTTTTTGTTTTCTCTATATTTTTTTTTAAAACAGTTTTTTTTAACGGCAATAATATAGAACAATTGTACTTAGCAATATCATGTTAAAAAACAAGTTGGCGTACAAGGTCAAATGATTTTACAGCTGTAAAAATCAAATATATGATTAAATTAAGTTAATTATTGATATATATTCAAATAAACAATAATTTTTAAACGGCATTATTTTAATTAATACTTCTGAGTGCTACAAAAATGAATTGAAACCGATGCCGTTCTTTTTCAGATCACCCCCCGGACCCATAGAAAAAGGTGGATTTCAACCCTCGATTTTTCTCCCTTTTTGCATGATTTTTGTACGGCGTTGCGGAATAATCAATTAGAATAGGTATTGAAATTGTATGAAACCGACGCCGTTCAAAATCAAATGATTAAATAGACCCGGGAAATTTCCGGAAAATCAAAAAATTTGTCCGACTTTGTGGCCAACTATTTTTGAACGGCACTACGCGCTTTTTTATTATTTTCGATGGATCTATTGGTGGTAGGAATGCCGTACAAAATCATATGAAAAAAAAGTACCCGGTTATTTTGTGCTTTTTAATTCTCACCTGCACTCAGTTGGACAGCTTACAAGTAACGGCATAGTGCTAAATGTTATTATTTTATGCCCCTATATCTTCCCATATAGGTTTCCTGGTGCATCAGATGACCCATCGATTTTTTAGGTCGGGCCTGTAGTCTATATGGTAATACAGCTGCGCTACAACTGTGGATAATATTAAATTTAAAGAAATAGTAGATATATATAGTAATGCTAGCAGATCTTTAACCATAATTTTCTCCAAAACGGCTGTACCTAGAAAGCTAATTACTATACACCGTATGTACGGTCGTAACCCTAACGTACACATATAAATTTATAAAGTTTCATAAATGTCTTAAAAGTTCAAGCTCTGAGTTCTCTGTAAAATAATATGAGTCTACGCTTTGTAGTATGCAGTCGTATACAAACACATACATAATAACGCTTAATAGCCAGGAATGGGGATGCTACGAAACTATGAAGCACTGCATAAAGAAGAGACCGCGAATAGGAAAAATTGTATAACTATATTCTGTCTTATTCTCTCGCAAGTTCAATCCTATAGATGAGTAATAATAATAATATATATGTTAACATATGTTGTCTCTTTTACTCTTTTTAGTTATGTAGCATTTCTGTAACATCGTCATTTCTGTAACATTCAGGGATTCTCGTTCCTAACATTCGGGTATTTTCGCCGTTACACCGTAACGCCGTTTCATCTGTTTTCAAATCACTCCAATTCTAAAGAAGTTTTTACTTCAATAAAAAGTCACAACCACCATATTTATTTCTCATCGATCCCAAAAATTCATACATTTCAAGATATCCAGAGGGTTGTTTGCAAATTAATAATTTTATCGACTATCAGAAGAATAGAATAAATAAAAGAACAAAATGAGATCAAAATAAATAAAAAATAAAAGAACAAAATAAGATTAAAATAAATAAAAAAATAAAAATGCAAAATAAGAACAGAAAAATAATAAAATAAATATTGTTATATTCTTATAATAGTAAGCGCTTTAAATTATTTTCCATATTTGTTAAAATGTATCAACGATTCTAGTATTATTTTAGAAATTGTGTATTCGAGTGGCAGATCCGGTTCTTTTGTTTCTAAAGTTTGACGAGACCTCTTCTTTTTGTACCATAACATTCATTTACTTGTCCAACTTGTTATAACTATCGTGAAAAAGATGCTGTCATATACTCTCGTCGGTTTCATTCATTTTTCATTTAATTACATTTTCGTTAATTGCTCTTACTCTCTCTCTTTCTTTCTATTTGTAATATTTACTTTTATTTTATAAAATTTTTCTCCTCTCAAGAAACAAAAAGAAGACATTCACGTTATTTTCTGATCTCATTAGTTGTCATGTCTTTTTTAAGAAACGAAGAAAATAATTCGAACAATCATTAACCATTTACGTTATAATTCGATAATTATCAAATCCTTTTGGATAAAATATTTTTATTCTATCTTTTTGATTATTATTATTTGTTTTCTTATTTTTGGTATTTATTCTTGATTGAAACAATGGATTATTAAATTAACTCGCGTCAGGCTCGTTCGTTAACACACACATACAAACAGTATACACGGACATTGAAATAGGTAGGAAACTATATAATGCTTATCTACTTGCGCTTGTTTAATCAATTTCTGCGGGATAAGCTTTATACGTACCATCGTAAGCCAATGCAATAATAACGAGTTATTATTAATTGCTGAGAGAGAAGGATAGGTAGGTAGGTAGGGGGTGAACGTTATTAGCAAAAATGTATGAACTTCTAGAACAGATTTGCAGTGTAGTTTCAATCTATATTCGCAAATACCGATATTCATTAATACTTCCAACAACCCCTATTCTCATCGAATGGGTAGAAAAAAAATTATTTAATAAAATGCAACGAAAGAGAGAGAAAAATCCGATTAGTTATGTTACAATATTTATTTATAATTAGGCCACAAGAGAGAGAGAGAGGGAGAAATAACAAAAAAAAATTCATTTCTAATTGTAGTTTTCCTTACAAATTACGAATGAAAATAGAAAAGAAAAAAAATCTTTTCGCTAAGAAAGAAAACAAACCAAAAAGACATATCGAAATATATATGTATGATTGAAAAAAATATTTTTATTGATTAAATTCTTTTTCTCTATAGGACATCAATCGGAGGACGACGGTTACATGAGCATGAATGGAAGGAAAGCGAAAATGGCATTGTTAGCATTACGTCCGGTTCCGGACTGTCCGGAGCCACAAGATTCAGCTGGATTACCATCGCAGGAATTTCCTCCACCTCCTGAAGAAGCAGAACGCATTATTTCTACCCTATTGCCGATGTAAGTTAATCGTTGTACACACACACATGCGGTAACTATAATATTATACAAATATTTCGCGTAAGCAATAATTTCGTTCTCGTTTTTTTTTCTTTTTTTCTTAAAATGAGGACAAACACAAATGGAGTGGAAGGGGTGGGATGGGGAAATGGGAGATAGAGGTGAGGGGTGAAGGGGTAAAGGGGAAAGAAAATGAAAGAAAAAAAAGAATTTTTTTTTTTTTTTTCAATTTCTAACCTAAAATATCAACAGTATCCTTCAATTATCAACAACTTTACACAACGTTGAAAGTACGTAAATGATTATTCGATTCTTTTTTTCTCGTTTGAACGGGGGTAGGGAAAGAGGGAGGGGATTGGAAGGATATCAAAGTATTTTTTTTCTTCTTCTTCTTCGTCTATCTCGAACTAACCGATTCTCCAAGTTTTTCGTTTTAAGTTTTGTTAAGTTTCATTTTGAAGTGGAAAAAAAAGATTTAAAAAAAGATAAAAAGGAAGTAGGAAAACGACGACAAAAAAATTTTTTTTTGCGTTTCCTAGCGATTTTCTCTCACTGTCTGTCTGTCTGTCCATCTGTCTTCTTCGTAAACTCGACACGTTGGCCGAGATTTTCTGGAATTTCCTCGACAGCCAAGTAGAATAGGTGTTCGTTCTCCTACCCTCCCCTCATCTCCTCCCTCAATCTCACCCAACGCTTCTTCTTGTATCCGGAGTGTCGTAACGATCGAGGCGAAAACGTAAAGCGAAAGAGGAAAGGAAAATATCGGAAAAACCACGTTCCGAGTGTACTTTGACTATGCACAATTCTTCTTGGTGGAGGAAAAGCTTGGCTCTAGATAGGAAAAAAAGAACAAAAAAAAAAAAGAAAGAACAAAAAAGGAAAACTCATCGATGTTGGTCTCGACACAGACTACTCACTACTATCGACATCCAATACTAGCACATACACACACACACACACACACCTATACTCAACGTCAATAATACTAAACTTTGTACCGAGTGTTTGGTAGTGGTAAACTTCTTTCCTTCGACTTGTCGATCCTAATCACCACGTTTCGTGTCTGTCTTTCTGTCTGTCTGTTATTCACTCTTCTTCGAGAAAACTTAGGCCACCTGTATATATATATATATACTCTATCACTCAACCTTTTCTTCTTTCAACTTGGATTTTAGACCACCGCATTTTCTTAAACCATTTTCCTTCTATCCAAATTACTTTTTCTATTTGCTATAACTTTTTATTTATTTATTTATTTATTTATTTATTTATTTATTTATTTATTTATTTACTTATTTGAATTCATTTTTGTTTTCTTTTTCTTCTTTTTTGTTCTTTTTAGACACGTTGGATAAAATATTTAATTGACATTTATTTTTTATCGTTGTTGTTATTTAACCCCTTAAATTGCACGCTCAAGTTAACTCGAGCGGCATTGTATTACGTTGAGCCAAAATTGTTCTTTAAAGGGTTAATTTTCCTAACTTATCAATACTATGAAACCATTAAAATTACTCACGATCGAGTTGTGTTTTCTCTACCTTTTTTTTCTTTTTTTTATTACTTGTCTTCTTTTATATATTTGTAAGTAGAATTTTTCTCGCATTTACTTTTTTCTTTTTTCGATCGAAGTTTCGTTGTTTTTTAGACCCAACAAATAAAATATTTAACCAAGATATTTGTTTTGATTATTACGGACGCCATGTTACTATATGGGACGCCATTTTTAAAAAATGGCTTTCGGGAATCAAAGTCATTATCGTGCAACTTATTATGTTCTCGCTTTATTTTCATTATATAAATTCAACGCAAATATCGTTATTTATTTCTTTAAAAACTTATTTCATTAATATACATAACTTTGCCAAAAAAAAAAAGAAAAGAAAAATCGCGATAGTCAGAAAGTACGAATTTCATTTTGAAACTTTACATACTACAAACACACCCATAAATACAACACACGCGCGCGCTTCGTTTATTCATGAACGAACGTGTGAAAATTCGATAATTCGCGTAGCAACGTTTCGCGTTTGAAAAACGATCGATATCATGCAATCGGGTGAAGAAGTGGTCGAATAAAAAGAAAAAAGCCTTGTCCTCATTTAAAGAACAACGAGGTGTGTGAGGGGAAATGAGACAAGGGTGTTAAGGAACTTCTTTTAGTTCTTCACGTTTCTTAGATTATATTTTTTTTTACTAATTGTAATACAAAATGTTTCTTCAAATTGACGTTCGTTTAAAAATATTGTCGATAGTTGTAATAGAAATAAAAAAAAAGAAAAAGAAGAAAAAAGTTTATCGATGGTTGGGGCTGGAGGGAGGTGAGGGAAGGAAGGGGGTTTTCGTCAAAGACAAAAAAACTTTAAAAGCATTCCGTCAAAGTCATTTCTCACCTAAAATGAAATTTTCGTTTAAGCTTATCCCCTCCATCTCCCCCATCTCCACCATTCGGTATCTGACGGAGAACAAATAGGATAGATGGGAGAGGGGGAAAAAGGATATATAACTGGTTATTTTAAAAGTCGAAGAAGCATGTGGATTTCGTACGGGTTTTTCTCTGTCTGTTATCAGAGTCTCCCCCGGAAACTCGTCAAAGAGAACGAGCCAATCGTCGGAACGGCGAAGTGGTAGACAGCAATGGATGATAACTATGGAGGATAGCATGCGCCACGGAAACGCGGTTACAACCCAAACAACTCTTGTGAGTACTACACCCTCTTTTTTCTATTGTCCTTTGATATAAACATTTTTGTGGGTTCAAAAAAAAAGAAGAAAAATTAAATATCGGCAGCGGTAGCCAAAATAAATGGACTTTATTTTGGGGTGGGGGTAGAGTGGGGAAAGCATAATATTTATTTCACAATAACTCGAGTAAAACGATATTTTGCAAAAGGAAAAAAAGAAAAGTTTATTAGAAAATGACTTAACCCTTAAAGCGCACATGGGGTGTCTGACACCCCAACAAATTTTTGATCTCTTGAAAACGGAAATTGCAAATTGCGAAAAAAAAATCCGAAATCTCTTGGAAAACGAGAATTGAATTCGAAAAAATGGGTTATTTGTCGCCATCTAGTGTTAATTCAGATGGGTATAAAACCTATTCTATTTTAAAAAAGATGTATCAAACTACTTTTAAAAAATTGCGAGGTCTAAATATTAAATAGCGGCTTCAGGAGACTCGTTCAAACACGTTCGGGGGTGTCAAACACCCACAGTGCATTTCAACTAACTTTTACCAAGTGTGCACTTTAAGGGTTAATGATAAAATAAAGAAAAATCGATGATCATTAACATAGTAATTATCACCTACATGGTAATTATTTTAATTGAACAAGTAAAGAAATATACCGTGATATCCACGAACAAATTATAAAGCAAAAAATGAATATAATAAAAAAAGAAAAATAAATGCGATAGAACTCTCCCAATTCGATTGAAATAAATTAAATATTAATTTAATAATTATTTGTTTATAATTTATACAGCCGAAGACCCGACATCGAAGACCTTACGGATGGGAAAATGGTAACGCAGATATGGGTAGAACGAAACGAGAACCACCAAGTTCTAGCCCGCCAAGTAAATTTGCAAGCCTACCGTACGATACCAAGGTGTCATTCAATTGGATACCACCTAGAACTAATCCATGTACCATAGAGAAACATCGTGAAGTTAGGCGTCGTTCGTCCGAGGAGGATCTAGAAAGGGATCGTCGTCGTAAGAATCCTGACAAGGATCGGACCTCACATTTGCGTAAACAAAGACAAAACGAGATCATGAAATCTAGCAGCGTTGAAGATAGATTATTAATGAATCATAATCACAGTCATAGTCACAATCGTATTCATAATCGTAGAGGTTTAGGAGGAGGAGGAGGAGGAGGAGGTGGAGGTGGAAGTGGAAGTGTAAGTGTAGGACTAGGACTAGGAAGTGGTGGTGCTGGTGGTGGAGGAGCGGGAGGAGAAGGAGGAGGTAGCAGCAGTAACGGTGGTAGTGGTAGCAATGGCGGAGATACCAGTGGTGCTGGGATTGAAGAAATCGGTCAAAGACGACGAAGAAACGATTCGGATTCTAGTGAGGGTAGATTTTCACGTAACTCAGAATCCGAAAGATCCTCGATACCACGTTCGAGTTCGGTAAGCGTTGAGAGGTTCTCAATGAGAGCAAATTGCGACTCATCGGACTTTTCCAGGGCAAATTCGACCTCCAACGAAAGATTCCATTCGGATTTTTCAATAGCAGTTGCCAGTGCCAGTTCGAACGATCACGTATCCATACCAACCTCTGATCCATTTTCCATAAGAAATCTCGACTTTGTTTCATTTTCATTGCCACGTGCCGAATCAAGCGAAAGATTTTCCGGACGTACGTCAGACAGATGTTCAGAGGAACGTTACTCCGACATGTTTTCGACGAGAAATTCGGATTTTTCAACGAGAAATTCAACCGATTTTCGTACACAATCCGAAGAAGAACGATTTTCCGACGATTCCTTGGAAGAACTCTTACCACCACCACCACCCATCAGTAAGAGACACTCGATCGCTTGGGAAGTGTCCTTAGAAGACGATCCTCTTTACGCTCCTGGTAGCACTAAAGTTGTCGGTAGGAGACGCCGTAAGAGCAGCGACGTTTCCAGTAAGTTGTCACTTCTATCTACAATTTTATTATTAAGGTATAGTGCTTAGCTCTTTTAAGTGGGGAATTCGATGAAAAGAATTCTTCAAAATGTTTTATTTATTTCTGCGTAAATTTAATCTATTAGATATTTTTGTTATTTTATATTATTTAATTGTCAAACATTGATAAAGGAAAAGTAATTAACTTTTGAGAAACAACGAAATGAATTAAACAATAATATATTTTATTGGATTAAAAAATAATCAAAACAAACGATGTAAATGTAATTTATATATAACGTCGTTAGTCATATATTCGAAGTAATGTAACACTCATCAATCCGCACTTAAAAGACTAAGCACGTCTTAATCTGTTGGTTAACTCATCGACTAGTTTATCTTGTTTTATTAATCTTATTGCATCTCTATTTTTGAAAACTATGTTTGAACAATAATGCGATTTTTCTTGCAGGCGTTGGATCGGCATCTAAACTACGTGACTTTGATGATTGGCAAGATCCAAGGCTCTCAACTACGGACGACGATTTGGTATCACCATACTCAGATTCCTCGACGAATGATCTCGATCAAATTCGTCCACAGGATTTGACCAAAAACGGGACATACGTGATAAGACGTGGTCGTAAAAAGGAAAGAAAAATTTTACCAAAGAGTTCTGCTACCAAAACAAAAAGTTTGTCATTCGAAAAAGCTGAGGAAAATCGGTTGTCGGATGTGAAACGATACTCGACAACGTTCGACAATATTAAAAGTTTTTTGAAGGATAATAAAATGATGGTGGAGGCTGGTAAAAGAAGGTCGTCGGAAGAGAAATCGGAAGATTTGGACGAATTACCGAACGAATTTGCTGAAAACGTACCACCTCCGGATCTGATCAGAGTCGTTTCCTTACCGATAACCAATAACAATGATGATAATAATAATAATAATAATAACAACACCAACGACGACGATGACGAAGAAGAAGAAGAAGACGAAGACGACGAAAATGACGAAGAAGAGGACGAGGAAGAGGAAGAAGAAAACGGTCGTGCTCCTAATCTTGGTATTATTACTACGATCGATTCCGAAAAAACGTCAGTAGGACAAAAATTATTCGGCAAAATAAAGAAGGAACGTCAACAACAACAAAAACAAATGTTGAGCGAAATTTCACGCGATAGGTTGCCGTTGAATAATTTTTCCATAAGCAGCAAGAAAGATACAACGACGGATTTTGGTATAGATAAAGAATGCAACGGTGGTATTCCAATTTCAATTTCTGCATCCAAAGCATTAGATATAGTTAAACCGATTGATTTTCTTCTTGAAGAAAGATCGAAAAAATTGACTAGTACTAGCAGCGAAAGATTGTCATCTAAAATACCGGTCAATCTTTTAATAGAGGATCAAATAGTGAAAAAGGCATTGAACGAAAATCGCAGACAATTGGAAAAGGTCAGCGACGCCATCAAGGAGATTGAAAACGTTAAGAACAGCGAGTCTTATTCCGAAAGCAAACGATGGAAAAATGGCGACGTTAGGGCATCCTCTAGGAGAAACAGTTACGAGAACGATTCAATCGAACGAACAAATCGAAAAACTTTGGGTAGCCCTTACGAACCGAGAAATAGAAAACAACAGAGTTCTGATTCAGAAACTTCGAAGACTAGCTCGGAGAGCGATTTCGATCGACGAAAAGCTAATGGGACGGACGTTTACGCGTCTGGTAGGAGATTGAGACAAAATGGTATAGAATGTCATAAAAATAATCAGAAACAAATCGAACATGTGATAGATGCTATATTGGAGGACTCAAAAAATCCTGAATTTCAGGTAGGCTGTCGTACTTTCGATAAGATAAATAAGATACTAGACGATTACGTTTTTTCCCAGTTGATTTATTTATACTTAATCGTTCACACACATGAACATATAAACATAATCTTAGAATAAAACCAACATGGAAAAGAAATAATCTTCGATATGATATATCATATTTTTATCGATAAAAGAAGACTTTAATTTTGTTCGTAAAGTAATAGAAAATAATGTATTAGGTTAGAAAACTAAGTGATTGCGGATTTTGTCTATAGATGGCCATGTAAAATCCCCAATCGCTCAATTGCCAACCCAATATATTAGGGTGAAACAAAAGTTTCGCGTTTTATTATTATCTTCTTTCAGATAACGCAATTTCTTTTTTTCGAAGTCAATAAAATTACTTTATATATGAAAATAAAATATTAATAATTAAAAAAACCGCACGATCTTTTTTAATTCACCCTAATAGAAAAATTGTCAGATAATATTTATAATCGAATGATTAGAAACAAAAAAAAAATATATGTTTAAAACGTTCGTTAGGTAAACGTCGAAGTGCTCGAGTTTCCGCCATTGCCACCATCACCTGTCGAGGAAGCGGACGAGGAAAGTTCGGACGTTGGACAAAACGCAGTAATCAGTAATAGTACCAGATCAAAGAGTCATAGTAACAGAACAATGGAGTACAGGCCGAGAGTACCACCTCATCGTAATCAAGTGATCGATACCAAAGATCATCAAACGTCGCTCAATACAAGATCAATGGATGCAGGATTTTCACGTGGCAGACGTACACCGACAGCCAGTAATTCTAGAAGAGAGGTACATGCTACTACACTTCGTCATTTCTATTTATTTGATTTTCTATTTCTCTTTTTTTTCTTCTTTGTCTTTTATTAAAACGAACCAAAAATTAGTGAGTTCATTATATTGAAATTGTACGTTGAAACCGAACGAATTGTTTTTGTAAAATTTACTTTGGAAATATTAATTGAAAAAAAAAGAAAATCCCACGGACTTTTTGCTTTACCATAATATTTTAAACGATCATTCATCGAAGAATGCATCTAGTAATTTCTTTAGAAATCAAGATTCGGTCGAACGATGGCGAGAGAGGAAAAAAAATGAAAAAAGAAGAAAGTAATATACCCAAACTAAAAGCCAACGATGCAAAAAGAGAGAGAGAGAGAACAAAAATTCAATGTCAAGGCAAATGAGGGAAGGTCGAACCTAGAAAACAAACCTAGCATAACTTTAGCCAAAATGTCGGCTGGATGACGGCCAACTTTGTACCATTAGCAAAACGTAATACCCGACTTTACTTCATCCTATATCTTTTTTCTCTAATAAACTCTCCTATTTCTCTCTCTCTCTCTCTCTCTCTCTCTCTCTCTCTCTCTTGGATATCATGGTGAATCATACCAATGAGATACCATTAACCGGAGAAAGGACGCGTAATATCATAATAAAAACTAATAACGCATCAGATTCGTAAAAGAAAAAAAATATCTTCATATCTAATCTCTCGTTCGTTTACGTTTGAATTTTCATTTACGTCGTCTAGGCGTCACCACTATCTTGTAAAATAACAGATAAGCATACATTTTTTTTGAAATATTTTATTATCGTTTGGCGTTTTTAAATCATTCTGTGATGAAAATCTTATTTCTCTCTTTAATATCTTAATGTATTATACTCGTCTCTCTTAATATCTTAAACTCGTCGTATTTTTTTAGTTTTTTTTGTTTCATTGTATAATATGATTACTAATTTTGTAATTTTTTTTTTGCACGAAACCAACTGTTGAACTACCTTTCGTAAAATCTATCGAGAATTCAATCGACATTTAAAGGAAAATGAACTATGAAGTACGATCGATGAACAATGGGACTTATAAAAAAAAAAAAAATCCTTAGAAATCGAGAAAAAAAAGCCTGATCTTTAATTCTAATAGTCGGAAACGAAAAATAATAAACTTCTCTTCCATTGTGCATGCAGTTAAGTAAAAACAAATTATTTGCGAAATAGATAAAAATAATATAATACAATAATAATAATTAGTACTATTATTAAAAATAATAACTCTTTTTTTACGCGAAAAAATACCCCGTTGATTGATAATTTGAAGAAAAAAAAAACTAACTTAAAAAGAAAGAATCGAAGTTAAAAATTCGCATTAATTTCATCTCATTAAATTCCAACTTAATTTACTGTCTCAATGTTCGACCTTGATTGCATTATAATTTCTTAATTATGCTAATTAAAAATTAAATGAGACAATCGTTAATTAAATAATAACATCTGCGACCAACCTAACAAACCAACCAATCAACTGATTTAGAAGAAATGTAAAAATCAGTGATATAAAAATGAAAGTATGTGAATGATAATAAGATGTCGTACGGTTTTAGCAAACCTTTTTTTTCCCAATGCTAATAAGAGAATTCAAAAAGGTCCAAGAGATTAATATTATTTATTTATGATATTCGTCTCGTTATTGAAAGAAAATAGGGAAAAGAAAAAAAATACAATTACCGTCGACCAATTACCCATCGTGTCACTTAAAATACAAAACAAAAAAGAAACTAGAAATAATTTTCCTCAAGAGAGGATGGGGAAACCTAAATAAGAAAAACGTGCATCTTCTGCGTCACATATCATAATCGATATTAATAAACCGTTTTTTTTTATTAAATAAATCCAGCAATAGGAACAGAAAGGTATTCACGATCTCGTTGAGAAATATCTTCGATTAATTCAAATGCAGATAAACGTGCCTCGGTATATGAATTGTACATTCTCACCCGATAATAATAATTCGTTGAAAATTATTTATTTCTTTAAAAAAAAAAAAAAGAAAAAAACAACTCTTCATCGCGCGGAAAATCCATTTTCCAAAGGGGGTTTTTCGAAAACTCATTCGATATTCGTCTCATCGTAAACAATTAGAGAAAGATATAAAAGATTACGATTGGTTTAAAAGATACGATTGGCACTCATCTTCGAGATGACATCTCTTCTCTTTTTTCTTTTTTGTTTAATAATTCTAGAAAAGAGAAAAAGAAATATGTGTGGAGGAAGAAGAGAAGGGGGGGGGGAATCAGTAGTTCTGAAGTAGTAGAATGTTCGGTGAAAAAAAGGGTGGGGTGTGGGTGAAAAAAAGAATAGAAGCATCAATCGAGTATGCGAATAGTAGTTACGCATCTATGGTGGCAGTAAAAGAGAACAGTAACGGTGCACTTGTTTCCTCTTCTGGCTGGTATTGTCCTCGCAAATATTGGCAATTTTTTTCACTGAACAATCTCTTCTCCTCTCGAAAACGAATGTGAGTTCTTTTCTGCGTAAACGCGTTCACGATTCCCGGATGCGTTCGAGATCGGCCGATCGAAATGAAAGTTTCGAGTTGTTCTCGAAAAATTTCAATTGTTGGAGGAAGAAAAAAGAATATGAAACGAGATGATTATAGCGATGATAATAACAGAGAAAAATATGGGAAAATACAAGAAAAATACAAAAAAGGTTGCGCGATCGTTTGATTTTGTTTCAGGTACCGGTAGAAAGAAGGACACTGCCAACGGATTTACCAGGACCTTCGTCGAGACGTCGACCATTCACTAAAAGAAATTCACCCTCGACCGACGGTGGATGCATTTCTAGTGTTTCTGGCGTAAACGGTGGTGTTAACGGAGCTACCATAGCTCATGGCAGTGCCAATGGGGGTGGTAGTGGTGGTGGTGTTGGTGGTGCCAATGGTGGAGCTAATAGCGGAACCGCAACTAACGTCGTTGCAGCAGCCAGTGGTGGTGGAGGAACGGGAATGCAAACTTCTTGCTCGTTACCGGAAACTCCTGTCTTTGCCAGGGGCAGCGATATTCCAAGGACTCCTCAGCATGCTGGGGGGAATCAAGCGCAAACCCGTAGACAACCCGGTTGGTACGCACCGACGACAGCAACCACTGGAGGGTAAGGAAGAAAATATTTATTCTAAACAATAAAAAAACAAAAAAGAACAAATATATAAATAAATAAAAAGTAATCGTACGATATTAATTGCAATTGCAATTGCGCACACACACACRTAGGTATCGAAGGAACAATCCTGGTCTGGAACAGGCGATTATTGGAACGGAATTGCTCCGACTGGCTGGTGGGCCCAATCGTGGATGGTACCCAACGAGAAAAGCCAATCAACCACGACCAGCTTCCATCGAACATCTCGAACGGCTTAACAACGCTTACGATGCAAGATTACCAACCGGCACTGATCAGAGGAAACCATTAACCCTGCCGACGAACATCACGCCCAACAAATACTTCGGCCAAAGTAAGCACAGCTCCGCGTCCAGCACTCGCGAGGCGCTACGGAGGGTCACTAGCTTGCTCATCAAGAAAGGTAAGCGCGGGAAAAGAGCGCGGGGATTCGCACCATTAAACGGAACGTGAGAGGATATATTATAATTTAAAAAAATAACCTCTCGTTTCAACAACAACGACAACTACTAGGCTCACTCCGAATGAAAAAACCCTTGATGCGCTGTATCCGAAGAAAACAAACTTCTCTTTGGAAGTGGTTCCGTCACGATCCTTTTCTATCCAACCTCGACACGGTTTTCTTTTTTTTGGTTCTGTCAAAATTACGATTAACAAAAATTGCTTTAATCAAAAGTTACTATTTTTTATTGTATATCTTTTTCTTTTTTTTTTTTTTTTTTTTTTGAGAAGACTATAAAATAAATCTGATATCTCATTTTTATACGATTTATTTTGTATATTTTATTACTTTATATATTATATATATGTACTATTTTGATTAAAATTAGCGTTGAGATTTAGTAATACGTTTGGAAAAGTTACTAACACATTTGGTGAAGTTTTCAAAAATTAACTAGATTTTTTCGAGGTAAAAATCAATAAGATTTTTGGATATGGAAGGATCGACGAAACGATCATAGCAAGTTGTTGCAAAATGGGACAGCATTGGAAACGACGGTCAATCGTCTCTGCTCTTTATTCTGAATTTCTTTCTTCTTGTTTTTTTCAATCTTCCAACTTGACCACTTACCGTGACAATTTTTTTGTAACGACTCACCCGACCAACGTTTGTCGGATTAAATTTAAAGCGAATTAAAAAATTGAAATAGTGTTTATAAAATTAATCATACCACTATTGCTGACTATACACAAAATCTTATCGAAAATATAAGAATACCAAACGACGTGACGATAATGCACGACATCGATAATTTAAATTTTTGTGTGTTAGCATATTACTCAACATAAATGATAAATTACGTTATAGCAGGGCAAGTGGTCGAGGAAAAAAGAAAAGAAATTTATAATCTTAATATATATTTTAATTATTTATACGTTCTCGTGATACCAATTAAAACAAATTTTTACATTTTATGTTAACTTCTTTCTTTTTTTTCAATATTCCTTATCTTAATTCTTTAAATCCAAAATTGTAAAATAAAAGGAAAATATAGTAAACTGTTAAAACACACGTTAAGTGATCATTAATCAAATACACATTTGTAATTTTAATTTCGCGAGTAGAAACAGTTTCTTTTTCGGCAAATATTGTAATTAACAATTTGTGTAGAGAATCTAATACGTAAATCGTTTACATTTTTCTCTATAATTTAGTAATTAAGAGCAGTAAATGACGATGACCGTCATAAAAGCCGAGTAACTTGCATCGGATTTTTCTAACGGATTGAATCTTTGAAACCCCGTAACGTTTGATAAGTAAAACTTATGAAAGACTTTTCTTACTTTTCTCTCCTGTGTGACCTTTCGTGGCAATCGACAGCCACTACTTTGGAACTAGCTATCCGACACTCTAGGTAGATATGGAATGCTTGCCTGTTAAAAGATTTTTCCTTCTTTTCATTTTCTTCTTTTCTTTTCATGTTTCAAACTTTTACCTTGACCTCGTATGGACGTCTCTTAACCGGTGGTGCTCTTTCTAATCTTAATCTTTTATTTCTTATTCGATCATAATATAATTCTCAATATTTGAACGAAAATGTTCTCACATCTCTTCTAAATTTTTCATGTTTTTACATTTTTTTCATTTTTTTCATTTTTTGCAATTTTTCTATTAAATACACCGTTTAAAAGACTATTATATGTGTGTGTACGTGCTGACGTGTGTATGTAAATAAACGTAGCAACAGTGCATGCAATTTATACAAACTTTTTATAATATAATGTATTCTCTTTCTATTTTTTCGGTATTTTTGTACTATCTACAAACAATAATTTCGATACACATTTTTAAGATATACATTTATATTTTAGTACGCCTATTTTTTATTGAAATTGCAAATTTTTGCTAAAAAAAAAAAAAACAACGAAATGGCGTCATTTGATGAAACGGAAAATTGTTAGAAAAATACAAGTTAATAGTAAAACCACAGCACGATATTATCGACCGAGCAAATAAGAGGATCTATATTAATTTTTTTAAATTTCTATATTCTAAAAATAGATAACGAGTCTACGTTTTAGTTTATAACAATGGTACTTTATTAATATACTATCTGTGAAAAGATACATTTATTATAACACAACTTAGTTCGAGTTAGATACGATAGAGGTCAGTCTTATCTTCTTATCCTCGCTTTTATTAAATCTTAGTTCCAGTGTTGTACCAAAGATGGCGCCATATAGTAGTTTCAAAGCTAAAATTCGTAAATGCCTCATTTTATTTTATTTCTTTTTATTAACAAAAGAGACATATTTGCAAATTAATTGTGATATTTAAAGCAGATTAGAAATATATTTCTTTACTTACTTAATAAAAATATTGGTAAAAGTGTTGCGACAATGTTGAAGATTTATCTATGCTTCTAGGAACAATATTTGATTATTTTTATTGAAACTTGTTTAAATTAAGGAAATATATCGATAAACGGGCGCGCGATGGTAATAGTAACATTTAATATTTTTTTTATTTTTTTTTATTTTTTTTTATTTTTTTTTATTTTTTTTTATTTTCACTACGATTTCCGGTAAAACACGTGTTAAACTTTCACCATTGCGTGGTGCCATCTGTCGGTAACTTGACCGACCAATCCCCCAGCTGAATGCGATCGACCTTGAAAGCGTGACCGTCCAATGGCGAGGAGAAAAATAGAGGGGGATTATACATTTATATATATATATATAAAGAAAGCAAGACTTAAGGATAGGGGGGGGGGCAGAAATAGCGGGAGGGAAAGAGATAGCAGAGACAAGGACTTCCTCAATGTTACATGTTGCTGAAACGTTTGTGTATTTTCATCAGATCCTTACTTACACTTTGATTAGTAATCGATAATAATCTTTAATTTCTTATAATTTTTACATTTCATTAATAATAGTAATTAATTATCAAATTAATAACCGTTATTTTTAATATCAATTGCAACAAAAATTATTCGCATTCATTAAAATGTTTAATTAAAAAATTGAACATTTTTGTTTCTCGAGAATAATAAAAATTTTTTTCGACTACGCTAAATCAAAAAAATTTGTAACAATTTTTTTATATACTATATTTATTTCGTCATAAATTGTTAATCGTAATTATGCTTATCGATATGCTGATTAAATTAGATTTTAATGATCATAGAAAACTCAAACTACATCGACGTTTTGTTAAAAGATAACATTGAGTTATTACTTTTTTACGAACAACGAACCTTTACATATCTTTTTTCAATCGAATTTAAAACATTGTCTTGTTTATTCTTTTTACAAGAAACAATAGCATTGATTATAAAAAAAAAGAAAACGGTTCAATAGTATCGTTGAAAAGGAGTCAGTCACACGTCGTATAACGTGGACAACGACATATTTCCCCTACCCTTGTTCATCCGCACATTGTGGCGGCAGCAGCAGCAACAGAAACATCAGCGACAGCAACGCAACAGTCGACAGTAAAGCATGGTACAGAAAAGCTGTAAATGAATGCTGAAAATCTAATTTTGGAAATATTACAAAATTCTTCTTGATTTTAACAACCACGTACATAAAATAGGTAAGGAAAACAAAAAACAGGAAGATGAACCGCAAACATCAATAGCAACAACAATAACAAGCTCTCCTCTCTTACTAAAAAGGATATCCTTGGTTCTTAAAAATAAACGTCAGATATATTTTCGTATAGTCAAACATTATCCTTGGTCTAAACTTTTAGGATATTTTGTCACGAAACGAAACGAAACGAAACGAAACGAAATGAGACGAATCGCCACGAGACACGACGAAACGCGACGAGTCGCGACTCAAGGGTTCTAGTTATTGATTCGTCCGAAGGGGAAGGTACGCGCAAACGTTTCCCACTTTCCGTGTTCACACACACACACACACACACACACACAGAGAGAGACAGACAGACAGACAGAGATACACGCACATATATACAATGTAACCATCTACCACTCTTCGATCTGTTTCTTCCTTCGGTCAATCACCAACGAATAAACACACACCAGGAACTACATATATACCTCTTAATTTCACTTCAGACAGATTCTTCTGCTAAAAGATCACGACGACGACTCTTGTGAAATAGTCGAAAGAACGTTCATAGCAAATCCTTTTTTTCTTCATTGGGGGGAGGGGGTAGCAAGGTCAAACGTCGGGATCGATATTTATACAATCTCTCTGTGTGTCATCTCTACTATTTCCCATCTACCAATCTGTAATTCCCCTCTTTGGACAAAGAGCTAATTCAACAGCCAAGTATGACACTCCGTACATTTAGAATTAATAATATAGGATGCATAAGTTACGAACGACCTAGAGATGACCTCAAAAACAAGTCCATGATCTCTAACTGGCTTTTGTTAGCTAAGTTAAAACTCTTATCGGTCTAGCGTTGTGTTTATTTTTAGAAAAACCGTGACGATATCATCGGTCCTTGTCGGAATTACCGTTGACTTATCTTTGCGTCATTTTTCTTCTTCTTTTTCTAAGAAAAATAGAAGAAAATAAAGATTTAACAATGTAAGACCTCTCTAACTGTAGTAGGGAAATACATATGTATAAATAAATATGTTGCTGAGATTACAGACAAGACTAATTTGGTCGATAAACGACTAAAGTATATAGAAATGGTAGGCACAATTTATTCGCGTTCTAGACCTTCTTAATACGTACAGCTTACCATTTAAAGACGACCTAACGACCTTATTGTCCAATTACATAAAGATTAGCTGTCTTACTAGGACATCTACTATTATGACATAGATGTAATACTTTATCAGACAATTTAGGATAGCATACAAAAAAACTAATTTGTTGCTTATCTATAATATTTTGAAAAAATAATCGGTTTCATTAATATGAATTCTACGGAAATAGTATTACTCATTCTAAAAGTATTCTTAAGAAATGTCAATGACTCATAGTATGTGCATCAAATCAAATTTTAAAACAAATCGTACGTTTCTTGTATTACTCGGGAAATATAGAAAAACTTTAATAGAAAATTCAATATCTTTTGTGTTCCATTTTTTCTCTCAGCAAAATTTAATCGATTTTATAAGGAAACGGGGAAAAAGGTCCGAGGATAAAAAAGTTTCCGATAAGATAAAATTCTGAAAGTTTTAGAGGCACAGTCAAAGGCACTTTGTGTCCCTTAGCCAGGAATGAATATACTCGACATAACTGACATAGTTATATCTTCACTTACAATTTCTTCGGCTTATTACCTAAAAGCTTACCAAAATTTTGGTTCAAAATAAACTCCTGCCAGTTAAAAATATAATTTCGACAACAATCGTGAATTTACGACAATTAAACAATTAAACAAATAAACAAATTGTAAAAAAAAGCAAAAAAAACATACGAGGAACTTAAACAACAAGGGACAAAAGAATAAAAATGTCTGTTAGTTAGGAGAATTAGAAATAGCCGAAAATAACCAATAAAGGGTGGGGGAGAAGGTGATGATGACGATCATTTGTTTGCCCTCAAAAGAAAAAAATCCTCGAGGTAGGAGGCGGATTTATTAATTTCCTTCATTCTTTCAAAGCCGATCGAACAACGAGAACGATGACGACAACGACAACGACGACGACGAGGAAGAAGACTCTATAACGAACACCAAATCAGGGGGGGGGATGTTTTCAGCTAGGTTAGTAGCGCGTTACTAGCGTTCGTCGAATGAGTAGCACGTATATAGGGGTGGAGCAGAAGAGCCACCCGGAACGGCTGGGGTGGTAATCGTTACTCCCGTCTACCAGCCTGTCTACCGACCCTTTACTGGACTCTGAACGTTTCACCTCTAACAGAGACACTACCTCTCACCAAAGACACCAACCAACATCGCAGCAAACCCATACCAACCATCCAACCAACCAACTCACCCCTGTAAGTCATCTTATGAACAAAAAAAAAAAAAGAAGAAAACTAAAGTATTTCCGGAAAACGATGCAAAACCTTCTTTTTTTCCTTTCTTTCTTTGTTTCAGCTCGAGAAACGCGCGCTCGCTCGCTGATTTTCTCGAGCTTCTTTTTCTCAAACTTCAACAATCCATTCTCCTTCCTTTTTCAACCCCCCACCCCTTTGTACTCCTCCTCCTTCACCCCCACTACCAACGCGCAACTGCTTCAAGCGCGATGGAAGAAAATATCGACCGGGGAGCCCTTTTGGCGCGCACCGCGCCACCGAAGATGCGAAACACGCTCCTTTCTCGACATTCCGAATACGGGTAGGTGGGAGAGGGTGATATTTTTAAATATTAGAATTAATCAAAGCTTCATGCGCGTTTTTAATATATTTTCCGAAGTACATATTTTAAGTACAACAATCCCATTAAGTATTTTATAACAAAATAAACGCTCAAACTTTTGATTCACACAACTAATATAATCGCAGAAAGGTATCACACAGATAATTGTACTTATTTAGACAATGATTATACTGATAAAGATTAGCACGATTAAGAAATTGCCGTTCCTTTTTTTTATCCCGTAGATAAACGTTACTTTGTTTTAATTTCGATCGTCTGATCATCTCGACCTGATTATATATATTTATTATTTATATTATAATATCAATCATTAACTTATTAATGTATATTTTAATTACTTATAGGTAAAAAATTATATGCGTTGGGTTGGGGTTGGGGTGGAGATAGGAATGGGAATGGGAATGAGGGAAATTTAAAACATTTGACGAACGTTATCGAGTCCGAATGAAACTCACAAGCCCGCAGTTGGCAACTTCTTAGAACGTCGTGTTTTTAATTATATCTACTCTAAGTAGCAGACATTGCCACGATATGTGTTAGCCAAAGAGTTCACGAACACGTGCTCGATCCAACCAACCAACCAACCAACCAACCAACCAACCAACCAATGGGTGTCCATAGAATCGAATGAACTACTCTCGTCTTTTTCAAAGATGTTACCTTATCCTCATCGTTGTTGTTGTAGTTGTTGTAGGTAGCCTTTATCGGCAGCCTGTCGGCGACCTCATTAAAATTCCATGAATATTATAAATGTATGGGTGTTCCCTTAGAAACGCGTAGGTAGGAAGATAGATAAATAGTTAGTTTAGGTTGGTTGACTTGTTGAAAAAGCAAACTCTTGTTATACCATTCGTTCGTATCTAAAAGCCTAGCTGGTAAGTTAGTCACCTTGCGTTGGAATTCTCAGAATCGACGCTTGGGATGCCGAGAGTACGAAAATAAAATTACGCAGTGTGCGACGACATCCAACCGCGGCTGACATGAGCGAGCTTGCATCTAAATACTAAGAAACACAAAAACATCGTTGTTTAATATTACGAGAAAACTAATTTCTTAGCGATCTTAGAAATGTGTGAATGAGTTATATGCTAATTTAAAAAATACAAAAATAAATAAATAATATGTTTAATAAACTGCAGGGGTAGGGGTACCATGTTCGTTCGAAATTTAATATTTTTCAAAAATGCCAATGTGCCTAGGTGCATCATGATTTTTCCCCATTATTATACTCTCGAGAAATTGGAAAGCCCATTTAATTTAATCTTTATTCAATATTATGGATCGATAATTTTTATTCGAGTATATTTATTTTTAAGTAGGTGAAAAAGATCTTATATGTCATGTTATCGTACAACTCGCGTGATGTATAAAAAACCTCATCATACTAACACACATAAGTAAACGGCACCACGCGTTGTGCCGTTAACCGAGTGCGAACAATCATACACCGATTTTCACCATCGTGTTCGTAGGTGAAGGATACGGCTCGAGTAACACTATAATCATATTGAGAATGTGCTACATATAAAAACCCGTATATATATAATAATTATTCATTAGGTATTATAATTGTATTTTATAAACGTGTTATAGAGTCACGGTGAGATAGGCACGTTAGAGAAAATGCATTTGAGAGCGAAATTTTGTGCATGATTTTCTCTTTCTTTTCCTTTGACCGAGACCATACGTAAAATTACAGTTAAATATGAAAGTAATTCTTTTACCACAGTGAAAAGGAAAACAGTATAAATTGGATTTAAACGTATAGGGTTAATGATAGTCAAATTTTATCGAATGTGTTATTAGAAATCTGTAAAATAACAAGCACCTAGATAGGAGATATGTTAGGTGTTAGGACAATCATTTACAGTACTACAGATATATACATTAAGCTACTATAGTTTATTACCTAAACAGTTAACCAGGCATCCGATAAATGAAAAAACAAAATGGAAGATGAACGCTTTATTAGAATAATAATTAGATAAGCTCGTAATTTAGTATTCGTGACTCCTATTGGGGCAGTTTTTGTTGTTGTTATCGAATAATCTACGAATGCGGCAAAGGAGGAAGCTGTTTCGTCATTGTGGGTGACTTCTGTCAGTGGATAATTTTTCTATCTGTCTTTACTCTTCGAAAATTACCACCAATTAGTTGCAGTATGTCGCGGAAATAAGATATCTCGGATGTCTTCGAAACTTCGTTCCCCGATTCTTACCGATCATTACCGATCTTTACCGATCTTTACCGATCTTTCACGACCATGTTCTTTCCCGAATACTACTCTACACTTAGGTTAGCTTCAACTTTACGGCTACTAACCTTTGACTTTTTAACGGTTTACCCTGAATATGTCTACCAATGGCAGTGTCGTATTATCGAGCAACTTTTCTGCTTCAAGAAACTTCGAGAATGGTGCTGCCATCATTGGAGTTTTCATTCAAGTCCTGTTTATGAAAGAAAAGCCCCCCCCCCTGACGCCTGCGCAAATCTTCTTTACACGGATTTTGTCATTCTTCGAAAACATCAAACTACTACGAACTCTCGGGATAAAAATGTCTCATGTGAACATTGGAAAAATAAATAAAGTTTTCGCGTTAAAAGTAAAAACTGTTAATAAAAACTGGTCAATTACTTTTTATTAGAAAATTGACACCTTTTTTTATCAAAATTCTATTATCAAGACTATAAATTCGACGGATACATTTTTTTCAATTAGACTATTAATTGTTAACAGGTTTGACAATAATTCTATATCTTTGAATTAGATCATTTTTCACAGTTAGCAGTGTGCATTGGCCTTGAAATTGTTTAATGTTTTATCCCTTGCACATAAAAAAAATCTTAACGCATTTCTTTCAAACTAGCGATTAACTTTTCTGAAGGAATATAATTTTATTTGTAAGAAAATACGAGAGCTGTGATTGTATAAAGATATTATTAAAACGAGTTCCTCAAATGAATTAAATTAAACGCTTTTCACTCGCATATTTTCGCTCAAGTGAGAACAAATCTTGATCGCGATCTGGTCACTTAAATGTACAAATTAATCTTGACACGAGATAAAAAAATCTAGGTTGATAGAACTACATATGTAATAGATGTATTACAGTTATTTTACAAATACATATATATATGATAGATAACGAGGATGAATTGAACGAGTTGGACGACTATCAGGTATATTGGTCGCAGAAGCTGGAAAGGTCACTCTTTCGCGCAACTTGTACGGACCAGTTTGCCTCTATGCCCTCTATTTCCTTGAAGTACTCTCTCCCATCATCTTCCAGTTTCTACTCTTACAGTTTTCTCAATCATAGTATGCTAGGAATACATATACATATACCAATAAATATGTGTTGGGTTGCCCTATTAATAGTTCACGTTAGAAACAAAATATTTTTAAATAAATTAGCAATACATATCTACATATACCAATAAATATGCGTTGGATTGCCGTAATTCATTGTAAAAAAAAGGAAGAAAATATTTTTAGTACAAAAATTTCTCATCGATAAGACTACTACTCTCCAAGATATTATTAAAAAGGTAATCATGGTTGCTAATTGGAGAAAAAAAAAATAATATAAAATATATTTAAAAAAAGAAAGTCTGAACTCGTAACTCGTTTGGTATGTGAAGCATGAACTTTATATATATATATATATATATATATATATATATATATATGTATGATAAATAATGTATAACGAATTCTTGCGTGTGTGCTATCTTCAAAGAATTTTTGTACAATCGAAATTCATCGCGTTTCGTACAATAAAATTTTTATTTTGGAATTGTCAACGTGGCCAAGCAAGCGCCACTTACTTTGTTAACGAAATTAGCAGGATGACGAATGAGACACTGTCTGCTTTCTTTCTTAACCTGAACTTCCTCCTCCTCACTCACTCCCCCTCCCTTATCTTTTTTGAGATTAGACACCGACCGATTTCAACTCGATCCGCGATTTTTTGGTACGTAATTTAATTTTCGAAATTTAAATCTATTAATTATTATTTACGACAAATTTTGTGTATTTTTGTTGTAACTTTATTATTTATTATTATTATGTATTATTATTCTTCGTATCGTAGTATTATCATAGTATTATTCCCTATGCATAAACGTGTTCGTATTATATACGTGTTTTATTTCAATATATTTCAAACATCTATTTAATATTTTTATTAAATATCTATGAAATTGTTTTTTTTTGTATTGTTTCAGGGAGTGGCAGTAAAGAGGGAAAAAGTAGTAAGGACAACGCTCCACCTTCTGGTCCTTATGCCGGTAAGTTTTTTTTTAATTGGAATGTTCATAGATATAACTTTATTTATTTATCTATTTTTCACTTTTTTTTATTGAATAGTAAACCACAATGAAAAAATAAAATATAAAAAAAAAAGATAATCAAATAACTCTCCAATCGTTTTTTAATAAACTTTTGCTATCATGAAGAAATTTAAGTGAAATATACCCCCTCCCTCTCTTTATGCTGGTGGTTTTGAAACTTTTGTTACCATCGCAGTAATATTATAAGTAATATTATAGTTTACGATGGTTAAATTAGTGTACTGCAAGGAGAATAGAGAAAACAGATTAAAACCAAAAAGATAAAAAAGTAAAAAAATAACATAAGAAGAAAAAAGAGAAAAGAGATTTCGTTTCGTCGACGTGGGGGAGGAGAGGGAGGTGGGTGGTTGGAATTGTAGGGGGTGGGACACGCACCTCCACCGCAGTTATTTTTAAACCACCACGACCAGACTTTACTTCGACTTGGCAATAAGAAGTCCCCGAAATATTAGCCACAACGATCCACGGACGGAAATAAACTGGATCGTCACGAACGAAGAACTTGTTCTTCGGCTTCAAGAATACAGAAAAAAAGAGAAAGAGAAAAGAAAAAGATAAAAAGAAAGAGAGAGAAAGAGAGAGAGGACAACACTCCTACGCTATTCATATAGGTTATGTTGCCTCTTTCAAAGAAGCAAATTATTGTTCAACAAAATTTCTTGACGTACGATAAATAAATCGTTTAAAAAGTCATTTATCCCTTTTCTATTTTTTATTTTTATGAATAATTTGATTCTTTTGTATAGAATTTATTTATTTTTTTTTTTTTGTAATTTTGGATTTTGAATTTTGGAAAATTTTTAAAATTTGGCGTTAAATATGAAAAAAAAAATAGAGAATTTGAAAAATACGTTTTCGAGAAAATGTATTCTAGTAGAATGAAATTTTAGAAGATAATTTGAATAAGAGTAAAATCTCTCGTCGCAACTACATTAAGATTAACTAAGAAACATAAAACCCCTAGGTAAAAGCAACAGCCATAGCAGCAGCAATAGCAATGGCGCGCGTGTTCCAAAATATCATCCTCTGTCTCCTTTCTTCCTCCAAGTTCGTCCTCGCGATGTATGAGAGGAGAGGAGGAGGAGGATACATCGGCTATTAATACAGCTTGTTTATTTTCGGAAAATTCGTTCGTTGCTTTACCAATCGGACTCTACGACTTTCTTGACCCTCTAATATTATAATGTGTGGATTATTGTATCAAGTAATCTAACATTTATTTTCAATGTTTGTTCCTCCCCCCCCCTCCTTTTCTTTTTTTACTCATCAAATAATCACAATTAGGGAAATATATATACGAATATTATTATTATGTGTATATTCTTTCTTTTATTTATTTTGAAATTAATTATTAAAAGCCTTTCATGAGAATATTTTTCTCTTTCGATTTCTATTTTATTTTCTTTCTCCCTCTCTTACACTCTCACTCATCAAAATTTGACGATTAAATTTATGATTTGATGACGAGTTTTTCTTCTTTTGCAGAAAACAATAATTTGTATCCGCTTATTGTTTATCTTTTGTTTTCTTCGTTTTTTAAATTATTAAACAGTTTCTGCCTATTTTGCAAAGAGATAGATAAGAAAAAGAAAATACTTGTGTATCGATGTTTTATCTTATCAGCTCCGTGTTGATAACAGACGTAACACGATACACGAACGCGATAAATCGCTTACGACCACAAAAATATCTGTACCCTCTAAAGTATTACTATATATACATATATATGGTATATATATAAATACACATACGTGGGTACTTTCTTCTTTCACATGCAAAAATAATATTCCTCCTTCGATATATATTACAAAAATTAAAATAACAAATTATTGTAAACGGATATTCGTATTTTTTAACAATCAAAAAATTATTATTTTCGCGATATCGTAAAGAAATATGTTATTCATATTAGAGTAAAAAGGATGTTTTTTTGTTTTTTCCTTTTTATTTGCAAATCGATTCGTACTTTAATTTTATTTATAAAATATCTAACGAATAGGTTTTAGGTTACAAGATTCCTAATTAGACGAGATATAAATTCTACTGGATGGTCAGAAAATTATTACGCATACAAGGTTAATAATAGTCGGCATAGTTTGATTTTATGCCAACGCTCATGTAAAAAAAAAAACTTATTACCAGATTTTTGGTAATTTATATAATAATTAAATTGATTTTACATATTTACATTGGTTATATTTTATAACTTCCTATATATAAAGAAAAATGAATTTAAAAGAAAAAAAACACCGTAAACTGATTGGTAAAAGAACGCGAAGGTTGCACCAAAAACGAAAATGAACATATTCTCCTTAAAAATTTATAAATATAATTAACCTTTTATAAATTGGTCAAAATTTTTCTATAAATCATATTAATTCTATTTAAATTGTTTGAAAAATTTTCTATTTAATACTTATTTCTAATAACGCGCGCATATACCATTTATCATTTAAGCATTAATCACAGAATATTTCTAAACAATATGTATATTGAATTGTTCGGAAAGTAATTTCGTTTTTTCCCGATAGAGGATTTAATTGTGTCGAACTCAACTTCACACTTAAGCTGCATAATCATTATATGTTTTGAGAGCTGATATAGCAAGGCTTGTGTGTGAAAAAGTTCAATTAATTCTACGCAGTAGTTTTTGGTTGGTGCCCTTTTAAATATGGAGAGCAATAAGCAGCATTTTCGTCATATTTTACTTTTTTACTATAGAAAAGGTAAAAATGCTGTTCAAGCCAGAAAGAAATTAACCGATGCGTATGGAGATGATGTGTTGACAGTACGCCAGTGCCAGAACTAGTTTGCAAAATTTCGATCCGACAATTTTGATGTCGAAGATGCACCACGTTCCGGAAGGCCGGTTGAAGCTAATAAAGGCATTAGTTGATGCTAATCTGCAAATAACAACACGTGAGATCAGTGAGAGATTAAATTTATCGAATTCAACTGTTTATGACCACTTAAAAGGCCTGGGTTTAACCTCGAAGCCCGATATATGGGTTTCCCATGTTCTCACGGAGAGAAATTTGTGTCGTCCCGTTGATGTCTGTGATTCGCTTCTCAAACGTCATGAAAATGATCCATTTTTAAAGCGTATCATTACTGGGGACGAAAAATAGGTTGTATATAACAATGTCAAACGCAAGAGATTATTAGAGCAAAAAAGATGATCGCTCAAAGCATTTCGAAAGCCAATATCCATCAAAAAAAGGTGATGCTATCTGTTTGGTAGGATTTTAAAGGAATCGTTTTTTTTTTTTGAGTTTTTACCGGATAACACAACAATTAATTCGGTAGTCTACTGTCATCAGCTGGACAAACTGAATGATGCACTTCAACAGAAAAGGCCAGAATTAATCAACAGCAAACGTGTAGTGTTTCACCAAGATAATGCGAGACCTCATACAAATTTGGTCACTCGCCAAAAGCTTTTACAGCTTGAATGGGATACACTGTCACAACCACCATATTTTCCAGATCTGACGCCTTCGGATTATTATTTTTTCCGGTCATTACAAAATTTTTTGGACGGTAAAACCTTACTTCAAATGAAGAGGTCAATAATCACCTGGATCAGTTTTTTGCCAGCAAAGACCAAAAATTTTATGAACGTGGAATCATGCTACTACCAGAAAGATGGCAAAAGGTGTTGCACCAGAATGGCCAATATATAATTTAATAAAATATATATTAATAAAACAACTTAATTTTTATTAAAAATATAAATATATGTACAATACAAAACAAAAAATATTATTTTAATTTAACGCAACTTTAATTTAATTTATTTCTTCGTCGTTACTGCTCAATTTAATCAACCGAGAACGTTTTTTCGGTGGAATGATATTGCCTTCACTTTCAGAACGTTTTTCTTCATTTAAAGTTCTTGCATCTTCTTCCGTCTTTAAAAAATCTGTAATTTTACTTTGCTTGTTGTTTCTTACCAGGTAATTGTAAATTTCTTGGTATGGAGCTAGACAATTTTAATGCTCCCTTTTGAATTTTAGGCTTCTTTCTGCGGAAGGGTCTGCATTCAAGAAAAATAACTCAAGATTTTCAGCTAAGCTTAGGCCTTCTTGTAACTTTTTTAATGTTAACTTATTAGCTGCACAATTTTACAGTTTCGGATGCCATTTCCACCAAATCCGCTTCGTCAACTTCTTCTTCCATTAATAAACCTTGAACGTCCTCAATAGCCATATTCAGAAAACCTTCGCCTCCGATTGATTTAGCAAGTTCTAATATGCCACCAATTTCATTTTGTGACGATTCACGCACGTTCTCTATTTCAACTGAAGAGGGCCATATCTTCTTCCAACACGCATTGTACGTTGATGTTTTCAGTTCACAATAGCGTAAGACACTTTTGTTTTCAGGCCATGAAGATGAAAAGAAATACTTTCCGCAACATTGTTTCTTTAAGGTAGTACCCCCCTGTGAAAACCGAAATTTTAATGCTTTTTCATGAATTTTTTTGAATAAGAAAACAAAATGCGATCGTTTTGAAATTTTAATATGTTTCTATCAGTATCTTAAACTATACAAAAAAAATTTTTTAACCTAATTTGGACAATATTTGTCCCTTTTTTTTAACGTCAAATTAGATTCCCCCAATTCAATTTGCGGAAGCACAGAGCCTTTGTAGACGTCTGAAACAAAAAAACTCAAAATACTTATTATTCTTTAGGCTTAATTATAGACATGATACCAACAATATGTATATTTTTTTCAAATAAAAACAAAATGACGGACGTGTGAAAAAAAATTTTCAAAATCGGTGCTGTTTCTTACCTTTAATTGTTTCAAAATATATATTTATTATTAAAAAGTTAAAGATTTTTGAGGTTCCAGTCATCAGAATATGTGTAAAGAATAACTTGTAAAAATTTTAGCCTAATCGGTTCTATAGTTTTTAGTGAGTGCTTCCGCAAAATTTCCAAAACGTAGTTTCGAGAAAAACGCGTTTAAAGTTTTAAGAACAGATTTTTTATAAAAAAATTATACTAACATTATTCTGCTATGGCTGGTGTATACAGTAGTCCTTCAGCTTCCTCATAATTATCATTTTAAACAGCTTTGAGAACTCTACGTAGGTTTTGGCCTCTTTAGAGTAAGCTTCTGTAGATTTTTCGCTCTCAAAATACGAGCATTATCAACGGTGTCGACGTAGTTTCTGGCTGTTTGACCAATGTATTTAACGTATTTCAATCCATAACGCTCCTCAGAACGCTTGAACATTTCAGAAACACTGTCGACCTCCATTTTGCCACTACTACCCTCGTGATTTGCTGTGCATTCATTTTTGTGATCTTCAGATAAACTCTCAGCTTCGATGGGGTTTTTTGTTGCTAAATACTGACATGCTTTACATATGCTTGATTTTACTATCACATCAATTATTTTATTCGAAAATTTGCTTATCAACAACACAATACCTAACAGAGAGTAAATAGAGGCAACAAAATAGAGGCGTTCTGAGTTATACACACTACGGCGCGCTCCATACTTTCGGTTATAACTTTGAGAATACTTTGAATATCGGTCTGAAATTTTCGAAGCATATTTTTAAAATGTTTTTCTTACGAAATATGTAAAAAAAAAAATTCGATTTTTTTAAATCGACACAGGGGGTACTACCTTAAGTTGTACAAAGGTTTTTTGAAAGAAAAAACCGTTTTATAGGATACCGTGTAATAGGAGGGTTTTGTAATTTATGAATCGTGTTATAGCGAAATCGTTTTATAAAATAACGTGTTGTTGGTGGGCTACCTGTATATAAAAATTAAAATTAAAATAATAATATAATTATTTAATAATAATAAAATATTTCAATCTAGCTAAATGAAACGAAATTAATTAAGCCATCTTTATTTCTTACGTGTTACGTACATATTTGTGTAAATGACAAAGAAAAAGAAAAAGAAAAATTAAAAAAAAAAATAAAAGGTATACCATTTAGATCCTAGGATTCATGAGAAAATGGGGTGATAATGATGATCCTCTCTTGAACATTGTTCCTTGGCGTTGGGTTGCATCAAGGACGAGAAAGAGAGAGATATATTCGATGCATCAAGTCTGTTCGCGGTGTGTAAACGGGGGAGGGGAGAGGGTAAAGAAACGTCAGGAGGAAACATAAATGTGGAGGAATAGAGAGATAGCAAGTAGAAAGAGAGAGAAAGGGAGAGAGAAAGGCCAATGAACGGGAGGACGAGGGAAAGAGGAAGAGAAGGAAGAAGAGGAGGATGGGAAGGAGAAAGAGAAGAGGAGACCACAGTATGCGTATGGATCAATACCAATAGTAGCACCTATAGCACGCGTACCGGAGAAGACGCAGACTCTTGGGTGTGTCCGATATCTCGCGCAGCATCCTGTTTAAGTTATAATCTTTATTCTATTTTTCTCTTTTCATTTTGTTCTAAATTTTATTTCTAATAAATTCATCGATTTTTTGTTTTTATACCAATTTGTTTTTATATTATATTATTTATTATTATTATTATATATATGATGCTCAATTATATTTGACTATGTGTTCTGATTTATTATTTTTGATTATAGATAAAAATTTAATGTTATATCTATATAATACATTATATATTTAAAGTCTTAACAAAAAGGTAGAGTATAATTAACTAGGTTCGAACCTAGTTATATGTGTTCTAACTTTACAGTGTGAAATTATATTATTTTATTATATGTATAAGTAGTAAATTTAAAAAGAAAGAAATTAAGAATTACTGTTTAAACGTATTTATATCGGAAGGATGATGACTATACGTCGTAGTTCCTAATTCGAAAGCTACCGGAAAGACTGATAATTATAATGCAAGAGACGACGACCGATCGTCAAGACTCCTGTTTAACATATAGCACGCGCGAAAACGTGGTTAAAATAATACCTACAGTAAAAAAAAAAAAGAAAAAAAGAAAGAAAAACAGAACCGTTCTGTTTCAAGTAGTTGATCTACGTATATATGTCTACTATCATGTCGCATAATGTCGCCAAACTATCATTATTTCGATTTTTCTTTAATTTTAATAATTGATATGGAATGGAGATGACGAAACTTGGCACATAAAAATAATAAATAAAATTATTTGAATGAAAATGAATGTTCACTCTCTTCTCTCTCTCTTTTTCGGAAATAAAATTCATTAAATGTAAGATATAAACAATTAAAAAATTCATTTCTTATGAACAATCTATATGGTGTTATAAAAAAGCAATTGAAGAAATTTCATATAAAACTCATTCGACGTTTATTTAACTGGGGATATACCACCTAGCAAATAAAGACATGATTACTAAATTACAATTTAACAAGTTAAACAAGCAAACATTAAAAAATAAAAATAGAGAAACCTTTGAACGCGTAATTCGATAAACGAAAAATTAACAATAATTAAACCCATTAGCTGCCAACGATCTCCATTTGGTGGGAATTTTGCAATTTTACATAATAACCCCTCGGTTATTACATGTGGATTACATGAAAAAATAATATTTTCATATATGCAGTTTTCTTTTATTCAGCCTAGCACAATCCCCTGTTTGATACTTTTACAAAAATTAAAATATTTTCAAAAGAAAACATAATTTCTCAGTTAATCAATGAAATTAAATATATGTCAATATCTCATGACTAACAATAAGATATTATTAATATCTAACATATTTAAATAAAATTCGTTAATCATATCTTATCGATTAAAAAATAAAAAAACTTTCGCATTGATACGATGAGAGTTATTGTATTTTTGTTCCAGCTGCTGAGAGTGGCGAGGCACCAAAGAAGAAGGGCTTTTTCAAGGGTTTTTGGAAAAGATCACGACATTATTCTTTGGAGAACCAATAGCAGCCCAGGTGTAGCAGGGTGATCAACGGTTGGCAAAGACAGAGACAGGGCCATCAACAACAGCAACAACAGCAACAACGTTATCAGCAACGCGTTGCAACGAGGACTCTAGCTAGCAACCCCTGTTGTTGCATCGTTCAATAACCGCGAATCTTTCCTCCGTAATATCGTTTATACGATATAATAATATCCCTTTTCATCTATATACATAGGTATGATATCCGCGTCTGGGTTGCTTCTGCTTACCAGATCATGACCATCACGATCCGAAAATAAAAATTAGAAAGAAAGAAAGTAAGAGAGAGAGAGAGAGAGAGAGATAGTGAGAAAGTGAAAGAATGAGAGAGAAAGAGAGAGTGAGGAAGAGGGAGAATCCAAAAAAACAGGTGATGGATTTCGTGATTTTTCCACAATTTTTAATAAATAATAACTCCCAATCCGCGGATGGCTGTGAAATAATATTCTTCGTTTGGGATCATGGTTAATATGATCTTATAAAATATAATTATGTGCACCCTTTCGCGGGTTTAATCAATTGCGGGATGTAAATGAGGTTAGGATGAACTATACGGAGGAGAGCTGGAACCGATCGCTCTTTATTGTTATTATTATTATTTTATTATTATTATTATTATTGCCGAGAAAAATCAGCAGTCATGAAAAATCTTAGAATCACGCGAGAGAATCGTGCCTTTTCTTTTTTATTTGTTTTTTACTATTATTATTATTATTATTATTATTATTATTATTATTATTTATGCTTTCTCATGGGGGACAAGGACCAAAAACGGGGGACGGTGGGGACCTTGTCATCTCGTGTACGAACGAATAATTATTATTAAAGTCGAAATATGTTAAGAGATCGAGCTTAGATAACAATATAATTTTTGACAATTATAGCTCGAAGGTTACAATTTGATTTACGTTTTCCGTCGTTAATAAAGGATTGGTTCGAATTGATTCGAAATCGTAAATCGACCAATCATAATTCGAATCGTAGATGCGGAATATGGAATATGGAAAAAGAAAAAGAAACAATTACAATAAATCTTTTTTATAAATAAAATCTACGCGCAATTAACGTTTTTAATAAATTTTTGTTTCTTCAAATATCGACGGGAATATATATATATATATAACGTTATTTTAATTTGTAATTTTTCCATCAAAAAAAAACTTGTTGTCCAATCAAATTGAAAAGTAACGGACAACGCGCGTTTTTTTTATTGATTTATCATTCAATTAATTTATTTATGTTTTTTAAATGTTTCGTTTTTATTTGTTCTGTATTATTCGAGAACCGAGCGAATCGTTAAGAGTAATGAACTATTCAATGTAGAAAGAAAGAGAGAGAGAGAGAAATAGAGAGAGTGAAAGTGAACGAAAGAGAGAATATTCGGGTATTTAAATATATTTAACTTATATTAGCCGATGTGTGATAGATGAAGAAAGAAAGTATAATAAAGTTGCATGGAGCGAGTGTGAGATATTATCGCGAATTAATACGATTATTATTATTATTATTATTATTATTATTAATTAATTAATTAATTAATTAAAGAGAGAATATCATATACGACACATTATTATTGATAAGACTGTAAGTCCACGTTAATGCGTGTTGTAACATTTATAATGTGACCATCGGTCATAATCATCATCGTCATCGTCATTGTCACCATCAACGGCAGCAGCATCACTTTCATCTTCATCACTATACATCGTCATACGCATCAGTATAGAGATTTATAATTATTGTAATAATAATTAATACTATTATTATTATTTTTGTATTATCATCATTACTATTATTATTACTATTATTATTATTAATATTATTATTATGATCACTGATACTGCTATAATCATCGATCACCGTCACCATCACCCATCGTCATCCTTATTATTATTATTATTACATTATTATTAATTAATTATTAAAATAATATAAATGATTATAAATGCTCGAGAACACACAGCCACGTAGGCGTATTACATTCATAAACACGTCTAATGGTAAAGATAACGTTTAAATATTATCGGCATAACATTATTACAGATAAATATATTGAAAAAAAAAGGATAAAAAAAGAAGTATAAGTTTAATGTATATACATACATATGTATGTATATATATGTATGTATATGGGTGTGTATGTGTGGGTGGTGCATAATGCGTGAGGGTTTAAACGTGCATACACGTGTTATATACACGTGTACATTTACGCGACACACCCACGCGCACCTGCATAAGCATATATACATAGAAAAAAAAAAAGAAACAAACAAAATAAAAAAAAGTTCATGTATATACGTATATGTAATTTTAAAAAATCACAAGATTATAGAATCAGTTAATAATTAATTAAATGAATGCAAAAATATGACAGCCATAGATAAACAAATAATTAGATCGTATATTTAATAATATTATTAATTTTTTATTTTGACGTTATTATTAACGCGGCAGTAAACGTCACATGCTGAGGACGAAGTAGCGAAGAATAAAAATGAAAATAAAGAAAAAAGAAAAAAAAAGAAAAAGGTAAATTAAAAATAAAACAAAATGGTGGGCGGAAAGTCGATCACATGCGCGCCAAAGATCATTTAAATTTAAATCGAAATATTTGAAAGGGGTGTATGTAGGTCGGGAGGTTGTTTATACGCGGGTAGAGGTTGAAAAATTTCGAATATTCGAAATCCTCAATATATTATCTCATTTTACCAAACGTTTCTAATATTGGTTTGACAAAACAAATAAGTCTAATATACATTCAAATACGTGTATTAATGTAAGAAGATTTAAAAATTGGGTGTGTTATGCTTTGTCGTATTTCTGAAAAAAGAAAAAAAAATACAAAAGATAAAGAATTTAAATTTAAACAAACATAAAATCGGCCTAGAAAAATTTTTAGATGAAATCAAACCATTTTACGAAAACCATTTTATCAATAGAATTTCCTTTTTTTTATTGTCGAAGATCGTTAAAGGAAAAAAAATTGAATTTTTGATTATTGATTACAATTTTGTCTAGTTGACGAAAATTACCTTCAAAAAAAAAAAGAAAACAGAAAACAAATGCGTAAAGTGGTTTCATTTTCACGATTAAAAAGGATCTTTGAATAATGTACAATGACAGGATAACCAGAATAAGGAATAAAGAAGAAAACAACATCAACAATAAGGGTGGGATGGAGTTGGGGATGATCCCAAATCCAAGTTGCACAACAGACTCTGTTTCATTAATTCACATTGAAGTGAATTAACAAGGAAAATCTCATTCCCCCATAGAACTGATAATAACCTTTTGGAACGAAATCACAGCTTCTCCATTTCTACGATTAAAATCGGCGGATAAATTTTAAAAATAGCGTTTCATTAGTGGAGGATGATTTTATCCACGATTAAAAATAAAGGAAGGAAAGAAAGAAACGATTATGATCGTGTAAATTTAGTTTGCCGGATTTCTATGAAAACACGAGGAGGAGGCTCATTTATTTTGTGCTTTTCTTATTTTTTCTATTGTTAATAAAAAATAATAAAATATTAATTACTCTTATTTAGACAATTCTGTCAAAGTTTCTAACTTCGCACTTTTTGCGATGATAACTACTTTACTTTAACGTACACGAAGAGACAAATCACGAGGATGCTAAAACTTTTGAGGGTAAAGAACAAAAAAACAAAGGTAATTTGACGAAATTTATGTTTCAATCTAATTTGTGTGTGTGTGTGTTGTGTGTTGTGTGTAAAAGAATGAATGTATACCATAAATAATAAAAGAAAATATATAAAATAAATATAAAAAAATAATCAACGTCAAACAAGGTCATTTCAGATACGTCGAAGAATTTTTAAGAAAATTTGGATTAAATCACAAAGGGATGGTGAAATAGATATTTTTCATCGCAAATCGATCAATTATAAAAATATAACACTAGTGTGACCTTGCTAGAAATGAAATTTTTCAAAAACTTCGAGATTGAACTTACAAAATTGACAGTTTCGTTTGACGGAAGTTTGTGGTATATTTTTTTTAGAGGATATCCTTCTTCAAACGACCACCATTTCCTTCAACAGATAGCCGCGTAATCCAATTTAGGCTATAAACGCTTTTACTTTATATATATTTACTTCAATTGATCTAATCCAAAAAAGATTCAATTTTGTTTCATTTAAATTAGTAAAAGTAAAAGAACGAACAAGTATGAATATTTTTTCTATACTCGAGAGAAGAGAAGAATATTAATATGTAGAAAGTAAAACAGCAAGAGAAAGGAGAACGCTTTCGTTAACATGTTAACAAAACTTCTTATATAAAAAAGAAAAAAATTGTTGAAAAAAAACTCACCTCGACGGAATAATAAAATTATTTGCACTTTAAGTTTTTTTTAAATAATAAACGATGATAAGATCTATACTCAATGTCAGTATTTTGATCGCATATAGGCGTAAGTATAAAATTTCAGCTAATTGAAGATATATAAGAAAATAGATCATCGTTTCCCCATTGGTTACAGTTGTCGGTCTTCATCATCATCATCGCCATCATCATCATCATCATCATCATCATTGTCATTGTCATCGTCGTCATCGTCATCATTGTCATCCATTTCAACCTTTCCTTCAATTATTTCGGAAGACTCCTAACACTCCATTACGCATCATGCATACATTTATATAAGAATATATAATTTAAATATTAAAATACACACAACGTGGCAAATGACTACATGTTTCTTCGAGTCCATCAGAAACCCTTCATGGTACCCCATAAATCGTCTGCGAACTCGATTTGAACAACTTCGAAAATAGAAAAATAAAATAAAGAATCATTATTACCTCTGCGAACATATATATAGTTGCACAACAGAAAATTAAATTTAAAAAAAAAAAAATAAAATATAAGAGGTTTGTGAATCCTCCAAAAATAATGAACAACTTGGAAAGACTGCTAAGCTGCAAAGGTCCACAGTCTTTTTTTTTCTTTCTTCGTTCTTCTGTCCCATTTTGTCATAATTTCGTGCAATATGTGTACACAAATCTATATATATACAACATACACACGCATTGGGATACGTTTTTGTTGACTTTTATTACAATTATTATTTCAATGTTTTATTCCTTCTTTTGTTATCAATAAAAATCGTTACATAGTAGTTTGGGCCGCTGCTTGGCGTCAGACGAATCGGACAAGCAACCAATTATAGTAATAGTAGTAGCGGTAGTAGTAGTAATAATAGTAATAATTCAGTAGCAGTATCTCGTGTACGGATGCGTTTTGTTTTGCGTGAATGTGCGTATACGAATATCTACGTGTGTACGTATCCACCATCCCCATTTCGAATTTGTGTATATATATGTGTGTATATATTTGTGTGTGTATATATATGTATGTGTCTCTGGTGTACTTCGAGGACGCATATATCTCTTTCAAAACTTTTGGATGAAGAAAAAGAAAAAAGGTAAACGTCGGGAATGTATCCAACGTATCTCTTTTTCGTCTCCATCTCTTTCTCTGTTTCTTTTCTTATTTTTTTTGTTTTATTTTCAACGTCCTGCATTCGTAACACGTTGGCCTCGAAAATACCTTTTATCACCGGATCTTCCTACGGACGAAGAAAGTCATGAGAAACAAGAGGACAAAACGAAATAAACAAATTGAACACACAACCTTGTCGTCGTCATCATCACCGTCGTTGTTCCTGAAAGGAACCAGCGCACGATTATATTGCCTTTCAAAATTCAATGATATATATTATATATATACTTATCCTGATGTTTAATTTAAATGGGGATTCTCGTCAAATGGATATGATGAACGAGAAAATTTTATTTTTCCCCTTCGTTCATTGAAGAAAGTATATAAAACTTTGAAAACGAAATGAAACATAACATGAACAATTGTTCCAACTAGTTTGTGATTAGTGTACTACTGGGCACAACACCTCTTCCCGACGAGTATATAGGTTTTTTTTTTTTTTCATTTTTTCATATAACAACGATCGATCCATAATCTTCTTCTCTTTCTTCGTATTATTTTCTTTTTTTTCTTTCTTATAACAATTTCTTTCTTATAACTTTTGTTTTCTTCCTTACCCAATCAAAAATGAATTTTAATAAAGATAAAATGTTAACGGTAAAAATTCGTATTTTTTCTCCGCCATATTGAAAAAAGGAATAATGAAAATGAAACGGAGTTCTATTATTCTTGAACGTGAATACTTATTCCAAATCGTTTACCCTTCTCTTCGTTACTTTGTCTGATGCATCACGCGTGATTTTTCTAATAGGTTGATGCGTCGCCTTTGCTCAGAGTACGTACATTACGAATTTTATGTATGCAAATGTGTATATGTTTATAGATTGTGTGTATATGTATGTATGTGTGTGTCTATGTTAATGTCTAAATGTTAGCTTACGACTCTCATCCCAGAATATAATAATCACGCCCTTCTTTCTCTTTGTATTTCATATTCTTTCTTTTTTTTTCCTTAATCTTCACACGAACATTGTTAAAAATCCCCTCTCTATTATGACACATCCTTCGTCGTTTTATTTCTCTTACACGTAGCAATAATAAAGACAGTAAATAGCTAAAAGGACCGTATCGATTCTTGGGGGACGCGGCCAAGATTGCGGCCAATCAATCAGTGCCGACTCACCCGCTGCCGCATGCATGCTCGCCCGCAATTTAACATTATCATTACCATTATCATCATCATTATTATTATTATCATCGTCATCGTCGTTCTATCGTTAGCCATCATTATTATATTCTCTTTTTCACAATCATTATTGACCAGCAAAAAGAAAATAAAACAATCATCATCATAATCATCATCGTCGTCCATCTCGAACTACCATACGCTCTCGCGAACCTCGGGTTTTTATTATACCGTCACCATTGTTATCTATTTGTTTTTTGTTTAGGTAATCTTTGCGATTCCTTCCCCGCAAAAATGTAAACACATACATACACACATACACACATACATACACACAAGCGTTCTTCCAGTTCGCTATTTTTTTTATTTTCTTCTTCTCTCCCTCTCTCTTCATTTCCATTCAGTCATTCTTACTACCCCCTTGTCATCGCACATTCGTTCAAACTTTCTTTCTTTTTCTTTTTTTTTCTCTCTCTCTCATTCTTTCTCTCTCTCTCTCTCTCTCTCTCTCTCTCTCTCTTGTGCTCGTTTTTTTCCAACTTTATTCTTTCTTTCTATCTATACGAATATTTTTATTATTCTCCTTTTTCAATTCTTCTTTCATTCGTTCGAATTCTCACACACGTTTACCCGCTCACTATCTTATTTTCTTATTTTCTCACTTTTTCACCTTTACGGATCCTACGAAAGAAAAGGATTGTAAGCCTAACACAATAGTTTATTATTATTTATTATCATTACTTCTTATACTTAAATTCATGCGCGTTCATCATATTCGTTCCTCCATCAGCGAAGCGCCGCGCACAAAAGCGATTAGAAAGGATAAGGATTTATCTTCCTTCCGTTCACGTTTTTATGTTTCTGCCATCATCACAATCATCATCATCATCATCCGTTTTCTATTTATTGTATGTCTCTGTTTAGTTTGTTTGTTTGTCTATTGTCCGGTTCGTCTATACGTTAATTTTAAATTCACTCCATTTTTAAATTGTTCCACCCACACGTAATACAAAATAACTTATTTATATACCGTGTTCGAAAACTCGATTTAGTCTCCAGGCTTTCTTGTCTCCGCCATCTTTTTCTCTCTGCCGTCACCTCGCCGCCATTGTTGTTTTTATTTTTTTTTTCGATCGAAATCACTCATTCTCTCTCATTTACTCACGTTAATTCGTTACAAAAAAAAACATCCTCTGCTCATTTTCTTCGATCGGTGACGATAAAGTTAACATAATTTGTTTTTGTTTTTAATATATCCATTAAATGTTGTTATACAATTATCACCAGATATAACAACTTTTCTCTATCGGAAGAAGCTAGTAGTAAAGATGCGTTGTTAAAAAAAAATTATTAACGTGAGAAATGAGGATGTTTATAATAAATGCTGCAGAGAGAAAAATGGACAGGAGGAATGAGAAAGGATCGTAAAAATATTTGTGTGTATGATCTTGTCGCATTTTAATGTAAGATAAAGAAAAATAATCGTACGTGTGTGGCTCGTGACGAAAGCAAAATTCGAATCTCTTTTACCTCCTCCTCTCTTCCTCCCTTCTTCTCCTTCTCTATTATATTTTACAGAAACAAATCGATTATCGTCGACATTTCCGAAAAAACACGAGATTTTCCACCCGAAACGACAAATAAAAATATACTTTCCAAAGATATATTCCGGAAAAATGATTTTTTTTCTTTCTTTTTATATAGGAACAAAAATAAGGAAAAATATAAAATCTTGAAATGACTGGAATATTTGCGGATGATGCGCTCGTGCCTTACACGCACATACACACACATACACGCACGCACGCACGTACACAATTTGATTGATCACACGTTATACCACCACCACCACCACCACCACCACCAAACCGCCACAATTGCGACCACCATTACACCACATTGCCGTCGTCATAATCATTATATCATTACCATCATTACCATTAAGAGCGTTCTTTTCGATCACGAGCCCGACGACATGTAATAATATTTCATAGGATAGAAGCGCTGTTTTATGTGTTGAGTACGACTATAATCGAAGTCCCCCGTTGTTTCGTATGTTAAACGAAAATTATTATTCAATGCACTTTTTTCCCCCTATTCCGAAATTTCCCTATATTCCGTGGTCTGGCTGCATTTTCAAATATCTCGCGCGCGCATGCGCAATGTATACACATATCGAGCTTATATATATCATCACTTTTATATAATCTTTATTCTCTTAAACGTATATACGCGCGTGCTTTCTCTCTCTTTTTCTCTCTCTCACACACACCCCCTTGTATCATTCAAAAGTGTATCTCTTATCTCTTCCTCTCCCTTTCGTACGAATGTAAATAAGAATGTGCGTGTGTGTATGTGTTGAATAAAAGACTATCGATATTATAATGGATTCGTGTGCATATCTATAAAATTATTTTTTTTTTATTTACCGTAAACAACACGCTCTATCGAGTATTGGCACGTGTATTATTTTTTTTTTAAAACTTCTGTTTTTTTTTTTATCCATGAGCATTCCAATCGTCGACCAAATTGTGTGGTGTGTGTGTATGTGTGTGGGAAGGATGATTATTAATTATATGTATAATGATATTATATTGCATATTATTTTTCGTAATGATGTATGATAATCAATCGTACGTGTGTGTCTTGTACGTATTTAATAAAGGAAAGTTTTTTCTGTGTTTATAACTAATCTATCTATAAATCTATCTATTCGTCACAGTTTGTCACAGTTCGTCACAGTTTGTCACAGTTCGTCACAGTTCGTCATAGTTCGTCTTATTTCGTCGTTCCATTTTGTCCCGTCAATTGATGATTCGTCTAATCTGTCCGTTGGTCTGGTCCAGTCCATCTGTCTTAAACCATGATTACGACGTGTGTATATTATTACTGTGTGTGTGTGTCATTCGCATATGCAATTGTGTATCTTCAATGATGCTTGCGAGTACGCATACCGTCTTAAAGGGGGGGGGGAAGTCATGTATTTAGTGGCGTAGGTCGGTTAAATGGACGCGCGCGCCTTCATTTCTCGATGTCAAGTCAAGTCGAAATGGAGAAAACGATGACTGCAGTATGGTAGTAATAGTTGTTGTTGAAATTGTTGTTGTGTAGTAGTTGTGAAGTTGTTGATGTTGTTGTTGTTGTTGCTGCTTCTTCGTCGTCGTGCATCGTGCGGCAGGCTTGCGGCAGTTGCGGCGCGGCTCGTGCGGCATGGCGCATTCCATTCGCTGTTCATTTAAAATAATCGACTGTATTCGTTTGTTATTAATAATTAGATATTTTGTGTTGGGTCCCAGAGGTTACTGAAACAGAAAAATTAACGAATACGTTCATCTCACAACCAATTATAAATTACGGATTTTTTTCTCCCAACTACGATTACTTTTTTTTTTTTGTTGATTGGATATATATAAATGGAGGGGTGGGTAGAAGGTGGAAGGGATATTTTCTCAAAACGCTCAAATAAATGTTGGAAGAATAAAAGGAATATTTTTTTCTTTTTTTTTTTTCATATGAAGATTTATTCCAATCGATGTAATTTAAATGCTCGGTGTTACCACTAACAAATACGCAATTAAAATGGAATATTGATGAATTTATTTTAAATATTTAAATGACATAACGACGATTTCTTAATTATTTTTTATATACGTGTTACTATACAATCGAAGGAAGTCAGTGTTGACGTTAATATCATCATCGAGTCACAAAGAAACTCCCCCCTCGCCATATTGGAAAAATTCTTTAAAGGTGAATACAGTGCTCCGTTTATCGTCAAAAAAATTCTTAACTTTGTTACGAACGGTTTATCATTATTGATACGAAATTCTTTTATATTTGTAAAAAATGAATCAAGAGTTTTATTAAGATTAGGAAGGGCCTTAATTATACTTAAGGCCTGGAAAATAAGAATAATGGCGAGATGTAATCTTAACAGCAATGTTTAATAAATTTTTTTTCAATATATATTATACAACGATACGAACCAGACCTAAATATAAAGATCACTTTCTTTCGTTCATTATCAGTTAGAGTCTTATTTAGGTGATATACTCAACATTCCCAATATGCAGTGTCAGAAATAATGAGATGATGACTTATTAACCGATAAAATGTTTAAATATCTATACCTCATATGTTAAATTTATCGAATAACAAATATGTCAAATAAAATTAGTTGTTAAACTAATAATAACAATTAACCATCCTATAATAATGATAAGATTACCAACAAAATTGAGAAATAATTAATGGATACGTAGTGAATGAAATTTGGGTAAAAAATCAACTTCTAATCCAATTTCTTAAATGAACTGAAGATTTAAACGTGACTGTAATTGCAATATTTTCTACAAGGAAGAGCTTAAGAAACTTTGACAAATATTTTAAGATACACCGAAAAAAAAAAAATAACCTTCTATACTATTTCTCTCTTTATTGCATAGTGATTTAATCAAAAAAATACATGCACTGCATCTTATAATTTTATTTACTTTCCACACACTCTCTCTTGTCCACCTTTACTATAATTCCTTGCTTTAAAAAAAAATCTAACATTATTTAAATAATCGGGATATAATAATACCATACGTAAAAGTGCATACGTATATTTTTCATATAATAATATTATCATTTCCAAGAAGGTATAATCATGCACATTAAAGAAAAAGAGAACAAGAAAGACATTGGCTACGATAAAATGAGAAAAATGAGACAAAAAACGATGGCATGGGAATCCTAAGTAGCTCAGCTTCGAAGAACAAAATATTTATCGTTCTTTCGAAGAGTGCCTCGTGCAACACACACACAAATTTATACATATCGTATCTCCATAGAAGCGGATGCACAAGTATATTCGTGATTAGTCATCGCAGCGAGCTAATATCGAGCTAAAAGCAGTCAAGGAGAATTAAGTGCGTGACTCACTCTTACCACTGCACTTACACACACTCTTAATGCACCGTTGTCGTCGGTGCGCACACGTCAAAAACGAAACCGACTCACGTTTCTCCGATTTAATAGAATCACGCGTGCGCACAATACCTTGAAAATGATCGAGAATTCAACAAAAAAAAAAAAAAAAACGCGACTATCGCGGTCACCAAGAGATAAGAGATTATTTATTGGTCGTTTAAATTTACTAATTATTCGAATTAAAATATAAATGTATATGATAAAAAAGAAAAAAAAAACAAAGACGACGTCTATATGGACAGAAAAGAGGAATAATTTTTTTTATATGCATGAGTCATCGACCCTATGTGTAGTATTATATGGTGCATATTAAAACAAAACAAAAAAGAGAATAATGATAAAATTTCTTACGCGATTGACTTACTAATCGAGATAGAAATGTCATAAATTTTTTTTCTCTTTTTTTATATACGTACATATCTCCGTCATATTCTTATTTTTGTTCTTTATATCATCCTCCGCGTATCGACAATAAAAAAAAAACAAACAAACTACAAGCCAGTTCATTCGCGAACAATGAAAACAACAAAGTTTCCTCGGTGTGAGATTGAAACAATGGCGGAGCCAGAAGCAATTGCGCTGGATCGGCAGGGAGGGTTGAAATGCAAACAAGAAAGAGTGTGACAGAGAAAGAATGAAAAAAGAGAGGGGAAGGAATAGAGGAAAAAGTGAAGGAAGAGAGGCATTGGCCGCAGTGTTCATCGAATGACAAGACGATAACGATAAGAGGTAACAAGAGTGGGGGGATATGAAAACGGTGAAGAGAGCAAACGATATTTTTTTGTTTTTGAAAAAACAAGTGAAAAAAACGCACGAGCAATTTGAAATTTCCAATAGATTTGGTCATCGTTGACATACTGATATTTATCAAATTACATATCCGTTATTTTAAAAAATTTAAAGCATTTTCAAGAGTTCCTACATATATCTTTTTTTTTTATTTTTTTTTCATAAATCAAAAATACACTTTCGAATCAATGAACGCCGCTCAATTCGATGCAAATCGTAAAATTGTGGTCTTGGTTATTTAGCGCTTATTCATCGTCGTCTCATGAACTTGAATGACCTTGCAATGAGGCTAACGACTCCTCCCCTCCCCTCCTCCTCTTCCACATGTAGTATGTTAATAAGCGTCTAATATAATACTTCAAAGTAATCGCTTTGATAAGTTGTGTTTTACGTCACAAGTTGTTGATTTTTAAATACTACTTCGATGAACGACTTATAGTATATTATAAGGAACAGGAAAAAAAAACCTTTCGCCTGCATTTATATATTTTTTTGTGTATAACAACAATGCTTGCGGTGGTTCTAAATTAGGTTAAATATGTAATTAATAATACAAAAATGTGAATTACAATGGAAGTATTAATAAGAAAAAAAAAAGAAACCATCGACGACTTTTATCGATTAAAATTTTTCCATCAACATGCACAAGCTACGAGGCCGCTAAATGTAATGATCGTCATCGTCATCGTCATCGTCATCTTCAACTTCATCTAGTTTATTCGCAATAATATAATATAAAGTTAAAGGAAAAGAAAAAAAGAAAAATGGACATGAGTTGGTTATTTTTTTTATTATTATTATTTTACTATTATTATTTCTTTTATTTTACTGACCTAATAGCCGCAGGACACGAGGTAGTCGCCGAGTTTTTCAACGACAGACGCGGCTTGCTGTGGCTGTATGGGGTCCTCATAGAGGGAGACGACTACGGCTTGCGTCGTCTTCATGCAGTGGACGCCAACTTTTCCGAGTTTTGCCCTTATCACACGATCCGTACCCGATAGATATATGTACCTGTTGCCAGCTAAGGTAACCCCTGATGACGTTAGGATATCTTGTTCCGCGAAACCCTGCACCAATTTCGCGAGCTCCTCTTTGCTCACCTGAAATTACATCAATTCAAATTTTCCCATGAGTATATATATGTTAAGAGAAAAAATTAAATATAAAATAATAAATTTATTTATAAGAAAATTTTTTTTAAGAATTACAAGAAAAATTTAAAAACAAAAAAGATAATTCGTGTTGGATTATTAAATCTATGTGCGTGTGTATCATCATCTATTTTATAGGTTTAATTCATCAACCTTTATTATTAGTATGAACTTTTAACTTGGTTTATTGTGAGATACAAGTGTTTTATCTCTCTTATTAAATGGAATCAACGTTTAGGTTTGATTATCAGTAAATAATACAAACGGAGAATAGAATTGAAATATGAATTTGATAAATAAACGCTTAAAACTGCATGAATTTTTTTTGTCCGATCTGATATAATCGTTGAACAAGAAACATTTGCGTTGCATCTACAAGTATAAAATAATGATCAAGCTTGATTCGTTGTTAGATAGAAATCACACGTTCATTAATTTAACAATTATCTTTGCCCTATTGTTGAGCTAATATTTGGTTTGTCTGTGCTTTTGGGATCGATAAAAATCGGTAGAAATATGACTCTCTTCATTCATTTTATATAAAGTCATTAATTAATTGAAGACATTTGAATTTTCTATATTTATATTATTTATATTTGAATATTTACAATGCATAAAAATATATAGCCAAGAAATATATACAAAAAAAAATACAATAAATATTATTATAGAGAAGGAACGTAGGGTTTCCATGGTTCTAATTACGGTCCTGAAAGCTATGATTCATGCAGCCTTTTGCGGTCGATTCTCTTTTCTCCACATTCTGCTCGCCACAGAGTCACAAAGCATTGCGGAAAAAACTATTTTCACTAATTCATGAGATCAGTCATCGTAGAAAAAGCGTGTAATAGTTCTTTTTTTTCTTCTTCTTCTTTTTATAAATTGTAATTTTACCAAACGACCTAATTCGGTAAAAGCTATTTATAGTAGAATTTTAAAAGTAAAATCAAAATTACAAAATTACCGATTTATTGACTTTATTTCAAAACGAATTCCCAATTTTTAGAATTCAAAACATGCTGCATTCTACGCGCATGTGTATACACATCTGCGTTAGACTGATAAATTAATATACGAACAAAATGGATTCTTAAGTTTTTAAATCAACTCTCTATGGCATTTTATTTGAAACATTTAATTATCCATTTGTAATATTTACTTAGTCATTTTTTTTATAAGAATTTTATGATAAAAATAATTCATTTTTGCAATTTGTAATTAAATAATTTTGTAACAGCCCTATAGTAGGTATGTGTAACAAATTAACTCGATTACTATTATTTCAAATACTAATTATTAAGTTTTGTCATGTTACAACAGCGAATGCAAGGATAATCGATGATCTCGCTGAGGTACCCACAAAGTAGCAATTTTCTATACAGCACTGAGAGAGGTTGCTGCCCGACTGGCATCGCCATTTTGGCATTTGTAACCTGAAAGTGTGATCGTAAAGCCGCTGTTGCTGCAGCTGGCGACCTTTATCTCAAAGTTTCACCAACTGAAACCTTCCACTATACTATAAAATACCGTCTTTAAAGTGTTGTAAGCGTTAGTAAACAAAAAAACAAAAAAACAAAAAAAGGAAAAAACCACACCCCTCTAGCCTTTATTTTTTTCGTGAAATAAATTGTTTTATTATAAAAATTAATTTCTTTTTTTTAAAGGTACAAGTACGCATGCATATTGTTTATAAATGTATTATTTTTATTGCATTATTTAAAACGTTCTAATAATAATTTAAAACAATCATCGAAAATGTAGAAATGTTTCTAGTTTTATTTCAACTAAATGCTACATTTTCTCCATTCGATTCGACTTTCTCTTATTTATTTTTGATAAGGATTTGATTGAAAATTCCTATAGATTCTAGAGGTTGGGTATCATCAAGTATATATACAAAATAATTATAATTTATATTTAACATGAATTTTGTAACAACTTAAAATCACACTCAACAATAAATCAAAAGGGTCAAAACTTTAAACTTGAAATAAACGTCGACAAACCTAACTTAAAAAAAAACAAAGATACCTACCATCCTAAACATCCCCTTTAAAAAAAAGAACTACGAAAAAACAAAGATGCACGATACGCGTTCCAACTGTGTTTTAATGTTTAAGAAATCGTTAAGAAAGTTAAGTTCGAAAGATATTGGGTTGTCTAAAAAGTTGGTACCGAATAAAAGAAAAAAAGTCCTACGTAAATTAAAAAAGAGAATTGAAATATTTTAATTTATTTATAAATCGGTAGGAAAACTTTCTGAACTAAACGAATATTTTATTATAGTAATTAAGAAAAAATGAGAATAATGGTAAACGTTGATAAAACGTTTAACAAAGCTTTCATAGAACACGACACGTTCTGATGGTGATAGTGAGTGTTGTGTTGTGTAGTAGTAGTTGTAGAATCGGCCACGAATAGAGAAAACAGAAACCGGTTTCTCTGATATCGCTGACACCACTAGCCACGATATCGTCCTAACGTCTATGATAGAGAGCTTGATGGACTTACTACTATTCCACAAACCTGTTGTCTCAACTGATCAAGTATTAAACCATCCCTCATCGTTGTCATAATGTCACAGACCTATCGCACTATGAATAAGAACACGCATGTCTACTAACCTTATCTCTTTCTTTTACTATTCCAAATACCTCAAAATCTTACCGTTGCAAAGAAAATTCTTCAAATACAAAAATACTTTCGGCTCCCTCCCATGTACAATGAAGAAACAAAAAAGAATGATGCAACATACGAAAATTATTTAACGTAACAAAGTAACGTGAAATGCTCATCAAATGAGTGTTGAAAATAATCACGCAACGAGATACAAAATTAACGTACTGAAAGATTAGAATAGTTTGTACTAAATTATTGCACAAAAATTGCATGCAGTTTTTTTATTTGTAATTAAAATTTGAGCAAATTAAATGTCTAGGTATTTAACTAGAAATATAACCAGGAGATAAAATATTATAATATGTTAGAATGAAACTCGGTATAAAAAGACGACGACTATAAAAGAAATTAATATGAAAAATTTTTTGAAGAAGGAAATAAATGAAATTTTCATACAACATTGATCAGAAAAATGCCACCCTCCCTTCTGGTAGATTGTTTCTCGCGATATTTGTACGTTCCTGGGGATTTCTTTCGTCTTCGCTACGATATTCATTTACCGACAGGATATGCGAGAGCTTTTGGAATGGTGCGCGGAGGGCGCCCCAATCATTCACAAATATTTCTGGAGTGGACCGTCATCGAATAATCGAGAAAACGAGAATATATGCTTCTCCTCCTTTACACGAAAGAAAACTAGTTTCTTTTTCAAAAGCATTTAATTACCTTTTCATTCTATTTCTATATGATTCTACGATAACGTTGAGATCAATCGTAATCAACAAAAGAAATATTCATTTTTTTTTTTTTAAGAGATTACACTTACTACTCGTAATAAAATTTGATAAGATCGGAAAGAGAGAGAGAGAGAGAGAGAAGAGAGAGAAAAAAAGAATTGAAATCGAATCGATGATTTCAATAATATTAAATATTTAATGTTAATACAAAATAATTGAAATTATACTCTCTCAAAAATCAACAATCAGAAAACTATCATCATCCATCTATTTTATTAATCCTTGTGTATTATTGTTTGAATGAACGTTTAAACCTAAATATTCCTAGTATCAAAAGAATAGCACCCTTTATACATCCCGCAAACCAACTGCGCATCTCAAATATATTTTTAAGGAAAATAAATAAAAACTAGAAGAAAGAAATGACAATAAGTAAAGAATGTAAAGGCGCTGTATGTGTGTGTGCAATGAGAAAGAAAGAAAGAGAAAGAGAGAGGCGGCCATATTTTAAACATCGCAAAACCGTTGACGATGTAACGTTCAAAAATTTCAACGTTCCAAGTGGCGGAGGATCCGCCACACCCTCTTTCACTGACGAATAGGACGAAAGAAGAAAATACCATTTTTCTATGGTCTCTAACAAATGGGCTTAACGATCGATTATTATCGAGTAAGCAATAAAATATTTTGAAAGAAAGGATCGAGAATATCTTATCACTCGTCGAAAAAATCTACGACACACGTCTGTGGGTGTGCAATTGGAAGTTAAACTATTCCCAACGTCAAAAACGATCAAGACGACCATCTTCTCCTCCTCTTTCTTTTTTTTTCTTCTTCTTCTCTGTTAACGGCGTAACGCCTCTTGGCGTTCTTCGACTCTCCTCATCCTTCCCGTTTTGTCGAGTGTTTCGACCATGCGTCGTCTCGAAAAACATGTCCGCCGGTCGCGCGCTGCCACGAGAGCCCGGCCGGCGAGCAACGAGAATGTGTGTGTAAGTCTGTATGCGCGCGCGTGAGCACATCCGCGTACAAAACGAGCTCCTCTACCTAGAAACAATGCGCTCCTCTGCTGATTCTACAGACACTAAATCAATTTTATTCTTTTCTCTCTTTTCAGAAATATGCCCTCCCTAAAATAAAATAGTCGTACTCCCTAAGATCTCAAAAAAGAAAAAGAAAAAAAAAGAAAAAAATTGGAATATTAAATATCCCCTTGCATACACGCCACGCGACGAGATACAAACGTATAAAATCCTTAAGGTACATACTTTTTATTTTTTTTCTGTTTTTGGGACGAAAAGAATGTTAGACTCGAGAACAAGGAAACTTAGAGAGTGTTCTCCTCTTTCGATCGATCACACTTTGCAGGAGTATGTTCTCTCTTTCTTGCTTCCACTTTAAAATCCATGTATCGTTTTCTCTTTCTCTCTTTTTTATTCTCTTTCCTTTGTCGTTAAGCCGGCTGTACGAGAAAATACATAAATTCGGCATTTTGCTGATCTTTCTCCCCTACCTACTTCATCTACCTATCTACCTACCTATCTACACCTACATATCTATATACCTCTCACACTCTCACATATTCTTTCTTTCTCTCTCTCTCTTTTTTTCTTTCTTTCTTTCTTTACGTCTCTCTGCTACTCACTTCGAAGCCTTCGGACTTTGCCCACAGGTTGCCATCATGTCCGGCAATAGCAGCTTTGGTAACGCACCTCGATGCAAGCAATTGCTTATCAACGTAATCCTGCCAGCTCATTTTTGAACACAGAAGGAAAGGGGGACGAGCAAACCGTTCGCACTATCAACACAAGAGACACGATCCGTCAACCGACCGACTCGTCTCACGACTACCGATATCTGCTCAACGCCGCTCGCATTTACCCCCGTGTTCCCCCTCGTCTACCCTTCTCTCCGGCAAACTACACCACCCCCTCCTCCTCCACTTCTCTTTACCAGATACCGTTGACCGATGACGACGAACCAACTGCTCAGTGTTACCAATCTTACATTCATTTTCAAATTACCCTAGAAAAGGATCATCCGATAGGACGATTTTCTTTGGAATTAAATCATCTAGTTATATTTCAAATGCATGTGCAGCGCCATATTGAAACTCTCAATTCCCTAGTTGAAGATAATTGTAAATTTAAAGATACATGATTTTTTTCTTTTTTTAGTACATTCTCTGCTAAATAATCTGAATATAAAACTTATTTATTTATATATACTTATTGTAAATTTGTTCGATATTTGCATCGGATATTGCATCGATCGAATAAAATGTATCCTTAGATTCTTCCACGTGATTGGTAGATAATATGTTCATCGAATGATACGATTTATTGAAAAATATTTATTGTACGAGATATTTAGAGTATTATAAAATGATTTAATATAATATTAGTAGATAAATATAATAATTTCATATTTTTATTATTTAATAAATTTAAACATCCCCAAAGACAAAATTTGCAGCATTGTAGAAGGTCTGTCAACTAAATAAAATGAAAAACATAAGCACACGTGTGTATCGTAATCGCAGATATGTTGTATAAACAAGCACATTTTTTATAAAAATATAAGTAAATTATAATAAACAAGATGCAGGTTTCTTGTCCGAATAATGTAAAAATTTATAACTTAAGTGTAGGCAAGTCTTTGCCCGATGTAAGTAATTATATACAATTAATAATTTCTTACTGTTTAGAAACCATCTTTAAGGTTATACATGGTATAACATTTACAATTTTTTTTAATAATTACAGTGGTTGTCCGAAAGAAAAAAACGAAGTTTACTAAAAAAAAATGTTGGTATGTGACATTTCATGCTTTCTATTGTATATTTATAATTCATCATTAAAACAACGCGTGTGTATATGGTTAATGTAGGAATATTTCAATAATTACAAATATATATATATATATATATATATATACTATAAATATATATTTTTCTAGGCTTAAGACGTCGCATAGAACTTATACAAGATTTTGATATGCCCGGAGTTAGTACATCGATTAAAATTTCGAAAGATGGACAATATATTTTAGCAACCGGAATTTATAAACCGCGTGTTAAGTGTTTTGATGTTAACAATTTGTCATTAAAGTTTGAAAGATGTTTTGACTCTGAAGTAATCACATTTGAAGTACTATCAGATGATTATAGCAAGGTAAGCATTTAAATAAACAAAATAAAATAACAAGATATGTATAATAAATACCTTGTGTTTTTATCAGGAATTATTTTTATATATTTTCTTATTTTTTTAGGTTGTGTTCTTACAATATGATAGAAACATTGAATTTCATGTTGCTCATGGCAAATATCATCGGCTTAGAATACCACAATTTGGCAGAGATTTAAAATACCACTATCCGTCTTGCGATCTTTTTGTCGTAGGTGTTAGGTAGGTCTTAAATATATATATATATTATGTTTTAATTCATTGTGTTTGATTTGTTTTTTTTATCTCAAGAATTTATATCAAAAAACAGAAGAAGCAATTGAAACAATTATTTGTCTTTTAGTAATGAAATCTACAGAATTAATTTAGAAAGAGGACAATTTTTACAATCGTTTCAATCGGAAGCAACTGCGATAAATAAATGTGAAATAAATCCGTTACATCATTTACTCGTCGTTGGAACGCAGGACGGGAAAGTTGAAGCTTGGGATCCGCGAACAAAAAATAGAGTTGGCGTATTGAATTGTGCGTTAGATTGTGTACTTCAGAATGATGGGTAAAATATCATTGTTATATAAATAATAATAATTAACGCGTTAAACATAACGTCAATCATTAGTGAAATTATTTTATAGGTTGTACACAGTTCCTTCCATTACTTCTTTGAAATTTCAAGGTGGTTTGACGTTAGGCGTAGGAACATCTAACGGGAAAGTTTTATTATACGATGTCAGATCTTCTAAACCATTTTTATCAAAAGATCATGGATATGATTTACCTATCAGAAATATCGAGTTTCATAAAAAATTAGATTTTGTTTATTCTATGGACAGTTCTATCGTTAAAATATGGGAAAAAGATAACGTATATATGATATTTTAACAATTACGTATTTCCAAACTTTTATTTGCTTGATTTTATTGAATAAAAATTTTTTTTTGTTTTTTTTTTTTCAGGGAAAAATATATACGTCCATAGAAGCAGAAAATGATTTTAACGATTTATGTGTAATACCGGATACGGGAATGCTTTTGATAGCAAATGAAAGTTCTAAAATACAAACTTATTATATTCCTAGTCTTGGTCCAGCACCTTACTGGTGCAATTTTCTCGACAATCTTACAGAGGAATTAGAAGAATTGAATTATGATATTATTTATGATGATTATAAGTTTGTTACTGGAAAAGAATTGGATGAATTAGGACTTTCTCATTTAAAGGGCACTAATTTACTTCGAGCTTATATGCACGGTTACTTCATAGATATCCGTTTATACCGAAAAGCTAAAAACGTAATGAAACCATTCGAATTTGAGGAATATAAGAAAAAGAAGATACGAGAAAAGTTATCAGAGACGTGTGCCAATAGAGTAAAAGTATACAGATTTTTTTACTTCAAATATCTATTCTTCTATGTTTTCTAGAATCCAATGAATTTTATTTAAATTTTTGCAGGTTCAACAATTGCCTAAGATCAACAAAGAACTGGCTTTAAAATTAATGGAAGAAGAAGCGAATCCAAATACTAAAAAGAAGAAGAAAAATACGGTAAATATATTGAAAGATGACCGTTTCAAAGCATTGTTCAATAATCCAGATTTCCAAGTTGATACAAATTCAGAAGAATACGCTTTATTGAATCCGGTTATTTCGCAACTTGAGAAAAGCAAGGCAAAGAAATTAAAGGCTGCGATAGAACAGCAAGAACAATCGGAAAACAAAAATTATTCTCTTAATGAAGAACACGAAGGTAAAATATTTTAATTGTTACATTATAATGTACAACGGCGATGCCTTTAATTTGATAAAACAAAATGATTATGCCTATGTACTGACATTATTTATTTTGTTCTATCTGTAGATAAAAATTCAAGCTCGGATGAGAGTTTTATACATGATGATAGTTCGGACGATGAAAAAACTTGGGCTAAAGATGTGCGAAAGCAATATCGAATGATAAAGAGAAACCGACAAAGAGAAGAAGAAGAAGAAAAAGAAAAAGAAAAGGAACAAGAAAAAGAAAAAAACAAAAAGTTAAAAGACAATAAAGAAATATCAAATAATCAATCGAATCTATATGAATTTAATGAAGATATAGAATTTAGAGGAGCAATACCTGTTCCAAAAAGACAAAATAAGTAAGTAATATATAAAGTATACATCGTCGAATTTGTATTATTAAATACAAACATATTTTTCAGAATCTCTCTAGGAAAAAGATTGGAAAATGAAGAAATGAATGATGTCCAAGTATCCGGATCGCGTGGTAGCAGAGAAATGAAATTTATTATTGGGAAAGTATGTCTACTTTTTACTATAAAATATAAATAAGCAATTATTGAATTTACTTGTTTCTTATTTTCTTTTTCTTTTTTTTTAGAGAAAACAAGAGTCGAAATCAAATCAAACGGTAAAAAGACACAGATCAGAATACAGGCATCTTCTACGGCCGACTGGAAATATTCATAAAAAAAAATATTAGCGTAATTTATTGTACAATTAGTTTAAATAAAAATAATACAATTGTTATTAATTGCAGCCATTATACGCTCATTTATAGCTGTCCGTAATCGCATCTATTTTATTCTTAAATTAATTATTAATAATAAGATCATTTATTTTAATTTATTGTTTTTTCTGATGCAATGATCATTTCTTGCGTTTAGAAAATAATTAACGATATCATATGTAAAAGAATTTGTTTAGACGTGATTCATACGATATCTCGTAAAAGGTGAAGAGTCATCTCAAAACAGTGATATAATTAAATTCATCTTAGGGTGAATTTATTGATACAAATGTTTTCTTACCAAGTTTGAAAGCATTGTCCTTCTTGGATCAAGAAAAATGGTGATGGTAAGTTTCATACTAATTCTAATTATAAATAATTCTTTATTTATAATTCATATATTTCATATTTAATAAATAAATCATAAATGTAAATCGTGATCGTTCTTATTAAAACATTAATTTAAAGAATTAAACTTTAACTGAAAGATATTTTCAAAGTTTATCAAGTAGATAAAAATGTTATAAAAGTACTAAAGTACATTAATTATTATTACACAACATATACATATACATGAAAAAACTTGTTTTGATTTAATGTATACACCAAATTTACCTTTGTCACATCATTTGTTTTGATCGACATATTTCGAATTAGAGAGACACTTTCTCTTGTACATCAAAAGTATAATTGACTTCATATATATTAATTTTTTAAATTTGGTATGTCTACCAGAAAATTAATATATATCTTCAATAAGGTAATATTAACAATACTTTTATAACATTCCATAGATTAATTATTGTACGTTATTATATGTTGCTTGTACTTTCAATAAGTTACAATATTTTTAAAAATTTGTATACCTTTTTTATATTAATTCATTACTACTAATTAAAAGTTGAAATTATTTTCTGATTTTATATTGTAGACTGATTCTAATGAATCAAAAAATGGAAAAGATCCACCTCATCAAAACTACGAAGACAACATTCATACATCTACGCCTTCTGTTTTATCAGAATTACAGATACACAGTACAGAAGTAAGAAATATTTTTTAAATTTATCTAATAAGTAATCAATAAAGATTATATTGTAAACAATATAGGTAGAAATAACAGAAATGCCAAATTTCGAACATTTAAATACATCAGCAGTTTTACATTATTGTAAACATAAAATATTAAGGCCTTACTTAAGATTATTGGGCGTGATGGGATTAAGGCCGATCAGCAGTGATGAGACCGATCACTTTCCACGTTATTGCATTTTAGCCAATTTTCATACTTTCCAAGTCGCTTTATTTATGTGCATTGGATATATTTTACAATATATGGCATGTTTCAGGTAAATGATATATTATTATTTTCTTATTTTTAAAAACTCATCTTCCTTTTTTTACAGAAGGGATAGAGGATTTTGTTATAAACTATTACCATTGGAATTACAGATCGTTCCAAATATTAGTAAAGAGCGTATATATGAGCCGATTTGTTTTGGAAATATTGTATTCAGTTATATAATTCCTAGTTTACTTCATTTAATCGCATATTTATACACAGTATACCTATTTCGTATTAAGGAACATGAGCAGTTACAGAATTTAATGGAACGAGCGTTTCTCTTATCATCTAATCCAATTCATAGAGGAAATCAAAAAAAGCTCGTATGGATATTGTGGCTTTTTATAGCTTTAAGTATAGTTTGGATGATAGGAGCATTAATTACAGTTAATGTTATGATGGCACAAGGAATTATTTTGTTTCAATGGCTGGAACATAGGTATTTTTATTAACTTATATATAATTAATGTGTAATTAATGGAGGTAAAATGAATTAATTATATGTAACATATTTTTTTACAGTCCGTATCACGTTAAAATTATTTTGAAAATACTTTTAATTATATGCACACTGTGGCACGATATGGTACAAGGAACTATCATAACAAGTTATTGTTTGCAAGGTCAACTTCTAATTGCGCATCTTTATTTTCTCAGAGGAAAGTTACTTCAACATACGTTACCTCCCATAGACTGGATGAAGGCATGCATTATAAATTCTCTAATGTATATGATACAAAGAAAAACAAATGATTTTGTTTAATATAAAAAATATTTTTGAAACATATATAGGAGATAAGCGAATTTAAGAAATTGTTGAAATATTTTAACAACGATATGGGACCTGCCGTTTCTATTTATACGGTTGTGAATCTATCCTGGGCAATCGCAGGAACTATTTGGATATTGCAGAACAATGATGAAGCAGAAAATAATCCAGTAACATACATTGGTATAATTAATGTAGTATTATGGATATTGATATCGATAGTTCCATTTATCCAGGTAATACAAATACAAATTTTGTTAAAAACAGTTTTGACTTTTGTATGAATAAGTTTTTGTTTAATAATATTTTAATTTTCATATTAATTTTTCATTTGTTATAGGCAGCAAGATTAACAACTGCCTGTTCTATGATTCAAAGTATTGGTCATGAAATACGCATCCGACCATTTGTTTACGAAAGTACACCAAGAGAAGATTTGGATACTATACTTTTATATACTTCATCATTAAAAATGTGTGCTAGATTGTTTAGAATACCGATTGCAGGTAGATATTTGTTTCTACTTTTAACTGTTGCTAGCATTACTATACTTACATTAGGCCAATGTCAAATTTTATGATTCAATTTTTTTAAATCAATTTATTTTCACTGTATTTCTTATTAATTTGAAATGCATACAATTTATATACATTTTAAGTATAGCATTAAAATCAGTAAGAAATAAAAGAAATAAATTATTTATCATAATTAATATTGTTATTTATGAATATTTATAATTGAAATCAATTGTAATATTCGCCATAATTTTTCTTTGTATATCATAATTTATTATTTTTGTCAATGCTGAGATACTGAGAAATTATTTTATTGGAATATGGTGTATTGTATGTTTTAAGTTGTTGTAAAAAGTAATTTATTCATTCTGCATAATAATTAATTACAATTCACTTTTCTTTTTAAATGGCAGTAATATTTTAGCGCCTTATAAATGAACTTTGCTTCTTTATGAATAATTCTTTTTTTATAACGTATATGTCTACACATAACTGTTTAATTTTTATTATCAATTAAAATTTATCCTTAATTAAAAAGATATGAGTTAGATTTTAGCCATGTTTTTAATATTATGCGATATTATTTTTGTTGTACATATTCAAAAAATCAGAATATATACAGGATGCCCCAATTTTCGTCCAAAAGATTGTACTACCATATTTTATAAGTAAAAATGAGAAACAAAATATTTTATGGGCCTTTCCTTAACTTTTTAATGAGCTCTTAAGAATCCATGTTTATAATAAATATCGTTTTCTTATTTTTACTTATAGAATATGCTGGTAAACTTTTGTAGAAAAAAACTGGGATAAAGTGTAATAAAAATACACGTGTGCAGGAAGAAATGTACTAATATATGTATGATAAGAAATTCAATTTAATTATTCAACTAATTTCATAATGGTGTTAATTATGATATTGCTATATAGGATAAATAAGATTTATTGAATATCAGCATTGTACCAATATTGCCGCATCAACAAATCTTATCAATCGAATTAAAGCAATGAATTATTTATCGTTTCAAATATTTAATAACATAGTATTCTTAAATGATTATCACACATAATCATCGATGAAAATCGTAGTAAAAATGTATCGCAGTATTCTAAGATTTATGGTTACGTTATTACAAATCATAAGTTATAATTCGCAATAATATTAAATTAAATATTCATTTATGATAGCTCGACAATGATCATAAGTAATGATGATATGAATTCATTTTCTTTGATAAACGCTATCATCGTTACATCAATTTGCTTAAAAATTTATATACTTTACACACATATTGTGTAATTTAATAAATAGTACTTTTTCATTTTAAGGAGAACAAAAATGATCCCATATATATTATACATATAAAAATTAAATTAATTATTGTGTGCTTGATATTATTATAATTGATACTTTTTTTTTTAATTAAACTCTAGATTTTGTTCTCTTCTTTTTTTTCTTTTTCTAAATACCACTGTTCATACTAAAATAATGAAATTAAGTGCAGGTTGAACGTTCATATTAATGATTTAAACAAATCAGAATTCCATTGTCTTTAATAAATATGATATTTTAATAAGAGCTCATTATACTAATTTACATTTATATAGGTAGCATCCGCAGGAACTACTTAGTTAATAGCACATTGTATTGACACTTTGTGGCACTGCCTTTTGAATACCAAATGCTATAATAGCACTAGTAGTAAAAGGACAAAATTTCATTTTTTTCTGAACCTACTCTTTAATAATGTTAATACATTTATTAAATGTGCCTAACTGTATTATAATACATATTTAAATTCGAAAAAATGTTGCGGATAATGCGTATGTGTTAAGAAGTTTTAGCTGGATAATTTATTATAAAATAAAATATCGGTATGGATTCTAATTATTTATAGACAGAAATATTAAAAATGTATAGACAAATTACTTCTACTTATTTGTTTATATGAATTCATGCAGTTGCACATTATTATATCCAGGAAATCAAAAAATATTTACAATGATATTTAAAGTTAAATGCTGACAAACAGCCAATTTTAGTGTGTTGTTGCCTTTTAAATTACTAGATATTATCCTTTTAATTATTTTTTATGAATTGCACAAATTATTTTTTTATTAAAATATTTTATATCCTGAAGCGTCAAAGTTTTCTCTGCGATGAACTCTTAATAAACTACAAATAGCGGTGTAAGCGATCGAAATGAATTTATAAAGAGTTAGTTTCCTTTTTTCTGAACAATATTTGTAAGATTCGTAGCAAAACAAAAATAATATAGAATGAGCTACTTACAATGCACTAGTATCATTTAATAAACAAATAGTACACCACGAATGATGATAATTAAAATGCCGTGAATCATAACTTAACGAAAATTTCATTATTAACAAATATCTTGACGGAGATTTAGTGAACTATCTTAATAGAATGTTTCAGCTACCCCTTGCTTCTGTCGTTGATGCATCCTCGCCTCTCTGCATTTTTAACCATTCAACAAATTCATCCAGCATTACAGGCCCTAAAACAGAATATTTATGTAAAAACAATGCATAAATTTATTGAAAAAAAAACATCCTAGGAAAACATAAACAGAATATTAATATTAATAAGTAATATGTTATATATATATATATATACGTTAATGTGATTTCCCTTTGTTTATATTCTTCTTTAGGTCAAAAAAATACAATAACACCACTTACACGCTCCATCTAAATCATAATTAGATAAATCATGATAGATTGTACGAGAAAATTCTAAAATGTTGCACCATTGATCTTTGTTGATTACTTTGTACTTGGATTGATCTAGGAACTGAGCAAACTGCGTAAATAAAGGCCAATGCTTTCCTAGAAGTAATTGTAGCATTACTCTAGCAGTTTCCATATCCATACTACGTTGATCTTTATCCTAAAGTATGTAGATCAAGATAAAGTACAAATCTTCATATATATTTTGTTTCTTTTGTTGCAAATTTCATGGTCATACTTACCCTAGCAAAATCATAGGCATATCTGTAAATTCCTTTAAAAATGTGAGGATCATTTAACTGGTTCCTTAGGTACTCAAGCTTTTGTTGTATTTTATATATGGAATCACATTGTAACTCCGAAAGACCCTTTAACCATTCGGTCAAAGTAAAAAACCCCATTTGACGAGCATTCATTTTATAAGCAAGAACCAGCATCACTACATTTTCAGGTTCTACCCCAATGTCTTCGCAAAACTTCTCCATCCCTTCGGGGCCAAGAGTATCCGAATCATCTGGTGTTGTATATTCTCTAAACCAAGTTATGCATCGTTTCTGGGAAAACGATGATGCACTTGACACATCTTCTGTTTTTGTATATCGCCTTGCTCTAAAATAATAAAAAAAATGAGAAATTTTTCCTTAATAGAGTGTTATATTAACAGCGCTTGTTAATACGTAGTGTAACCATCTTATACCCAGATGTATGGCGCAATCTTTTTGATGGATGCCTTGGTAAACCCTCTTCATGGGCACTAGGTGACATATCAATTGATGTGTGATGATGATTTGTGCTAGAGGGCGCTCTACGCTTGCTGCGTGGCATCCCTCTCTTCGCTAAAATTACAATTTATTTTTAGTGTTAATGTATAACAATGTATTTCAAGAGAAATATTCAATGATAAAATTTGAATATAATATAATCATACAATATAATTGTCATTTGTATAAAAAGAAAACAAATCAATGATATGAATATTTTTTATTCGAGTATGCATACACGAATATAGAATGTAAAAAGTCATTGCTATAAAAGTTCATTAATTTTATTATAATGTATACACTTTTGAATAAATTCAATAAATAATTTAGTATAGATAGACTGTTCAAAACTAAAAAAAAGAAAAAAAAAACAGGATTAACGAGTCACTTTTAATAGCAAATTTACTTAGATATATGTCTGTGTTAAAAAACATTAATAATATCTTAACACGTTAAGTGTCACCTTGAAGTTAACATTTAGGATAAAATAATATATCAACAGTAGAAAAACATACTTGAACATAAACCATACTTTTGGTCACTAGTTTAATTGTCACAGTAGATGTGGCAATTAAAATGTTACTTTAAAAAAAAAATACATTTGACTTATAAACATAAAAATTGGAATGAAATATTGGTGATTGATGCATAAAGTACAAAATAATCTTAGTACCTCATATTACAAATCACTCAAAAATTTATTTCAATTGATCTAATTCTATATTAATAAATTGAAAAAAAAGTCTGCAGTAATAAATCAGTATTGAAACAAATCCTTTATTTTTTGATATTAAACAAAATTTTTAACAATGACAGTACTCAAATAAAATGAAGTAACTAATATGATTTAAAGAAATATTAGCTTATTCATCATTAATAATGAAAATTCTTACCACGCAGCAGATGTAGATGTTATTGAGCAAATTAAGCCGACTGGATAAAATGCTAACGTAACTTCTTAATAATGATTAAACAGTCATATTCTTTTTCTATTATAAGAGAAAAATTGAGGTTAGGTGTTCCAAATGATTTTAACACCACGTACTTTTCGAGTCCTGATGTACTACTTTCGACCAATTTGCACAACATGTGACGTAGCAAACAAATACCTAAGATATGATAAAATAATGTATTTCAAAATGTATCCTTCGAGATCTAATATTTTAAATAAATATATATTACGAATAATGAATACGATATAATCGAGATTGATAAATCGTATATATGACGTATATGTATGTGTATGTATATTAAAAACTATCGTATGAATAAATGTAAAAAATGTAAAAATAAGACTAAACGATATTAAATGATGAAATAAATTTCCTTGAAATATATATAGAAATGTACAAAGAATCGAAGTGACCCTCCCTACCTTGTCTGACGAACGAACCACTAGAGCAATCGTAAAAGAAAACTATTTCTCTTATCTAAAATTTGACATTCAAAATAAGACTTTTATTTCCTTTGTTCAAGTTCCGTCAGTAGAAATAATATAATACATAGTGTAGTCAACGCTAATAAATATACTTTATTATTCGATTTAATTTTTGAACATAAATTACTACCTAAAACCTTCCCACCGTTCAAAATCTCTCTCTCCTTGCAAACTCCGTTTTATTTCATTTTATTGCCGTTTCAAGACAGCATGCCTTTTTACCAGAGATGCCAAACTTAGGAAAGCAATGTTGCTACAGGGACGACAACTGTCAAGAAAAAAGTTTATTCACATTTCAATGACTTTTCGACTGGACTTTTCTTTATCGATACTGTCGATATCATTTTCACCACTAATTTTAAAATATTAATAATATTATTATTCGAAATTATAAATCATATTTATCATTAAATACTCTTATTAACAAATAGTTCGCTATAGAATACACCAGATGGCATTGACAATATTTTTATTTTATCTATTTTTAAATAACAATTTTGTCCTTTAAGATACTTTTATACTGTACTATTAAAAATGAAATTTTTATAGATACATCCTATTGTAATTATTGAAGAATAATATACAAAATTATTATTATTATTATTATAATTTATTTATTGGTCACTTTTAATGCCAAATGACAACAGATAAAACACAATAACAACTGCTTTCTAGATATATTTTGAATGATTAGAACACAGTTTATATTACATAGTTACAAATAAAATACAATGTAATTAGTGCAATAATCTTATAATAATTAATTATTTTAGATTTTATAATTTTAATTACTGTTTTAAATGAATAGAATTGTTATCTATAGAGAAGAGAAGCATAAGTAAGGCATTCATTAATTAATCAAACTCTATAATTCTTTTATAATATTATCTTAAAATATGAATAGAACACATCCACTTTTAATGTTTGTTCATTCCTTTTCTTTTTTTTACTTTAACAAATACCAATGTTATTAACATTTAATACCATTAACTGACACAATGATATTGCACTTATTGAAAAGCAGAATGTTCTGTTTAGTATTAAATTAGATCATTCGTTAACTTCATTATCCACATAACACTGTGCATGTACAGTAGAATTTTGTAACAATATGTTATATATCTTTTATGTATATGTATATGCATATGTATATAGCTAATATTTATCAGATTGTGGTATTTAACAATATGATGTTGTTACCCATTGAAAAAATTTAGCTATATTAAAATGGAATTGTATTAGACTCATGTATAATATATTTTATATCATTTCTTTCTATTAACAATACACAAGTCTTTGCTGAAACGATAGTAGTTTTCAATTTTATATTTTTTTCCTTCTTTCTTTTGTACAGAAAAACATGTTTCCATAGAGCCAATTAAAGATAGAGGAAGTCACGATTTATATAACCAAACGTATCATACATGCAGTTTTATGCAAAAAAAGAAAGATATTGTCATATACTATTTACTAACCTACACAATACATTTCAAATGTTTATTGGTTGCTGCTTAAAAGGGAATGTATCAGTGAATTTCTGATGCAATTAATTTCCTTAATCGGTAAATTTGCGGTTAGGATTACTACCGAACAAAGCAGACCGAATTTCAGGTATCAGTTGTTGAGCAATTAGCTCTAACCGTGACTCCAAAGTGTTGTTGATCTTAATGCGACCTAAATTTTAAAATGATTTATTAATATAATATTACTAATATTACTAATACTTTTTTTTCTACAGATAATATTGATATAATCTCTTTCTTTTTAATCAGATAGATAAGGAAAGTATATTTTATATATTATTTGAAATAAAAATTATTCGTAAAGAATAATTCAATATATTAATAACCTGTGAATAAACAGAATTAATGAATTGTTACCTTTAGCCGTTAATAATTCAACACCGCCGCAACTTTCGGCAGGTAAGAAAGTTTCTTGATCTATTTTAAGAGAAGCCTCTTTCTTTGTAGTTTCTTTATATTCTTGCTGTATAGAATCTATAAGAGAATCTACAATGGAAAGATCAACTTGACGAACACGGATAAAAACATTAGTTTCCATAAGCTGCAAAAAATGATAAATAATATATTAATATTTCAAATATTTATTACATAGCGAAATGATTCAAGCCAGATAATAGATATATTTTTAATTATAGAAAAAGACAACCTATTGATAATACCTGATAAAGACCTTGAGTGATTAACAATCTCAAAATTTGGCTATATTTGTTTGGATTTTGAGTTACTTCACCTAATCTTTTTCTAGCTTCGTCGAGAACATTACGTACATGATCATCGCGTACTTTTAAAACTCTTAATCGAGCTTGGTTAAGCATGTTCGAAGACTGACTGTAAGAATTTGTTTAATTTTACTATTAGAGAATATATCATACGTTAAGAATATTATCATTCAAATCTGGGCTTCTTAAAGTATGGATCACGACCCTATATAGGGACGCATAATTAAATTTTAGGAAAATTAAAAATTTAGTACAAACATTTGACTTTATCGTTGATATGTAATTATTTTTTATATTTCTCTACACTCAAAATCGGGAAAATATTTGCTCAGATAAAGGGGATCACCAAATGGAAAAGTTTGAGAAGCCTTGATTAAAATTGATTAAATACTTCCATCTTATGTTCTAATATTCCTAACGTCAAACAGAACAAGCATTTACAAAGTAATTATATGGAATACGATCGAAACAAATTTGTACACACATTTTTTTCTGTAATTCGACTTGTTTTTCTTTCTTTTCAAAATATTCCATAATTTTAAGCCGTTGCTGTTGGACAAGACGTCCTTTTTCGATATTAAATTCTTCTTCGGCTTTGGCATCTATTTCTTCAGCCTTTTCATTGGCTTCCTGTTCTATGAAAGCCATCATATGGTTGATCTGCAATGGGAATAATAAATTAATATTTTTTATATTAAACTTAAAAACACTCAAAACTATTCTGCAAGAATTAAATTATTGAAATCATGTGACATTTCATAAGTGTTAAGTTGCATACAAAATTAAATAAAAATTAAATTTAAAAATATTATGAATAGTTGAATATTTGATTTTCTTTTTCATCGTCCACTTAAATATATTATCAATGCATCCTCCTAATTTTAAATTACATTAATATACATTTTAGGTACTTAAGGTAGTTTCAAATTTAAAAAAGATCCTGACATATATTTAGGTACGTGAAAATTCAAAAATAACTTTATACGAGACAGACGTAGTCTGTCTTCCAATATTCTTTGCATATATGTTTTAAAATAATATCTCATTTTATCGAAAGAATTCGTTTAATTTTACGAACCTGTTTTTGTACGTCAGCATCGCTTAGCGCCATGATCAGATTTTTTTGTTAATTTATTTAACGATAAATTTTACAATTGACAGGAACAGTTCTTATTTAAGAGACAAATTTAATTCAGGAGCTCGATGAAAGAGTCAACGCCTATTCACAAAATCGTGATGTCGTTCTCGCGTAACGACGGTCATATGACTGTAATTTGTTCTGAAATTTACCACAGCAGCGCCGCAATAAGGTAAACTAACAGTGGCATCAGGCAAAACGTGAGAATAGACAGTAATCATTTCACCGATCAAAATTATATGAATATATAATATAATTCAAATAAAGGGTTTATACTATTTTCAGATTGTTTAACACCTTAACCGGTATTATTGAATGCTTATAATCGTAAAAATTGAATGAAAGTCATATATAATTAGAAAATAATTTGAAGTAAAAAGTACACTATTCACCAATTACAAATTTTAATTAGAATATTGCATATTTTTTTATTACAAAAAGAAGCTTTGCTATTTTGTCTGCAAAATAATATTAAAATCTTTTATTATTCTTAATCTATCCTACTTAATTTTGTATATTTAATCATTATGTATATCTATTTTTTATAGGGAAATTTGTTCGTAGGAATAAAAAGTCATTTTTATTAAATATTATCGATTGAAATTAATTTAAAAGAACAATTCTAAAAATTACTGCTATTATAATTTACAATACTTGATGAAAACGAAATTAAATATTTATATAAATAAGTTCCTGCCTTCAATTTGTGTATCATAAACGAAGTTATACTGTATGAGCTAATTACAAAGTGAATGTACATTTTATCATGAAGCAGATAAACAATAAGATATTGCAATTGCAATGTAGTCACCTAAAATACACCTTGATTGTCACAATTTAACTATAGTCATTGGTAGTGCACAATGAGCATCAGATGTCGGGTGACTATAATTTACTGAATTGTTGGTATTACTTAACAGTACTTAACAAATACTTTTTCTGATCTTCCATTAGTTCGATCATTAGTAATATTGAAAGAGTTAATAATACCATAACAATTATATTAACTTTTAATGATACGAAGATCGATACATGCTTCTTGTTCAAGATCTAAACTTTCTGGAGTGTCGTTATTATTAATAGGATCCCCATCGAAATATAATTTAATACTAGATTTTGTAACGTTCCATTCACGAGCACAACTAGCAATTAATATTTGAAATTGTTGGTTTTTCTTAAGCGGAATCACCAAAGATTCCTTATTCGCGGTTTGTACTTTGATTTGACATATATCTTCTTCTATGATTTTTTGTTGATTTTGATGATCATTTTGAGAGATTATACTTGCATCCACAATTCCTCCTTCTAGAAAAAACAATAGTTAAAATAAAAAAGAATTAATAATAATGTAATTTTATTTAATCAATTTTATTTGTAAGTACCAAGAATATCTATGATCGAAAGACCCAAAGATGAAGGAGTATCTGCTAGGTTTATACGTTTGTCCTTCTTCATAATTAAGATTTGCTCTATGGAAACTTTCTCCATATCTGCAAAGTACTGAAAAACTTTCCTGAAATTCTCGTGCTATAAAAAAGATTATACAATTAGTAAATAGATTTTTATCTGCCCAGCAACGCATAAAACCAATCTTACGTTGTTTATATTTAAACGGTGAATGACTTTGGATCTCCATAAGATCTTCACATTTACATCAAAATCTTCATGTTTTTCTAAGTCTTCTACATCTTTTTTAAAATCTTCTTCCTCTTCGCTACTACAATTCAAAATTATTATATCATCCACCTTTTTTTGTTTACTTGTATAAGATCTCGTGTGGATAACATTTTCATCTGGAACGGATATAATTTCTAAATTGTCTTCTACAAATCCTAAATCTTCAGTTAAATCGCAAGTAATTAACTGCAAATAATAAATATAATTAATTTTTAATAAATGTTGTATAACGAAGATAATACAACTATAATCATAATAATAAAAGAAAAAGTAATAAATAATACAAATAAATATAAGATCAACAATATAAATAAGATCAAAAAATATTTATGTTTATTATCTTACAGAATCTTTTGTATTTTTTTGTCTCCCTTTGTTTTTCCCTCTTTCTCTTTCTCGTCCTCGTCCTCGCTTTTGCCCTTGCCGTCGTCCTCTCTCTCTCCCTCTTCCTTTATTTTCATTGTTATTTGTTTGTAATTCCTTATGATTTGTCACAACTTCGTTTTGTAACGCTACAATTATTTAATACTTTTTTACATTACTAAAAATTTGATACTATTGTGAAAATGTTTTGTAAATTGTACATACATTAGAAACTTAAAAATGATATATACTCAAACGTACCTTTTAAACGTGCTACAGAATTAACGTAATCATCATCATCCTCCTCAGAAGAAATGTCCAATTCTATGTTGTTCATTATTTTGATTTATTTTAATATTTAAAACACATTAACATTATATAAATTTAATTACTGTAAACGGAACATAAAATGCGAGTATTTAATATTGTGCTTGATTCGTGTTTTTCGCTATAATCTTTATTTTTTTATACTTATAACATATGTTTTTTTTCTTCTTTTTCCTTTCTTATTAATTGATTGATGTTAAATATTTAAATAAATAAAATTACAATCCATTGCAATAATATATCTATACTTAAAAAATTAAAAATAGCTTAATATTGATACACAAATAACAGCTGCAGCAATAAATTTGCGTACACGTTATAGTAACCGTTTTTACATCTTTCGAACCTTTAACCTCATTTTCATTATGAATTGACCAATTGTAAGAAACATTTGTTTAAACTGACAAATGGGGATTTGCGATTATTCCCTAGAAGTTGACACTAGTTTTGAGTAAAACTACAAGTTTTCATTTTTTTTTTTAACTTATTTGATATTTTAGATATTTTAATATTTAACAATTATGATAATTTTTCTGTAATATTACAAATTTGTTCTTAATTGTTAAATAAAATAGTTAAAACGTCAAAATATGGTAACATCAATGAAATAATTAAAAATAAATCGACCAATAATATCCGGTTATAGCGTAATACTGATTTTCATTAATACGATTGCCTAACTTCTTTTCCTTTATTAGAAACGTAACTTTATGATAAGCTGTTTTTTCAATACTCTCAGAATCGATGTTCTAACCGATAAATGTTCGATTTTCTTCTGTAAAACAAAAAACTAGTTACGTTTCTAAAAGATTTAAAGGAACTTACTTGAAGAAACAATTCAATATGAATAAGGTATGAATTTTGCTATTATCATGATAAAATATATCGTAATTAGACTACAAAAAAGGAAAAATTTAATAACGCCGTTACGATTACATTAAAATTTGATAATTTACCGTTATAGAAGTTTTATGTAATTTAGGATAAAATTGAGATACTTCAATTATTGATCCGCATTACACGATATACAAAGTTTACCTTTAATTAAATACCTTTTTGAATTTACTTCTAATTTTATGTATATCTCACTTATAATTAAGACTATAATTGGTTTATTTAGATGTCAAGATTTCCTTCGGATTGCAAAGTGTATGTTGGAGATTTAGGAAGCAGCGCAACAAAACAGGAGTTAGAGGATGCTTTCTTATATTACGGACCATTGAGAAATGTCTGGGTTGCTAGAAATCCTCCAGGATTTGCTTTTGTTGAGTTTGATGATGCTAGAGATGCAGAAGATGCTATTAGAGGCCTGGATGGTCGTACCATATGCGGAAGACGTGTTCGAGTGGAGCCATCGAATGGCAAAAGGTTAAGAGATAGGGGCTCATCACGAAGAGGTGTAGCAAGACCATTCCATCCCGAAGACAAATGTTATGAATGTGGTGAAAGGGGTCATTACGCAAGGGATTGTCCTCGACACAGAAGTTCTCGTAGAAAACGGTAATTTTACTAATTTAATTCAATTACAATTACAGCTCTATATCATAGATATTGATATATGTAGGTGTACAGATTACATTTATTTTATTTAAATAAAATACTATACTATAACTCTACTAGATATTATATTAAAATTAATGATTAGATCTTTAAAATCTTTCAATATTACTGGTTTCCTATAATTTTTTTGCTTTAAAAACACTTATTGATGCTTAGAAAGTGTATTCTTTACATACTGTACATGCTTATATTACACATGAATTATATATTTCTCTGCATACCTATATATTATCATTGAAATCATATAAAACATAATGATTTAATTGTAATATATTTATAAGAGATGCACAATATATTCATTATTCATATTATATCTATAAAGTTAATAGAAATACATATTTTTTTTTTTAAATATATAATTGTTTTCTAAATTCACGAAATTATATCTTCTCAGGGAAAGACATTTAGTAATTAAACCTAGTAAACGTCTATCTCAATAAAAAACTTTATGTCTCGTAGATTTAAAAAGAAAAGAAATTATAGATCAGAAGCAGAATATCATAAATACTCTCTCTTTTTGTCTCTCTCTCTCTCTTTCTTTCTCTCTTTCTCACTCATGCTACATTTCTAATATAGTTACATTATGGAATTAATAAATAGTAAGAAATCGACAAAGATAAAACCATTACTTCATATCAAAATGATGAACACTACTTAAAAACGATGGTTGAGATAGCGAAGAACTTTGTCGATGTAACAATACCCAATTATTTATAGGAGATGCGGCTGAACAGGCATTACACATGAGAATGTGTTGCTACTGTAATTCTCGCGAGATTCGCCTTGGGTTCACTTTGTGACACACTGCGTAGTTACAGCGTAGAGCACTCACCTACTTTGGGTTTCCTTCTGCACTCTACGAGCGAAAGAGGCAAACACGGCCGACGGAGTGGCTAGTTCTGCGCACTACGATACTTCCACTGACCACTGACATCACCCTAGACAGAGAGTTAATGCACATCGGCACTTCTGGTAGCCCGGCCTTCTTCGTTCGACTTACTGTTTGTGCCTAGTCGTCGTCATAGTACCTAGTGGTCACTGAGAGACAACGTTTGAGCCGTCTCGTCTAGCCACTCTTCGTCCGTTCATCCGACCCTCGCGTGATTTCATCTGCATACGTGCTCATCCGCTCTCCCTTCCTGGCATTGCCATCGCGTGCTCTACGACTGTGTCTGCTATATGCAGCCAGGAAAGATGGTACATAATAGAATAGTAAACATATTTTGATCGATCGTTAATACAATTCATTTCACCAATTTAATAAAAGGACATCGATAACAATTGTTATGGTATTAATAAGATATTAGCTCGATTTGAATAAATAACATTACAAAACGTGGCATCTACTACGGTACGGGTAGGTTTATTTTAATCCATCAGTAGTAAAATTAGAATTTTCTCGACATTGTTTTATACTTATACTTGCATATAGTTGTACATAAACATGAAAGGAGGTAATCAAGGTGTTGGTAATAACGAAATTAATGAACAGTTACAAGGTGCTCAACTAAGGCTATGCTAATATAAATTATTGACTGATATATATATATATATATATATATATATATATATATATATATATATATATATATATATATATATATCGTTAAAGATCGTTTACACGTGGATAAACGTGATTTAAATAACTAATCTCGTATCTCAATGGACGAGATCAATTTTGGGGTTGACATTAATATTTAGGTACAACTTTTTGCTTCAGGAGATATTTATAAAGTATAACTACGAAATAAAGAAGGATACCTTAAAGTCCAGGCAAAAAGACTGATATTATCATTATTTTAATTCGATATTATTTATAGGTCTTACTCAAGGTCTCGATCACGGTCACGTTCCCAATCTCGATCACGCTCACGTTCACGCTCACGTTCAAGATCTCGAAGCAAACGTTCAAGGACACGTTCGTCTTCTCGCAGTCGATCCCGGAGCAAGAATGGCCACGCTAAAGACAAATTTCGTAATAAGAGGAAGTCAAATTCTAAGGATCGTAGCCCACGACGATCTAAGTCTAGAACAGCATCTAGATCACGGAGTAGATAGATATGGTAAGTACATTTCATTTTGTACCTTTAATAACTTTATTAAATGTATTCAAATTTATCATTCTTCCATTTATCCTATTATATCTGATGATATAATATTAATGAGAGTCGATGGATCCGAATGTATTGTATAATACAATAAATTTTTTAACACATCTCTCGTTTTCCTTAATAATTTATTATCTACAAATTTTATTAGTTCAATAACCAGATAAATATTTTGGAATTTCTATTACGTAAGAATATATAATGTTGTACTATTTATTCATTCATTCATTCATTGTTACATGTTATCTTACAGTGGACGCGGGTTAAAGAAGTTGAAGACCTACTTCCTTGAAATAACCGCGATTACACTTAGATTATGTAAAAAGCAATTAATACATATACTTTACTCTTTTACTATATATTAAGTATGTATTTTCTTGTTCTTGAAATAATTATAAGATCGTATAGGAAACATAATTTTTTACTAAACCAAAATGAAATATAAAGTTACTTTCAAGGCATGTGTACTATTAATTATTGCATACTTATCGGTAAAGGTCGGGAAAAAAGAATAAATTTTCTTCATACACACAAATATTAAAAGAAAAGTTATTATTTTTAATATTCAATGAAACGCGTTTTCATCTCATGGAAAAATGTATTTATAATTTACGTATTAACATTTTTCATAAATAATTGTAAATTTATTTTGCGTTCGTTTTCTTTTAAATATCGTATATGTTATGGTGAATATTTTACGAGAGAAAAAGAAAACGAACGAACAAACAAAATATATAGCTCGACAAAAAATTACACATGTGTGTCATCTTGCAAGGTTTCACTTATAACTCCTTTTTTTCCCAAGCAGTTGAATTAATTGCGTGCATGTCCTATTAGAGCATTAGTTGCATGCTATAATAAAAATTTATTCAAAACTTAGATTTTACATCGAATCATTTGTAAAATTAGAACAAAAGTGAAAGTTAATCTAATAAATAGTTTCAATCTCATGAATACAAATTATACATTTTCTTCTTCCTTTTTTCTTTTCCTTTATTTAATAAATATTATTTATATTAGAGAAAGAGAATGATCATATATTTTTGTTAAAGATAAGTGATCAACGAGATAAATGCTTGCATTCTGTTCTTGCACTTGACTTCTACCGTATACCCTTGATACAACTTGCATTGTCAGGAGAAAAAAGTCGAAAGAAACAAGAAAAGAGAAACCAGTTACAAAAAAAAGAAGAAAGAGAAGATAGGCGAACATATGGTTCCGATACGTTCCGGAGTTTCTTTCATGGGCTTCTTCGTTCATTGCCGACGATATACATATACGAGCCGTTGAACATGAAAAATAGAAAAGGAAAATAACGACAAAACGAAGTATCCCTTTAAGTCTTTCTTATGTTTATGTTCCTACGAAGAAACCGGTTTTATTTCATGTCTGTGCAGGACGAACTTCCCTCAAAGTGAAAAAAAAGAAATAACCGGCGGTTCATTTACTATCTTTTTCCTTACTCTCTTCTGTGTATGAACGTTTTCCTAAGGTGATACGCATGCGTGCACGACGAGAACGTTTCTTACGTTCGTCGAATCTGGCGCCTAATATCTCCCATAAGATTTCTTCGGGAAATAATAACACTGTAAGAGAACAACGAAGAGACTTGCAATTGGGGATAATCATTTCTTCTTCTTCTTCTTCTTCTTCGTATAATTTACGTTTACACGAGGTATTTGAAATTATTTATATATAAAATATATATTATATATATAAATAATTTCAAATATATATATAAGTTGAAATGTTATGAGCTTTTACAGTAAAAAACAAAAGCTTTTTGAAAAATAAAAGATCGTTGGATCAAAAAAAAAAACAAAATAGTTTGTGTGTTAAACTCAAAAACTATATATATATTTAAACGTTTCTCATGTATTTTTCTATATAATTTCATGACATAGTATAATAATAATACTAATTATTATAATAATGGTTTGAATATGAGAAAACTACGTCCATCATAGATTACTATCATCCGTCACTCTAAGCGGAATGAAGAAATTGCTATGGTGGTAGGAGAAGTAAAGAAGAGGAGGAAAAGAAAGAAAGAAAGAAAGATGCTCGAGGGCGATCTAAGAGAGAGAGAGAGAGAGAGAGAGAGAGAGAGAGAAGGGAGAAAGGGAAAAAGAAGAGGAGAAAGAAAGGAGAGTGGGAGAGAAGAAGAAGAAGAAGGAATATCTACGTTTGTAGCGCGTCGTTGCTAAAGGAGAAAGATCCTCATTCGGTTTTCAGTCACGTTCACGCGGTGCTACTCTCTCTTTCTCGCGTTTCCTTTCATTTATTATTTGTTTCGTTTTCTTTTGTATGCGTGTTAAATCTCTTGTTGTATTATATTTATACTAACAAATCGAATATATCGCACCTATACTAGTAGCTGCTAAGAGTATCCTTTTTGACGAACGTGTTAAAAGAAAGGAAGCGAGAAATAATCGGTGTTTGCCATACGCGTTTTACCAAGAGTTTTAAGAAGAAGAAGAAGGGGGGGAAAATAAATCTAAAAGGAGGGGTGGGGGTTGAGAAGGTAAGGGAAAGGAAGGAAGAAAAAAAATAAAAGAATAGAAATTGTGAACGCGTGATACAAATTAAAAGGTGTTAGCGCCACAATTGGTAAGAATTTTCATCGTCGGCGGGTTAAATTGTATCGTCGGTGCGCTTGTTATTGCATATGCGCGTGCGCGCATTTCGGTGAGGGAATTGCGCGTGTGCGCAACGATGACCGCGACTTATGCGAATGGAACGACATCGTCGGCGGCGGCGAGTGTGAACTGTTCCGAGGAACGCAAAACTACTACGTGGATGTTCGAAGAAACGCGCGGAGATAAAAGTTCGGTAACGGCCGCGAGGGTGAGCCACGAAGAAAGGGTAGTTGGTGCTAAAGTGGTGGTAGAGGTGGAGGAGGAGGGTGTTGCTGTTGCACAGCTGGATGAATTCTTGAGGACAATGAAGAACGATATCGAACGAGATAATAACTCGATAACTACGATCGATTCTCATTATCCTCCTAATCGGATACAATCCGATGTATCGTCTGAATTAATTGTCGAAACAGAGGGTGGAAAAGATCAAGATAATAATATTAAATATAACGAAGAATCTTTGTTTAATTGTCTGGAGAACGCCGAACAGATTATATCTATTTCGGCCGCAGATTTAGCCGAAAGAAAATGTTCGAACGAAAGGGATCTATCTTCGCAATGCAAAGATTCTTCTTCTTCTAATCGGATTAATTTGCACGATAAATCGATCGGAATCGATGATGGATCATCATCATTATCATCATCGTCATCATCCTTAGAAAATTTACGAAGATCCATCGAGAAGGATTTGACGATCGTTGAAGATATCGAAAGTTACAACTCCAAAGGGGTCGTACGTACCTATGGTACCTTGGAAATTATCGATAATACTACTATTGTAGAGGAAAAAAAAGAAAAAGAAGAAAAAGAAAAAGAAATACTTCATATTAATGATCAATCATATGATCCAGAAACTGAACTAGATTTTTACGAGGCCGTACGGGCAGGCGATGCGAAGTGTGTCGCGACACTTCTTGCAACTGGTCGAGTCCAGAATCTTGACGAACCGGATTGGAACATCTCCGGTGATCCTCCCCTGCTGGTTGCTGCAACAAATCATTGTCTATCTGTAGTTAAGTAAGTTTTTTTATTGCCATTGTACTGTTTATATTAACTGTACGCATTCCATGGAGGCCAAAGGTCAATCTTTATTCTTGTCTATTACGTAAGATTTATGGAAAAGATCTTCTGACATTTACATCTTTGCCGCCAGAATATTTGAATGACAAAAGTTGTGAAATTATTTCGGTATTATTTTTAATTTCTTAATTTTTCTTTTGACCAGTTTATTATTAGCCAACGGATGCGATCCAGGCGTCCGTTCTCCTCGCGGAGAAACTGCATTACACAGAGTCATACTCAACGGAGGACCAGGGAACGTTTTAAATTTTGTGGGAGAGCTTTTAAAATATGGTTGCCCTGCGGGAGTTAAAGAAGCCGGGGGTGGATTAACGGCATTGCATGTTTTAACGAGACAACTGGCCCATGCCCAAAGTTCCAAAAGCCTCCATCATGATTATGAAGCGGCCCTTAAGACGCTCGATTTATTGGCAAAAGCGGGACCAGTTAATGCAAAAGATCATCAAGGTCGGAGCGCGTTACATATTTTGGCGTCCTCTACAGTATTCGGTAGGGAAAACTATTTGTAATGTTTAAATTTAATAAAGTATTAATCATTCATACTTTTATTTTAAATAAAGCTCTCCTTTTTTATAGATAATAATCACAGAACAGAGATAGAAGCGTTGATAGAGACTTTATTGGCGGCAGGAGCGAATCCTGCTTTGAAAAATGATCGTGGAGAAAGCCCGTTACACGAGTGCCTCGAGTGTGGTGCCTTGAACACTGCACTTTTGTTGATACCACACACGCCACCCGGTATAATGTCACGTTACGGCGAAACACCGTTGCATATCGCCTCGAGAAAGAACTATGTTGATATGGTAGCTAAACTGTTAGAACACGAGGAGGATCCTAGCGTGCAAGACGCTGGCGGCAATACACCCTTACATCTTGCTTCTGCTAGAGGCTTTCATCAGACAGTTTCTCTCTTAGTTACGTCGCCTCTCGCACAATTGGAAAAGAAAAATCTAGATGGTCTAACGGCACTACAAGTTGCTGCCGAAAGTGGTTTCGTCAACGCAGTCAAACTTCTTCTTAAGGCTGGAGCTGACCCAACCCAAACAATACACTATTGTTCAACAACTCTGCATCGTCATCCAGATATTTCAATTTTAATAGATCATGAATTAACGAGACGTCGTCAACTTGCTGCTTGATCATCCATACGATTGATGATAAAACCTTCAAGGTTTTTTTATTTGACTTGTTTTAACATTCATTCTGAATGTATCTGATTATTTAACAATTGGTGCCATCATTTGTTGATGAATGTTTTATTAATAACTGTTGGCGTTTTATTATATTATTTCAAATCTTATTGACAATATCACAATGTTTTAAAACTGATGTGTAAACCAATAGCATAACGAATTTTATTAAAACAACATGATTCATTTTTTATTAAACTATGTGCATAAAAATTTCGTAATGACATTGAATTACTGGATAATAAAAAGATTTAATTTTTTTTATTCAATTGAATACAAGGAAGATCATATATTATATATAAAATAAATCTAGTTTTAATATTTTGCAATGTGATTACATTGTATTCTTTTCTTTTTATTTTTGTTTTTTTTTTTTTATATTACAGAACAAAAAAGAATGTAAATTTCTGTTAATAAGTATAATGTATCTTTGTCAAAAATCTCACAGCCTTTAAATGTGATCGCTGCATATGTTACATTCTTGCTCAATGTATTCTTGCATCATACTTATTTACAATCTTTTAAGTTATCATTTTGTGAACATATTTCAGTTGAATATTTTGTAAACCAATAATGTAAGAATTCTAACAGTGATGATCGTAAAATTTATCGTCAAGAATATTTCATTTTTTTTCATTCACGTATTCTGTTACGTTAGCATGCCAAGTAATTATGCAAAAAATGTTGTCATATTTGTTAAACATAGATATTTATTAAAAATAAATCGGGGTTCGATTTGCATTTAAAAGAAGCACATATTTTAGGTAAAATATTGGCCGTCGTTTAATTATAGCTTATACATTTTTTTTCTAACATATTTTTCTTTTTCTTTAAATTATAAAATTTCATCTTATAACTACCTTAAAGACTCGATAAAGTTAAACATGATACATAAATATTAAAATAACCAAATTTAAAAAAAATAAAATGTAGCAATTCCTAATATTGAAGAAATTAAAGCTGCTTAATTGATGTAATACTGTTGCATATTTATAATTATATGTATAGTTTGGAGTGCTCTATAGCAGGGCTTCTCAAAATAAAATTGCATCAGGATTGTAGAATTAAATTTGGAGATAGACAAAAGTTTAGCGAAACTGAGAAATTCTTAGATGCACAACAACCGATAATTAACTAAAAAATAGTTTAGCAATATTACGCGTATAGTATATGTCTGTGAGTTTATGATAGTGAAAGATAAGATAGTATAAAATTCATACCAAGGACGCGAAAATATTTGTTCATGTAAAGGGGATTGCTAAATGGAAAAGTTTGAAAAGCCTTGCTTTATAGATGGTTTGTATATAAAGTAAATTCAATATATATATATATGCGCATGATCGTGTATGCAGATATATATGTATATACATGGTTATTATTTCTATAAATCGAGCATCCCTCAATCTCTCTTTAAATTTATTTTACTCAGAAAAAAATAAAATTAAAAACTTTCATATTTAATATTTAGGGCGTTTGAAAATCTATACTAATTTAAAATTCATAATGTAATGAAATCTGTTTTGGCACAATTCAAATATTTATGACTATTTGTACATTTACAATAAATATTATCGTTATAACAACGTCGTACAGAATTCATTCTTTAATCACAACATTTTCATTGTTTTGTAGATTAATAATTTTTCTTTTTTTTTCTTCTTTATATTCGTTAAGAAAATACTACATGTATCAAAATACAAATCATTGAGATGAATAATAGTGGTTGTAAATAGCATAACCGTTAGTGCAACCGTTTCAATTATAATTCTTACGTTATACTATTATCTATGAAACTAATATGTTAATACACGAAATATTAATAATAATATTGAATAATAACAAATTATATCATTTACTTATAATCATATATTTTGATCAAAAATACTCGATAAACGTTAAAACTATTTATATAAAATAAAACGTATATATGATATTTCAATTGAAAAATTGTTTTCTTTTTTTTTTTCAATGTAAAAGACGAATTTTTAAACTCGTTAATATTACATCTCTTTTGTACAATTTTACATAGCTATAATAATCAAATTTATATGCCGTTGATGACTAAACAACATTTAAACGTACTAAAGTAATTTGATCTAATGATAAAAATACATAATAAAGATTTTTGTCATTAGATAAAAGTACAAACAACAACTAGTAATATCTAAATTTTTTGGTTTATAATATTATGAATAATTATATTATTCACAATTAATATTATGCATGTATAATTTCTAAATGGACAGAATAAAAAGCACAATGTTCATTCGTATGAGTATATGCAACATATATGTGCGCGTATAAATAACTTCGATCGTACAAATGATACTTTTAACTGGATTTTTGTTTTTACCCATACTTGAGAGCAGCCAAGATTTTTACAATGTATTACAATATTTCTAATCTCTTTAAAGATATTTACATTTGCTTTTAAAACGAATCATATTAATTATGATGATTACTTAATATTTTACGAAAAGTTAATGAATATTTTAATCTTTAATTTGATGTATATCGTTTTTCCTCTAACTATTTTTTTCATTTTCTCTCTCTCTTTCTCTGTCTCTTTTCCTCTTTTTATCTTTCTCACTTTTGTGCATAAATACGTACACGTTATACAAGGCAATTTGTTGAATGAAAATGTTTAACATTTTATGTTGACTTAACGAAGATCTTGTCGTTATATATTAGTTTTTTCATTTAAATATAAAATTCTCTGAACATACCTGCCCTAAAGTTCAGCACAGGAATGCATAGTAGTTAAGTTAGAAAATCTGTCGCGGTTGATGATCATTTAATATATTATCGGTTGTACCTCTAAATATTAAACGATCCTCAACTATGCCTTGTTACTTCTTCATTCATTTTAATAGTATTTTTAACTGATTTCAAGTATATCCTTCAGCTACAATTTAAATACATGCATTTGCGTGCGCGTGTGTGTATTCATGCAACGACTATACATTAATGTAAATTAGAATATATTATATTAACAAATTCACTACCACTATTTGATATTTAAACATTTAACGCATTAAAAACAATGAATATATGTTTTTTTTTAAACTGGCAATAACATCGATTAATAATTTTCAATTAAATTTTCATCTGTAAAATATTCACGGTAACATATCCAACAGCTCCGTTTTTTCATTTAAGCTGAATCATACACTCAACTAATATTCATGGTAACAATATTAAAAAAAAATAAATAAATTATTTTGAATAAAAATGAATAAAATATATAATGTTATGGCAGTGAATGTGTTAATATCAAGTATTGATGTATTATGTATAACATTCTTAATATTATAAAATAATTGCTCATATATTTAACGTAAAATTTATAACAAGAAGCACTTGTAATAAAAGTATAAAACATATTATTATTAATTAATCCAATGAATATTTCATTGAAATATTAACTTATTTTATACTTTTAGATATAAATTTAATGATCTCACTTATAATAACTGAAATGAACTGTTTGCATATAGAAATATAGTTTGTACATATATATTTTTGGAAGGTATATGTTCATCAAATATGACCTTATGTCATACTACATAAGAAAAATTAATAACAAACAATATTAGACGTCTTATAAGAAATTATAACGAAAAAACATATTCCTATTAATATAAATGCGAAATGAAATGTGGACATAAACAAAATTTATGTTCCTAATGTCGATGATTAATACGATTTAATGAAATATGTTTCTCTATACGATTAAGATAAAATTATAAGTATAAAAAGAGTAAAAATAAAAATTAAATTACTGTATAACATTTTTTTGGGCATTTTAAAGCAAGAGAAATAATTATAAATTCAAATTTGTACAAAATTCTCCTGACTGTTATCAGTTGATTAAAAAGAACTCTTAAGGAAAATTTATTTAATTTAATTAAATATAAATTTCTAAATATAAATTTACATTGCTTCTAATTATTATATCATGTAATTTGAAAACTCTTAATCCAATTTTTATTGGCATTTATTACTTGTAGGTATTCCTTAGGCCATTTTAATTACTGCAATTACTACAAAATATTATATCTTATTATTAACCTTGTGCATTTTATATATGCCTTTCTTCCTCTTTCTTTCTCTCAGGCACAAATAATGTTCGACAGTTTATTTAAGGTGAGTTTCTTATGTTGCACAGTATAGTACTTAACTATAAAGTTATCTATAGTTCTTTCAATACATTTATATCGTTGTAACAGATCTAGTTAGATAAAAATAAGTCGAAGCTGGTGATCGACTGCTGCATAGGGACTCTGCTAGCGCAGAAGGTTAATATACTATGTGCTTTCTATTGGCATTATAATTAATTTTAAAAATATTCAACTTCTGTTACTTTAAACATATTGACTTTTTGTTACTTCATATTCGGAGCTATTGAAAGATAAAATTTCCTTGCTTGCATCTTATTCGTTATATTTTTTGTATGTACATTTTCATTTGTATATACGCGTTATATTTAAAAGAAGATATATAAATATTCTTGAAAAAAAAAGACATTAAATAATTCAAAGTTATTAAATAAATATTAATTAACAATTTCACATATAGATATACTTTTTTACAATGATGTATTGTGCTAACATATTTACATAGATATTTTCAAGATCAAGAGAAAATAGATTTGTATTTATCGAAAAGCTAGAAATTATTTGCTTTATTCTATATAAAATTTTCGAACATGTTGTTATTTTAATTGCCTCAAAATTTATCACGCGTACATACACATGTGATGTATAATTTATATTCTATGTTGTTATCTTTTATCATATTTGTATATCACTCTTACAAATAATCTCAGGTAAGGTGTAATAAATTGCAAGAAACTCGGAGCTATCAATGTGAAAAATTAATCTAAACAAAATCTATTAAATAATCACGGAATTAGTATTATATTAAAATTTAGTTTATACTTTAATATATCAGCCTCGTTAATTTTAAAATATATACAAATAAACAATATCTAGATGCTTTATCTTCCAGTAGCTCCACATAATATATTATATATAATATCTAATGTAAAAAATGGTTTTATGTGCAATGTTCTATAAACTTTTTTTAGTTTTTGTATAAAATTCTTTCCTTGAGACTTCTTTTCTCTAAGATTTATATTAGAGAAAACTACATCTTTTAAAAATGATATCATCTGTGAAATGAATTATTTTCCACGATATTTGATAATTTTCTGGCAAAATGTCAGCATATTTTATGCACAAAAATAAGAAAACAATATAAACATATGTTACGTAAAACTTCATTAAAAAGTTATTTAATAAAGTTTTATATGACTTATATTTATATAATATTTTTTGTTATTTTCGTGCATAGAATATACTAGCACCGTTTGGCCAGATAAACCTTAGACATCTTATATATATTTTTACAACAGAAATTCAAAATCTTACAACCGATAAACATATAAAAATTAAAAACTATTCAAATAAGTCTGTATTATATATATATAAAAGATTAATATAAAAAAATATAAATGAAATAATATTACATTATAAAAATCTTGAACTTAAAAAAATGTTACTAAATAATATATATTTAAACATAAAGCTGCTTCTTAATCAATATTTTAAGACATTTTAAGAAATGAGAAAAAATCTACCAAATTATTACTTTATGAGAGATTAAAGATTTTATGCATATGCATATAATATGTAATGGTGCGATTACATAAATAATCTGCTGTGAGTATAATAAAATAATGAATGTGTTACTCACTAATGGATGAACTGAGTCTGCTAGAAGCGGACAAGTCATTTATTGTGGAATTGTGACGTGTCTTTCGAGAACCTTCATTATCATTTAAAAGATTAGGATTGACAGAATGACTGAGAGCAGCTGTTTTATTGAAATCTATTATAGCGTATCCTTCTTGTGTTTTATTTGGTGACTCTGGAGGAGATGGTGTCAAATGTACCGCACCATCCAACGATGATTCATCTTTCCTATCTAAATCCAAAACAGCATAATTAACTTCTCTAATGGCAATACCTGTAGGCGTTGATGGTGGTAAAGATGATTTATCAGATATAGAAATCCCTGAAAACCTTTTCTTTAAACTTTCAATTTCAGCTGATTCTAAATTAGCATAACAGTGCCTCGATCCATCATCCGGATCAGATTGTAAGGCTGGTAATGATAGGGCATGTACCCTAGTAGCAATGGAATCAGCTGGATCATTACCAGGATTTATATTCATGTATGAATGTTCCAAACCATTTGATTCATTAATTTCTTCTACACACGTAGTTGGATCAAAAGTACTATGACTTGGTGAAAGTGAACTAACTTCATTACTAATGTCCACATTCATATAGGATACCGTTGAAGGTACCGATGGTTTATTGCTAGATGAAATATCTTGATTTTTAGCTACAGATGCCATTTCCCATGTGCCACTAGAAGGAGAACTAGTTTTTAATGCACAGGATCTATAACATAATATAAAAATTATACTAAACCATGGGGAAAAAAGTATAAGATTTTGATATAAAAAAAAAAAAAATATATATATATATATATATACCTCTGAGTCATTCTTCGAAGACTTTTATTATTATTGTGTTCCATTTCCAATGGAATGGACAATATTTCTTCATTGATATAAAGTGAAGATGAATGCGAATGAGAAATAGTAGATGGTAATGGCGGTGGTGGCGGCGGTGGTGGTAGAATAGGTGGTGGAGATGGTGTACTTATAGTTTCTTGAGGTGACATAGGACCATTACTACTCCCAACGCTACTTAGTCTTCCTATTCCATTTTGCTCATTATGAACAAATCTAGTGCCAATGCGGTTATTAAATCTAGTAGGCGTTGGATCTAAATAATTAGGTTCAAATGGTATTGTCGTTCTTGTTCCAGATGGAACTGTTTGAGCAGCAACTGGAAGCTCTCTTGATATTGTATCATCTATACTGTTATTACATACCTGTTAACAAAAACATAATGTGTGTTAAAAATATATAATATGACATATATAGAGAGTGACCCAAGGTTTACTGATTAAACTATGATAGTTTTTAACTTGCGTTAGTAAATTAAACTTCAAATAAAATTTATTTCTTAGTTTCACTCGTAGAATATGTTCGTGCAGTTTGACCAGTAAATCTTGGAACATTTTGCATATAAAAAAGATAAAAGAAAGAAATACATACTTGGATATTTGTTTGAACGAGATTAAATAAATGTGCTGCTTGACGGCATTTAAAAGCATAAATACCAGGCCCAGTAGAACATCTTCTACCTGATTCAAAGCTAAAGATTTCAGCGTCATGACCATATCGTCTTAAACATTTCAATGGCCATTTGATAGGCTGTTTATCGCGTTGATATAAAATTATATCTGTGTCTGTTATTTCTAAACGTCCTTGAGTAACTAAATTACCGAGATCATCAACATTTATCACTTGAAATATATTGGGATATAGATCATTGATATCTGCACGGCTATTGATACACCCCATCCTTTTTTATCCTGAAAACCATTAAATAAAATCATTTTTCATCTGACGTTTATAAATATATTATGTTTCTTTTATAATTTATGCTATTATATAAATAAATAATTTCTATAAAACGTATTGTTTTCTTATCAATGTTTGATTGATGGATAAAATTAAAATAAATCTTAAATGTAATATATTTAATTAGAAACAATTTATGTCTAAAAATTTCACTGAAATGATCAAAATTCATTGTTTTATTCGAACCCAATATTATTAATAAAATAAAAATAATGTTTAATTACTCACCGAATACAACATATCCAAATAATAAATGTTCCACGATCAAAGACAATACACCCTATCACAAACAACACATTCTTATATGACAACTATAAACACCACTGTATACCATCTTTATCGGCTTGAAGTTGCTGCTCCTTCAAAAAATAAACTGTTGGGAGGCATGAAGTTGGATGAATCTATATCGATTTTAAAATCGATAAAGAAAGGTCGTGTTATATTTAATAATGTTACCAATGCTCGACCAATCAAATGACGATTCTTACGTCAATCACATCAATTATATACTAATCATACGTAATTTTAAGAAAATGATCAACATAACCTAATTAATTTTTACTTATTTTTTCAGTAAACAAGTAATTGATTAAACAATTTTAAATTAAATTTATAAATATGTTGCGAACTGTTTATGCAACTAATTTCAAACCATTTGGGTTAAACAATTTTCATACTGCAGTAAGTTTTATTATTATTATTACGTGTTATTTACATTAAAAAACAAATCTTTTATATATATTGAAATGAATTAATTGTTATAGTGTATAAGATGTACTGACAAAATAAATGAAACATTTTCTAAAAAATTGGAAAATGGTCCCCAATTTGAGGATTTTATTGACAACAGTTATACAGAATATGAAGGAAAATTAAAATTAGAGAAAGGAGAGAACACCAGATTGAAGTTACCACCATGGCTTAAGACAGAAATACCTATGGGTAAAAATTATAGTAAAATCAAATCTCAGTTGAGGCAGCTGCGTTTAAGTACAGTTTGCGAAGAAGCTCGTTGTCCTAACATTGGAGAATGTTGGGGCGGAGGAAGTCATGGTACTGCGACTGCTACTATTATGGTAACAAATTTGAAGTAACATAGTCTTATATAATTGAATATATTGAAAGAATCGAATGTCATTTAGTTAATGGGAGACACTTGTACTCGTGGCTGTCGATTTTGTTCCGTTAAAACATCTCGTGCACCATCACCATTAAATCCTAAAGAACCAATTAATACAGCAACCGCAATAATAGATTGGGACTTAGATTATGTTGTTCTTACCTCTGTTGATAGAGATGGTTAGTTACAAAGCTTTAATATATATTAATTTTGTAATAATATAAAAAATAGAACATAGTTTTTGCTTTATTATCAGACTTAAGCGATGGTGGAGCAGAACATATAGCAATGACAGTAAAAGAAATTAAATCTAGGTAATCTATTTGGAGCTTGTAAATACTTTGCTTCTTATCGTAATGCAGTAATTAATTTATTTACATTTGTTTATTGTAGGAGCGATATTTTTGTTGAATGTTTAGTACCGGATTTTAGAGGAAACAGAAGTAGCATCGCAACTATTGTTTCTTCCAATCTTGATGTGTTTGCACATAATATTGAAACTGTGGAGAGATTAACACCGTTTGTGAGAGATAGACGAGCTAATTATAAGTATATATCTTTATACTTATCTAAAAAAAGATATTTATCATCATAATTAACATGTTCTTCCATATTTTTGTCAGACAGTCCTTAGAAGTCCTAAAAATAGCTAAGGAATATAATAAAAATTTAATAACGAAATCATCGATCATGCTTGGGTTGGGTGAAACCGATGATGAAGTAGAACAAACGATGAAAGATCTAAGAGATGCTGGAGTAAATGCTTTAACATTAGGACAATATATGCAGCCTACAAAAAGACATTTAAAAGTAATAGAATACGTGACACCAAGTAAATTTAAATCATGGGAAAATATGGGAAAACAATTAGGATTCTTGTATACTGCAAGTGGACCATTAGTACGATCTTCATACAAAGCTGGCGAATTCTTTTTAACAAATATTTTAAAGGATCGTCATCAACATAAAACCAAAACTCCTTCTGAACTATAACTAATGTCAATATACCAATAAAATATGTAGTAGAAATAAAAATGTATAATATTATATATAAAAAATGATACAAATTTGTAATTCAAGATGTTTGTAATGTAACAACAAATCATCATGAAATTTCTTATGCATTGATGTTGAATGATAAGTATTTAACTCTCTTACATTAAATATTTAAAGAACAAAACTTGAAAATAAAGCGACCATATTTTTTGTATGTAAGTTATAATATTTTTATTGTATTTTAATTCAATCTGTTTCCATTGCAACAGCAACTTGTGGATCATGTAGACCTTCATCGGCAGGTGGATCCTGAGGTGGTCTACTATCGTCTTCAGCACTTGGCTCAATAGGTCTTCCTCTTTTATCATCTCCTTCTATTTGGCTTAAATAATTCGATGTTGCTGACTCATTTAAGATAGTAAACTCAGTCCCTTTACCCACAATTGCTATAGAAACGTTCTACAATAACAAAATTATATTTAGATATGAATTATAGGATTCAATATTTATTGAAATATCTGTGCATTATTAATATTCTATATTAACTTTGTTTCATACCTTAACCGATAAATCAACTTCATTTGGCAGTGTATCACGTAATGCTCTAAGACCATGTTTCACAAGTTCATCAAGATCGCATGATAAAAATTCATTAAGATGTTTTTCTAAATACGTTCGTGCACTCTGAGAACGAGATCCAATAGCCATTGCTTTACAATCAAAGTAATTAGCGGATGGACAAGTCTGATATATATGAGGACCTTGATCCTTTGGTGTTGATAAATAAAATGAAATTTATTATATATTCCATTGTTCATTTTATATAAATAATTAATTTCTATGATCTATGTTAATGATATTATCAAATGTATTATACTAAATATTACACATATCATTATTTAAACTTACATCGTACCCAGCTACTAATAATCCTACACCATATGGTCGTCTATCGTATCTTTGTGTACAAGTTTGCATTTTGTTTCCCAAGGCTGCTATTAAGCGACTAACAGGGAGTACATCGTCGTGAGAATATTTATAATTTAAGCATTCGATTCTCATATAACGGCTAAAATATAATAGCATACGATATTAGATAGAAACAATTTTGTAAAATTTTATACATTGATAAGGAAATATTTTTAAAGAATAACCTTAATATTCTAGCATCAGCAGTAAGGCCAGAAATAGTTATTCCCATATGTTTATCTATGGGAATAATCTTTTTCTGATGAGCGGAAAGTTCAGAGGATGCTCTTTTAAGTGCAATAAGAATAGCATGAGTCTTATTTTTAAGACCGACAGTTGCCGAACCTAACTTAACAGCTTCCATTGCATATTCCACCTGATGTAAGCGACCCTGTGGGCTCCACACAGTGACATCGCTGTCATACTGATTACGGAACTATAAAATATAGAAATGTAATATTAGTTTAAGGTTATTTTACTAAATGTACAAGTTTTCATAACTTTTATCATTCAAACATTTTAAATAAGATATTATTTAATTGCTTTTTAGTGAATAAAACAATAATAATATACAAATTATAAATGAGAAAAGGTAGTGAAGATAATACATAACCTAAAAGAAATATTTATATAAATGAACAAAAAAATAGAAATAAAATGAAAATAAAATATTAGTACTCTGCAATAAAAATATTATTAATAATAAATTTAAATTATAAAATCATATCACACATCAAATTACAAAATACACATTTATACGGATTATTATATGTTAAATAATACTGTCATTAGTGACTAAAAAATTTAATAAAATAATTTATGTGAATTTAAAATATAAAAAATTTTTATAAATACCATTTTTTAATAATAAATGGGATAAGAAGAACAATATACACAATAATAAATTAACAATCACTATTACTTGCAGAAAATATCACTTTGTAAATTAACTATTCCACAGAAGTATAAAAATATTAGATTACGTGTAGAGTTTATTTCAATATGCTAAGCTATGTGCTGCCACCATACTTCGTTTTGATTGGCTAAGAACCCTGAATTCTAGTTAGTTGATTTCTTAATCAATTCAATGTTGAAAATAGAAATATTTTTTAAATCAAAAAGTTTTTTTTCTATTAAATAATTAAAAATAAAATATCTAGATTTGTTTACATACAGAATATCAGACATTTGATATGGATTTTGGTTGGTTGTTCAATGCAGTGATTCTAACCAATAATATTAGGTTGGCCAATAACAGCTTTTAAACATTACATAGCGCATTATGGTTCTTGATAGAAACTTAGAAAACTGACATATACATATACCTGCAAGTTTAATTATATATTATATATTTATATATTAGAAAGAGACTTGATATGAGAAGATGATATGAAAACAAATACAATTATTAGCTATAATTTTTGCTTTTTATCATATATTAAAGTATGAAAGAATGAAATAATGACAAACTCAAGTATATTTACACACATACTTACATACATAAATTGTTCATTGATTACACAGGAAATCTTAACTAGAAGTTTTGTTTCTCAAAACAAAAGTGAATTGTTGGTTGTTTCTTAGCAGTGATCAACAGCATAGTTAATATATTATTAATAATTATGGTTAGTATTATTTTTTATTGTGAATTTATTATTCAATTTTTATATAATATAAATATTTTTGATATTTTTGTATAGGCTTCAACTTCTAAAAAAAATAATTCTAGTTCGAGGCGGAAAGGTAACTCGAAAATAGAATTAACAGAAGATCAAAAAGCTGACATTAAGGAAGCCTTTGATTTATTTGATCCAGATGGTACAGGCAAAATTGCAACTAAAGAACTTAAAGTAGCAATGAGAGCTCTCGGTTTTGAACCGAAGAAAGAAGAGTTAAAGAAACTTGTAGCCGATTACGATCCAGATTGTCTTGGAAAATTATCTTTTGAAGAATTCTTACGTATAATGTCTGTTAAAATGTTAGAAAAAGATCCAAAGGAGGAAGTTTTGAGAGCATTTCGTCTTTTTGATGATGATGAGACTGGGAAAATATCTTTCAAAAATTTGAAACGCGTTGCCAGAGAATTAGGTGAAAATCTCACTGACGAAGAATTACAAGAAATGATTGATGAAGCGGACAAAGATGGTGATGGAGAAATTTCTCAAGATGAATTTATGCGGATCATGCGAAAAACCTGTTTATATAAATAGCTTATAATTTATTTTGGTTGTTTTCATTTCCAGTTAAAATAGTTTTTCAAAACTCTTTCAATTATTTACTTAATAAGATAAAATTTTTAAAATCCATTCTTCAAAAAAATTACGTATAATATATATATTCTAAAATAGGACCAAAATATATATGAAAATCTTAAACACAAACGAAAAACAATGTATAATTTATTAATTCTTCATTAATTTATATCCATAGCATTTTTATCTAACGAATCCGACTTATTTTTTACTACTGTTATTGTAGCAGTATTTATCAATGATCGCACTAACTCGGCTCTTCGTTTAGATTTTTCTAAACTTTTTATAAATAAATCTTTTGATACTGGAATACCACCTGAATAAAAATTATTATCAATTAAAATATCTAAAATATTTTAAGTATGACTTTATACATTTGTAATGAATTATTTTAATAATACATGTACCTGGTTTATGTACACAACATATTGCTTCTTCGTCTGACACTATTATTAGTTTTCCTAACGATAAGCTTTCTTCATCGTCTGTTGGATCAGCAATTAAAAGTTGCCTATGATACAATCCAGCTATTATCTTTTGATCTAATTTGATTTTTTCTAATAAACTATAGACGTTATAAGAATATATACATATAGAAAAAAAACATACCCTTCAAAAACAGCAAAAGTTGTACTAACAGGTATTGCTTTGATTTGAAATGAAATCCTATCTTCATGTTGTACAAAAGTATTTCCGTTGTGTGGATCATAAGTTACTCGTGGTAAGGTTACTATAAAGTAAATAATAATAATAATGATATACTTTCTTAATTATATATTGTTTGTCGATTCTAGTTATTTCTCTAAAATTTATAAATAGATAAAACTTACAAGATTTAAGGGCAGACGCTAATGCACCGGTACAGGCATCTAAGACTGCACCGTCATAATTGATACACAAAAGATCACAATATAACACCCATACTAATTTATCTTCACAAATACACAAACTTTTAAGATCTATTGCAGCAGAATTAGTTAAAATATCTTCTATCAATTGAGAAATAACTTGAGCTTCTTCACTAGGTGGACCTGGACGAAATTTGGGAGAACATAATGGAGAAAGTTCAACATTCGGTACGATAAAACCTTTGTCAGGAGTTTCCGCTTTGGGTGTTGCCAATTCCTATGTAATAAATATTTTAAATTTTGATAATAAGTTGTTTAAAATGATTTAATTTAAATATTTAATAAAGGTTTATTTACAGCTTTGATACCACAAATCACTGTAGTATTTCCTATTTTAAATATAGCTGAACTATCAGCTTTAGTTATTGAAGATACATCAACGCTTATTGGACGAAAGGATAAAAATTGTCTTCCATCTGGTCTTATATTTTGGGCCTATAATAAACCAAAATTTTATACATTAATTTATATGTAATATTAATGCATTAAAAAAACATTTTTATATATATATTTACCAGATGGTCATGTAAATATTTTACAGGATGAATTATTCTGAAAATATATGAACAATTAAGATCTATAGTATAAATAATTATTATCAATTAAAATAATAATATAAAATATATTTTAGAAAGATTATGATTTTTAGGTTAAAATTCCTATACTTTAAAACGTTAACTTAATGTAAAGGTTAATATACAAACTTGTATTGAGAATCCATTATTTTCTATTTATGATTCATTTAAATTATAATAAACACGTTCAAAGAGTAAGATCTTTTATTGTCTAATCACCGCGTCGTTCCACAGTAACCTTCTTGGTCTACAAAAAATACACTGTCCACTAACTTCAGCGACTATTTGGAACAAAATATGAACTATTAAAGAAAAAAAATCATACGCATATTAATGTCACGCGTACATTTAGATACTTACAAATAAAAATTAACAACTTACTAATATATAATAAATTATAGCAATAAAAAGTAACATTTTCATGCACAAATTCACAAAATTGGTATATTTTGTTTTTAATTAAATCGAAGTATGGTAACATTATAATAATACAAATTTTTATTAAGATATAATACAATAAAATAATATTAATTGAATTAATCTAGAGTAAAAAAAAACTGAATTTCAATAATATTTGTTCATGAAGTTTGTAATAAAAACTCACTACAAATGAGAAATTTGTTGCAATATCGCACCAATATGCAGTTGATACACTCACATAAAAAGGAAGTTTAAATGAAGAAAAATATAAAAATTAAATGCAAGAGTAACGTGTTTTGGTTGAAAACATCAGAACACGTGAGTTACGGTTGAAGAGGCGAACAAAGATTGATAACCCTAGTCGCCTTGTATAGATTTCCTAGGGTCCCTACAAATTTCCATTATTAGCGCCGCTCTTGTGGTCATATTTAACATAACTTAAAGGTAAACTAGCTGATAAGTTTTACGTATACCGGTTGACTCGGTGCTGACGTTGGAAATTTACAGGAGAATGATTTTGGTTAGAATTTGTAGATGTATAACTTAACAATTTTCAGATAACCTTAATTGATATATAATTAAATGAACTTTAGTTTATATTGAAAACTTTAAAACCAAAAAATGCATACAGTTTTAACACGTGGGAATGCTATTTTAGCATATACGTTAAGTGTTTCGGCTTGTCTTACATTTTGTTGTTTCCTTTCAACTGTTTTTATAGATTATAGAGCAAATGCAACCTTAAATACAGTCAAAGTAGTTGTGTAAGTATTTCATTTGGTTTTTATTTATATTATTTATAATAAAGCATTTTGTATTGTCACAATATTATTTGACATTACATACTGTCATTTCAAACAATATGGTGCAATTTTATTTTTATTCGTGTATTATGTTATATGGTATGTAATCAATAATTGTTAAGATACATTTATTTTACAGAAAAAATATGCCAGATTATAGTGCATCAAAGGTGAAAAATGATCTCGGTTATTTGATATTTGACCTTCAAACTGATATCCTTTTTATACAATACTTGCATATTTCTAAATATTTCATGTTTAGGATCATTTATATATTAATAGTTTCTAAAGAGATTTAACCCTTTACACATGAGGGCTCCCAGGCAAAGCTATTTTTATTTAATAATTTTTTTAATAAATAATTTCCAGTTTATAACATGATAGAAACATCATAATAATTTGCAAATAAAATCTTTTTGGGACATTATTTTGTAATCATTATTTGAGTAGAAAAAACCTTTGAGTGTAATGGGTTAACATATTATTGAAATTTTGTATGTAATATTACTTCCTTATAAAATATATACATCTCACCCCGTTGTTTAACTGGAATGTTAAACAGTTATTCTTATATCTTACGGCAGAATATCGAACAAGTAATAATGATTTTAATCAGGTACGAGTTTATTCAATTGTTATATGACTAGCTTGTAAAAACTATTGAAAGATTTTTATAATCTTGAAACTGATTAATTTTGTAACCTCAGGTAGTTTTGTGGGACAAAATAGTTCTGCGTGGAGACAATGCCGTTCTAGATTTTAAAAATATGAATACTAAATATTATTTCTGGGATGATGGTAACGGTTTGAGGTAATTTTTTTTTCATTGATATTTTATTTTATAAATTTATTATCTTACTTATAAATTAATCGCTTTTAGAGGTAACAAAAATGTAACATTAACATTATCTTGGAATATAATACCGAATGCAGGATTATTGCCAAGCATTAATGCCATTGGTGCACATACTTTTGCATTCCCATCAGAATATACGTCATTACGTGTATAATATATGATTTTTCAATTGCTATTGGAAAATATATATTAATAATTTTATAACAAGTTGTAATTATTTCATGTAAAATCAACATATAATAAATAAGGTTGTACAATAATTGATATTTCTTATGTACAAGATTGTCTTATATCTCTTTATTTTGTTATAAAAAAAGAAAGTAATTGATTACACGTGTTTATTATATCTGACACAAATGTTTTTTTAAATCTAGTTCAGGATATATCAAATTAATATTAACTTTTCTAAATTAGAATTATATTATTCTGCATCAAATTATTATTATTTGAAAATCTGCATCATACTGTTTATATTTTTTCTTGTATGTTACTGAAATATTAAATTCTTTCAAATGTTCGCTTCAGTTTATATCAAAAGATTTGACTTATTTGTTTTCATTAAACTTCACTATTGCAAAATGATATTTGACGTTTTAAATTAGTTTTTATTTATATAATTCTATTTTTGTAGTATTATTAACACGTTAACCGCTACGCCGAATTTCTGTGCCTTTCCGTTCTTGTCACTGTTAGCCGTTAGGCAGGCCCTGCCGGGCCGCTCGCCGATAAGCGAGCCAGAGTATAGCTAGGGTAACGTAACCCGGGTTGAGAGGACATTGGCTTGTCTTCGTATGTTTACTTCTCCACTTGCAGATAATTACACTTGAAATCTTGATATTTTACAATCGCAATAAATGCTGTGTATATACTTTGTTTATATCCTTATAGTCTTTTCTCCTTAGCAGAAGATAAACAAACCGATAGAAGAACGAAAAGTCTGCCGTCAGTCCTTATGGATCGGCATGGCGCTTAACGTGTTAATAAAGTAATTTTTAATTTGTATACTTTTTTGTATATTTTTCACACGTTAAGTTCACTTTATTGCTTAATGGTTTTTATATTTCTTTGCTCACTTTATCATTATCCTTTACTTCGTCTTCGCTAGAAGATTCATCTTCTTGTTCATCTTCTTCATCGTCTTCATCATCATTTTCATCCTCATCTTCTTCATCATCATTAGCGATATAATATTCTGAATTGTTACCTTCTTAAAAATATAAATTATAAAATTCAATTGAAATATTAAATTGATTTAAAATTATAAAAACTATAACATTCATTTTACCGTAACCATTATAATCATTTTCTTCGTCTGAATCATATGGTCCAGCCTGAGTTTGTCTACCAAATTTATGACTTCTCGCTAAATATAAAAATATGGAGCATTTAAAAAATTGAATTGTATATAAGAGATTGTTAAAAAAAAATAAAAAGAAAGTATGAATTTTGCTGTTCATTTTCCATAAAAATTAAGAAACATGTTTGAGATTAAAATACTTACTAGACATACTAAGATCCTTAGTTTGTGATGTTTCATATCCACATTTAGGACAAGGTATAGGTTTATTTTTTTCATATTTAAACCCTTTCCTACGTACATGATCTTCGCAATAACATGTTTTACATCTAAGACACGAATATTGTCCTAAACGATTACACGACTGACCTGAAAATATTGCAAAATGTGTTAACGTCATTTTCAAAATTATACAAAAATTATCAAATTCTTACATTTGAAACTTTCAGCTTCTAATACTTGACATGATGCTTGATGTTCAAATTGATCATCTTCACAGAGGAAACAATTGCAGAAAGAACAGCGGAATATTCTTCCACCATGATCCCAAACTCCTCTTTCGCATTCTTGACAAATGGCATCCATCAACGGGCAAGTACATGCATGCGATGTTAAGCAACGTCTTCCATGACAAACCCAGGCTTCGCAATGATCGCATATAGCTCCCTTTATAAATAAAAAAAATATTTTATTTTAATTTTGTTTTTCCCAATGAAACAGGCAGTAAACTTTTAGTTTATACTTACAACCATGCCTAGACCTGTAGTAAATACACCAGGATGTCTTACTACGCAATCTCCTGTTTTTAACATACATTTGACTTTGCCACAATGTGCACACATAGGCAAGCGTTGCACATTTTGACAAAAATAGCAGAAGGCACGACTTTTCTGTTTTTTATTGCACTTGTCACATTCCTATAAATAAAATCACGTAATCATTTAAATGAAATAAATATTTGACAAATATATTGTAAGAAATGATTTTAGAATGAAAATCCAGTTATCTCAATTTAAATCTAATATTTACCATAACTGAATTACATGGTAGCTTTGCTATGTCTATTTGCTCCTTGGCAGTTCTAATTTCTTTTTGTCTTAATTTTTGTTTTTCAGCTTTTCTTCTTTGACCTGTTTTTTTTTTGGGCATCTTAATATTTCAATGGAAAATAAGTTTTAGGTTATAGTTTCTTCTTCCAATTTAATTACTGATGATTACTGACGTCTGTAATAAATCAAGTTATACAATTTTCTTTTCCTAATTGCTTTATATAAATATAACAAGAAAATTTTATGATTAATGAAAGCAAAGAGAATTCTTTCAATGGAGACAAGTCAAAATTTGAAAGAAAGTATGTTTGGCTAGATGTAATTATTTGTGTTAGATCACGTGCTTTATCCATTACATTTTCCTGTCACGAGTGGTTGGCATAAGATTTTATTCATATTAAAAGAAGATTATATTTTTTAAAGAAAAAGCAATTAATTTGAAATCTTTTAGTTGCATATAAAAAAAATTATGAAATAATGAAAATATCTTTCAAAATTTCTATTTAAAGTTTTAATTATTGCCTATTACATTTGCATCATTATTTGTGAATTTAAAAAGCTACAGTGCATTAAATGGTTCCTTAATTAAATGATATTTTATTATATATTATTATCTATATATAAATAATCATAGATGCTTACGGTACCAAGAATAACCTCTCATTACTTGAACACGGTTCTTTTTTGGATTGGCTATACGTGCGCCATCTAAAATGTCGTATCCCTTAACAGTGTTCTCACTACAAGCAAATTCAGACTGATTTAAATCGATTCGTTATTGTTTAGATCAGATTTACCATGAAAAACACAATTTACTATCTCTGTCTATAGTATTTTTTATCATAAGAGACAGTCACGTAAATATATATATAACATATATATATATAATAACATATAACCTATTCTTTTCGACGTATTCAGTCAAACTCAGTAGAAATGCCAGAGAAATCAGACTGCTATTTTTTGACACTCGAATAAGAGGAATAAATCCTGATAAAAATCGAATAACAGTTGTTTAAAAAAGAAAAAAGAAAGATGGATCTTTTCTCACGAAATTTTATCGCTAGTAATTTAAAACACTTTCTTTTGAATTCAGCGAAAAAATTCAACGTACAACAAACAAGAAGTATCAGGTATGAAGTACGCAGTGTGTAAAATGTGCGTTTTAAATAAATATTTCTTTTTAAATAGTTAAAAATATCAACTACTATATAATCTGTACAAATGTATTTAAAAATCGCGTGATTTTTTTTATTAACATGTAATAGTTTTATTGCTTTATATTTATGAGATAAAATTGCAAAAGTTTATAGGTTATAAAACATGGATATATATATATATATATATATATATATATATATATATATATATATATATATATATATATATATATATATATGCCACAATATATTTATGGTTTAGTTGTATTCAGAAATGACAAAAGTTAATGATGAAAAATAAATCATATGACAGTTGTCAATAGAAAAATCACTTGACAGAAATGAGTATTTCAGATTAGCCGAGGTTGGAAAACTTGAAACTCCTAAGTTACAAGGAAAATACGATACAGGTCAGTTGATTTTGCATAGAGTTTTTGGTTACCGTGGAATCATTTTATTCCCTTGGCTGGCAAGAGTATATGACAGGGATATACCGAATATCAAGGAAGAGTACGTCGTATATAATTGTACATAACTGATAGTTATAAAATTAGTATATGTCAAGAAAGAAATTTAAATTATTTTCCTTTGAAGAAACAGCGATGGGAATTTCAATAGCGTTGGTAAAGAAGTCAAAGGGAGGACTCACACGTTTTATCAGGTTCTAATAGATCAAAGAGATTGTCCTTACATAGTATGTAAGATAATATATTATTTATACACATTCTTTATTATATTTATTATAAATATATACATATAAATTTTTTTAATTATTAAAATAAAATATAGCGTGCTCAAACCGAAGCAGTAACATTTTTGGGTAATCATGAAAGCAGCCGTAGTTTGTATGCAATACCAGGTTTAGATTACGTTGCTCATGAAGATATTTTGCCATATACTACCAACGAGAAAACTGCTTTGCAACATGAACTCTTTGATAAATTTCTCACTTATGATGCAGAAAAAGATCCATGTTTTGTTGCTCAAGAGACGTTGAAGGCTTGGCAGAAAAAGAATCATCCGTGGTTAGAATTGTCTGACGTTCATAAAGAAACAACTGAAAATATTCGTATTACTGTGATACCGTTTTATATGGGTTGCAGAGAAAATCAAGCTGCATCCGTTTATTGGGTAAATTATATTTTTTTTTAAGAATCATACATGATATATCATATATGTATATATATATCATATAAAATATATATATATATATATTTTAATTATTATATTTATTTCTTTTTCACAGTGGCGATATTGTATTCGTTTGGAAAACTTAGGAGATTTGAGTGTCCAATTAAGAGAAAGGCATTGGAGAATATTTAGTCTTTCTGGTACATTAGAAACTGTAAGAGGAAGAGGGGTCGTAGGACAGGAGCCTGTATTATCGAAAACATTACCTGCATTTCAATATAGTAGTCATGTCAGTTTACAAGCTCCGAGTGGTCACATGTGGTATGTGATTCATATACTTTTATATCAACTATTCACACAGGCTATAGCAATTCATTTTGCTTTTATTAATTTTCTTTATTTTTTGTTGCATGGAGTCAATCGATTTGACAAATAAGTGATTTAAATATTTTACACTTTTATTTCAGGGGAACATTCAGAATGGAAAGAGAAGATGGATATGCATTCGATTGTAGAATACCACCTTTTTCATTAGAATCAAAAACAGAAGAAACACCTATACCAGACGTAGAGGCATAATATTTTTAAGAAACAATTTAGAAACATCGACAATTTTTCGTATTTCTCATTTTGTCAGGAAAAGCTTTCTCCATCCTATTATATGGTAGTTATCTAAATTTAAAGTTACTTTATTATACATCTTTTATGCTTTTTAGTTTCATTAAACTGTATATATTAATTAAAATATGCTTTTCATATTTTTTAGTAGTAGATTATAAATATAAAGATCATTCTAACATTTTATAGTGATATTTGTTATTTTATCAATAAAAACAATGTATAGTATTTCTACCATAATATAACATATTAAATTATAAATAAAATATTATATGAAACGTTATATAAAAAAATATATAACTAATATGGAATAATAAATATAACTATATTTCATAACGATACGATGAGATTACATCTGTAAAAATTGTATTGGCTGTATTAAAATACGAGATTGCTATTGGTCGATGAGAAAATAGTCCATCCTCGTGATTAGTTAAAATATTAATGTACTATTTAAATTATACTTTTACTAACACAATTATTAGTATTTACTTAACAGTATTTTATATGAAATTATTGTTTAAAATTAACGGTTATGTTATTAAATATTTAATTATCATTCTTTGTTATGTCAGTAACAAAGAATTAAATTAATGCGCATGTGCAGATGTGTGTCAGGCATGCGTAGTAGAGGATTCTGTTGAATGTACAAGAAGAAATGATGATACTTTCTTTGCCTATCGACCACATGCAATTAGAGCGGTATGCCCCCTGTTTGTGGACACGATATACTAGCATAGAACTCTGTGGCGACGCCTAAATTCATTATACGGACCATTACGGGAGTGGATAGAAGATAAATCAGCATTATGGTTGTTTGTAAGTTAAATTATTGCTTATTTTTGCAAAGATATTATTGGATAAAAACCTTATATTAGATTATTGGACATTTAATAGTAATTCCATTTAATTTCTTTTTTTTTCTTTTAAATATTTTTCATAAATATTTAAGGAATATCAGTTCGCATAATATTATAAATATTTAACAAGATTATTTGACAATATATGAACACAATGAACATATTGGAAAATAAATTTATTGGAATTTGTATCCGCCATTTCATATTTCTTTGACTGATCCGCACTAAATTTTATTCGAGATGTCATAGAAAAACTTTTTTACAATGAAAACAATTTAATTCGATCTCATTTTTTTTTAAATTTATTTTCATTTTATTTTGCAAGCGTAAAAATGTGTAGACATCATGATCGATTTTTTGTCGTTAATACGAATAGCCGTTAGAGACAATTTTTTTATCTCCAGATAAAACCCTCTTGTATATTTTTTTGATTATTTTTATCAATAATATTTATAGTATACACGAAATAGGCGAGCATATAATTTTTAATAAAACACATACACATACGTGTGCATTTGAAAGTACAATTGTCTTTGTCATTTGGTTAAAATACATTTTGACGCGTAGAGTCTGAAATACACGGATAAGCGATGATAGGCATATTTATGGAATACAAATCTTTATTCATTTTGCTTATTGATTAGTTTTCTCTTTTTTTCTTTTTTGACATTTTTACTATCATATTTTATTCATTTTTTTTTACTCGTTTATTAATTTCTTTTTTTTTTTTTAACGTCTACCTAATATGTTTTCACAAAATACACTTTAAGAATTTTAAAAATAAAGTAGAGAAGAGAAATGGAGTTTTTTTATATAGACTAATATTTTTTCCTTAGAAGTTTTGTTTAGACTTTCGCTGCGTCTCAAGGAGGAGTTGTATTTCGAAACGCTTAAAAATGGTTTACATGGTGACGATTTAAAAATAATATATCGAAAGTATATGCGTCGAAAAACAAAACAAAAAAAATTAAAAACATGATAAAACCGTAAAAAAAGGACGATGCAGCGAGAGTGAAAAATTCAAAACTATCTAACAGCTCACAAGATATTTTTAAAAGCTGTTATTTTATTTTTATCATACCAATAAAAAGAATATATATATATATGTATATGTCATATAGTAGGGGGGAGCGCGTATAAACAAAAGCAGATCCTAAGTTCAATGTACCAACCCAGAAATAAATATTCTTAATCTTTTATTTTTATTTCAAGCGATCACGGATTTATAAGTTTTTTCTTCACAGTATATTACAATTTATATTATCATATTTTAACGTACATGATATTCTTTAAAAGATTACAGTAGCTTGAATTTTATTAAAATATATTGTTGCAATGTTATGCAAGACCTTTTAAGGAATCTACAAACGAGCATACATATCTTGCACACGTGTGTAATGATTTCCTTTTTTCATTAATTATTGAACAAAATACGACAATTGTCATGTCCTCTAAGATCTTTTATTTATTATTTAATTTTTTATTTGTGCTTAATTACTTTTTTTTTTCTTGGACAAACATTTATTGAATTAAAAAATAGGCCCTCCAGAATATTTCGACCGAGGATTACTTAATAAAGAATACAATAGCATTACCAAATGCAACGTATTCATAAAGTATATTTTATCTCTATTATCTTAATTTAATATTTGTTTTCTTTCGTACTATCTAATCTTCATTATGATTAATAAGAATATCTTTTCTCAACAGCATCTGTCTTAACGCCGGAGGTACTGAGCCAGTTCCGTTCGAAATTTTATGCTGATCCCCGAAACGTACAAGCACAAAATGTTTGTACAAAAACAAATCCTATCGAGGCTTGTATATCAAGAAAAGTTTTGGAAGAAACTCAACATGTTTTCACTCATAAAATTGATACCGAAGGCAAACCTATGACGAATCAGAAAAATTCCGGACGATGTTGGATATTCGCAACTCTAAATGTTATTAGAACTGCTTTTATGAAGCAATACAATTTGGATGAATTTGAATTTAGCCAAGCTTATCTTTTCTTCTGGGATAAGGTTTACAAAATATTTATTTTGTTTCTATTAAATATCTCATTTGTAATTGTATTATATTATTGAAATCGTTTATTCATTACAGGTAGAAAGATGCAATTACTTTTTGCATAATATTGTTAAAACCGCAAAACGTGGCGAATCGGTGGAAGGAAGATTAGTATCATTTTTATTGCATGATCCCACTTGCGATGGAGGTCAATGGGATATGATAGTAAATCTCATAAATCGTCATGGTCTTGTCCCGAAACCATGTTTTCCAGAATCATACAGTTGCGAAGCTAGTGTTCGCATGAACAGTCTGTTGAAGAGTAAACTTAGAGAGTATTCTAAAGTTCTAAGAGGTTTAGTTGCTAATGGTGCTTCTGATAAAGAATTAGAAGACCAAATAATGAAACAGATGATTGTAATTTATAGAATAATTGGCATTTGCGTTGGTATTCCATCGGAAACAATAACATGGGAATATTACGATAAATCCAAAAATTATAGTTGCATCGGACCAATAACGCCTATCGAATTTTATGAAAAATATGTTAAACCATATTATAATGTCGATGATAAAGTATGTCTTGTCACTGATCCAAGACCATCCAATCCTTATGGAAAACTTTATACAGTAGATTGTTTAGGAAACGTTGTGGATGGAAGATCAACACTTTATAATAATCAACCACCAGAGTTATTAATGAAATTATGTGCAGAAAGTATAAAACAAAATGAGCCGGTATGGTTCGGATGCGACGTCAACAAACGATTAATAGGCAAACAGGGTATTCATGATATTAAAGCCTATGACTTTGAATTGATGTTTGGAACTGATGTACAGATAGGACTTTCAAAGGCGGATAGATTACTTTATGGAGATTCTATGATGATACACGCGATGGCGTTTACAGCTGTATCTATCGATGTAAGTTTTTTACGTATATATATATATTAGTAGAAAAATAGTTGTGTTAAAATCTAAATTAACGAGTATGTGTATTTGTATTAATTTTTAGAATGAAAATAAAATTAAAAAGTTCAGAGTAGAAAATTCATGGGGAGAAGATCACGGTCAGAAAGGTTACCACGTTTTAACAGCCGAATGGTTCTCAGAGTTTGTCTTTGAAGCTGTTGTAGATAAAAAATTTGTACCTGCTGACGTGTTAGCCGTATTCGAGCAGGAACCTGTTACATTACCGGCATGGGATCCAATGGGTACTCTTGCTCAGTGATGAACAATAGTCCTTGTGAAAGAAGTGATCTAAGAACAGTAAAAATAGAATCTGAACGGATCATACGTCAGTTAAATAAAAAAAGAGAGATCAGGGAGTTTTAGTTACCATTGAATGTTCTTCTTAAGCTTATTATTATCATCGTCAGCTGTATTATTACAATATTTCTTACTTTATTTTAATTATCTTGAAAAATCAGACAAAGCCAACAAAAATAAAGAGAGTCATCCTATTTCACGGATATTTTCAAATTGTAGGTAAAAACATTATTTTATATTATTATTTTTTTCTATGTACAAAGCAATACTATGTAATAGTAATCTAAGATGCCTTTATAACGACAAACATGAAAAAAAAATATATAAAACTTTCTGGGAATATTGTACGTTGGTCTTAAACTCTTTCTTTTTTTAATTCTATAATTTTACTTACGAATTTACAAATATCGTATGTATATATATATATTGTTTAAAATTTTCATAGCATTATCATCTATACGTCTCGTATATATATATACATACATATATGAGTATATACATTTAAATAAAGTTACAATATCTTAATAATTCTTAGATTTCATTTTTGTTTGTTTGTAAGAGTACTGAAGTTTTGCCCAGATACCCTGGCACATGTTTTGCAGACGCGTATCTTTCTGATCCAACGCAAGTTTGTATACATTTCTTATTAGATGTATCGGAATTTTGAAATAACCTTGCTGTATTAAACTCAAGGCTGCGTATAATTTACAACGAGCAACTAGAAGAGGATTTCCAAGACGCATCGCTAATTGATATTGTTTTACCGAAATATTTCCTGCCATCTGAGCCTGCATAAAATGTACACCTTTATTAACTAATATTTCTTTTTTTTTTAATACTAAGCTATAATAATATATAAGTATATATCAGTAAAAGTACAAAAAACAAATAGAAAGATCATATTTAAAACTAATTAAACTAACACTAAACTATTTTTGCACAGCTATAATACGTTAAAACTGTACAACTTACACAATGTTGAGATTTTTCTCCTAATGAAGAAAATGCTCCTCCTAGCGTAGATAACCATGACATAGCAAAATCTATTTCTCTTGCTTCTAGTGCCAATATGTTTATTCTTTCATTCCTACAAGAGTACAATTTTATATAAGGAAAACGATTCAACGTATTCCACGAGATCTATAAGTCATGAATTTACATAAGTAGGTTGAAAAATTTTGAGCCTAACATAGAAACAATTGTTTTTTTTCGGTTAAACTCACTTTTTATATTTTCGAAATAGAAACTTTTAGAACATTGAAACTTTTTAGAAAAGAAAAGGCTCAAAAATTTTTAACCTACCCTTCCCCAAAATATATATGGCTTACCATTTATAATCTAAAAATTGCTTTTTCGGTGTACGTAATTTCATTAAAAATAAGTATACACAGTCTTGATTATGTGTCATTAAAGAGAAACGTTCTAATAAAACCTGTAACGCAGCTTTACGATAAATATCAGATTTTATCAAATAATGAACAAACAATGAGGCCAAATAAGCATTAAATCCTTTAAGATTTAGGAGAACTAATATGGTTTTGCGTTGCGACTTTTGATTGGAAATATCCGGATTTAATTGAACTTCATTTTCGTTAACTTGATTGTTAAATTTAGTAGCATAATTCCAAGTTAATATAATATCGTCATAAATAGTATTATTTTGTTGTATTACTAGCCTTAATGGTAATTCCATTTCTTATATTATTTTTAATATTAATTATTTCTTATATTATTTTTAATATTAATTATTTCTTATATTAAATATTAATATTTCAAGATATAAAAAGTATAAAAATATTGCAAAACGATAAATATACTTCACTATGATGCTTGATAGTTCGCATGTCACTATCAGTTATTGAAAATATCGTTGGAAACAATTTAAATAATGAATCTCGCACATAGGTTAAATTAATTCTATTGGAATTAGAAATTCAAAACTGATCATTTAATTATGATATTTATAAATTCGATTATTCCAACAATTACGTTCATTATATATTATATATATATATATTAAAATATATTATTATTTCTAGAATTATTTTATGAAATAGTAAATTTTTCCTTGCTATTTTACAGTTATACAAACTGTCACAGGTAACATTTAAAATTTAGTTCTGATCTAACGTGTTATGCAGTACTCCAGAATGCTTTAATAGATATAATTCTAAATATAAAGGATTTATTACAAATGTTCACGAGGTGTTACTATCGTTCGAGTATAGTCGCTGATTGGCTGATCTAATTGCCAATCAACGATCGACCAAAGAAAAGGAAATATCAAGTTTCTGCTTTCATTATAAAAGTACGCAACCATAATACAGTTACATAAAAAACCGTAAATTATCAAACGCGAATATGATGTTATTTTAGTAATAACCATTAGCAAATGACCAATTGTGATACAGAATGTTAAAGGATGGTTAAAATTTTTATTGCTTATCAGAACTATATTAACTGTGTTGTTTATGACGTTGGAATCTTGAAGAGCGGGTTTTGCAAACGTATTTTTCTATTAATATTCCATTCTTTTTTTGTTAATGTTATTAATTATTAAAATTATTTGTATGTACATGTAATAGTTTTATTTTTCCATAAAATATGTTCTTTTAATTCGTTTTTATTTAAAAATCTGCAATATAAAATCAGTGACTTATCGATCAGTTTAAATGATCGATAGTAAAAAGGAAGGTAAATAATTGATAGGATTGTTTATTATTCATAAATTGATATAATAAATAGAAATATCAAGTACACGGAAGAAGAAATAAATAAAATAGTAAAGAAAATCTAATCATATTAAAAAAAAAGCTATACGAATTATTTCTAGGAATATGACAGTGTGTATGTACGCTGACGCGAGCCATTAACGTTGACCAAAAATAAGATCTACCAATAAGGATTCGCGTGATGGAACACACCTCCTTTAAATGGACCAATCAAGGAGTTTGCTCGATTTTACTTTACTCCGCCGACTCAAACGTGTTGGTTTGTTAGAGTGTTCTACGTTCGATGGTAGAAACTTGTTTCTATTGTTCTTCAGTAAAAAAAAAAAAGGAAAACAAATTATAACACACGAGAGAGAATAATAAATTTCATGAAATTGAAGAAGCACAAAAGTAAAGTAAAAGAGAAATATAAAGAAAGAAAGAGAAAGAGAGAGAGAGAAAGAGAGAGAGTGAGAGAGAGAGAGAGAGAGAGAAAGAGAAATAAAATCGATAGAAAGAAAAGGAACGAAAAATCCAAATCTGATCATCATTAGAGTAGTTACTTATCGAATGAAGACAACATTTTTCCAGTAGTTTATTATTTGTTTGTTGGTGGATATACGGGGTGCCAACTTATATTTATTGACAAAAACAAGCTACTTATTCGAGCAAGTCCCAGTAGTAATATTGACACCGGTGGGTCCGTACATAAATCGCAGCAGCGCGCGAGATAGAGAAAGAGAGAAAGGGAGCAAGTGGGGAGTGCGAGGGAGACAGAGAGTGAGTGAGAGAGAGAGTGGGGGTAGAAAAGGGAGAGGGAAGCTCGACGCCCCAGGCGAGGCACAGTCGCGCGTAAGGCCTCACTTGGCGAGAGGGTTTCGATCGCGGTAATCGTTTCTCTCGTCGGCTCTTCGCCTATTCGGACTGTTCGGTACACGTTTGCAAAAGAATACGCATTATATACATACATTCGCACATATACACATCATACATATCTACATACATATATACATACATCATACATACATACATATATATACATACTATATATAAAAAAGGAGAAAGAAAGAAAAAGAGAGAAAGAGAGAGAAAGAGATAGAAAGAGAGTAATGGCGTTTTTGAGAACGGTGCCGCGATGTTGCGCCGGTAAAAAGATTTTAAAATGCGTGCCACTCCCCGTGGTTGGATTACGCGATCAAAAAGTCTCAGCTGCATTGGTGCGATTGATCGAACGTGGATATGCCAGTACCAATAGAGTGACCGGCAGCGAGCAACCGGCGTCGGATCAAGCAAAAACACCCAGACAGATAGATCCGCTAGATTTGAAGTTTAACGACCCAATTGCTGCCTTCAAAAGCAAGACCAACATGGAACTCGTTAGAGCATATATTGTCTATCAAATATGTTCGGTAGAATATGTTGTCGAAAACAATATGCAGGTGAGCATTCATTGAAGTATAACATTTCATATATGTATTCTTTTATTCATCTCTTACTCTCCGTTACACCAAACCGGCACCTGCGATACTTCCCCCCTCACACTTTTCGCTCCCTTTTTCTTCTCTTTCCTCTCTTTCTCTTTCTCTTTTCCTCCCTCTTCATCTTCCTCCTCCTCTTTCTTTCCTACTACCACCACCACCGCCACCCACGCGTACAGAATGACGCAGTTTTACAAGCACCTTTTATGTAATTATCGATATTTGCAACTTTTGAATTCCATCCAATGTTTTTGTTCTATTCGGTCTCACCCATCCGAGTTTGAAAGAGATGAAATAAAAGAGAAGCGAGAAATAGTGTGGAGGGGAGGAAGGGTGATGATGTTAAGGAGGGATAGAGAAGTTTCCTTTTCCTTATTCGACAGACGAACAAACCACACATTCACGTTTCTTCCTTTCTCATGAATTCTAAGCATGGCGAATACTTAACTGTTCCCCTACGAACGTACGAATTATTATTATTTGTTTTTTCATAAATGATTCTCAGTAATTTATGTAACGATCAATCATTTCATTGAATGTATCACATTCTTTTTAATTAGATTCACCTTATATCATTTTCCTCTTAGATTTATCGAGAGTAATCGATTTTATAGTCTGCTACCTACTACGTAAGTCACACCAACTGTCATGGCCGTTCGATGGTCAGACGCTCTACTGAGAAATTTTGAATAAGTTATCTATTTTTTTTTTTTTTAATATATTTTTACATTTTTTATTTTTATGTAATCTTTTAGGATAATTTTTTTTACGTAATAAATGAAAAAAATATATTTTTCTTTTAACATCGCCGAGCATCGTAACTTTTGTCATCTAGCGGATGTTACCTTCATCTATCGGGTGGTCTAATAAAATTATTATTACTACGAAAATGATGGTCCAAATTGATTTTAAACAAAATTAATACCGGAGACTATTAATTTTCATTTCTAAAGAACGCATTTTATTGAGGAAACTAAAATTTTTTTCATATTTCCTATTATCTTTTTTCTCTGTAATTATTTTTCATGAATTGGTTCCTTCTGTTATTCTGAATACCAAAATATTTTTAATAGTATATCGTATTTTTTGTTAGTTGATGTTAGATAAAAATGTCAGAGGAAACAGATGAATTAATTTAATTTGAATTACAAGTTAACAATTATATTTTTTGTTTTCAAATACAATAATTCATATGCATTATTATCATGCATGTTACAATTGAATGAAACAATAGACGTTTTTAAAAATCTTTTTATGACCTTATTCCTTTTTTCACTTAGAATGTTACGAGGAATCAATTTGTGCAAAAAAAAGGTTGATTTCATTTAAAAAAATTCAAATAATATTGAAATCTCGAAGAATAAATTTTCTTTTTCCCCCCATCATATGATATGCTCTTAGAATTAATGCGACATTGTTTAGATCATTTTTTTTTCTTCATAAAATTCAAAGTCAACGAAGATATTTAAAATTGTTAACAGTTATTCGGTCAAGACAAATCGATCAAGGCCATATCTTCTTGTCTCAACGTTGCAGTCTTTGATCTTGCAACTAAAAAAAGGAGAAAAAGAAACTATGCGTTCGCGATCGCAAGATTGAAGCTAAATTAATGTTGAAGATTTTTAACGACACTGTAAATATATTGCAAATATTGCAAAAGAGATTATATAAAGTAGGAAAAATAAAAAAACAAAAAGAGAAATCGATTTTTCTGTTGTCATTCTGTTTAGAAAATTATTCAAAACAAGTATTATGATGAATATAGAGATTATGACGAGGAATAATTGTAGGGACAGTGACCTTTTCTTAGCGGGTAGCTAAGTTAGCTTCGAATTTCGTATGCTATTTATGCGTTAGTACGACGTGGCACGAGCTGTTATTGATTTTGGTGATGTCGCTTATCGATCGCGCACGCCTTCTTGCCAACGAATAGTCCGTCCCGAAGGAATATTCTTTCTCCATCGTATGTAATATATATATATATATATACATTATATACATTATATACATTATATAGATTTTATACATTATACACACACACATATTTTATATATATATACTACGTGTTTTACAAGCAATTCGCGATTAAAAATGGCGCATGTCATGGTGTCGATTGCGACATCTTCAGGCTGGTGGTGTCTTCGTAGAAGAAAAAAAAGTATAAAACATTTTATTTTTTATTATTTAATTGCACGGGTTTTTTTTAACTCTTTAGACTCATCATCTAATTTTATTGTCATGCAATATTGTCTTCGTTGACAATGTCGAGCGTACTCTTATCAAATAATTTGCTAACTGCATATGCACGCTACTCGAATATACCTGCGCGTGCGCGCGCGCGTGCATCATATTGTTTCACAATTCTTTTTAACTAATGCGCTAACTAATAATAACTCGTTTTATTTTAAGATACCCCACGAATAGAACGAGGAGAATGAACGACAATGAATATATTCACTGCGTATTCTGTGTCTCATATTTCCGTAAACTTTGAGAAGGCTAGTTACGTAATAATCGTTATGTTCCAAGCGTGTAATGATCGATACAGTCAGGTATACATGTACCTGTTATTTGCACGTGCGTTTGTCTCGTGTCGTTTATTCGTAATCCACCTCGACGATAATTTACAAGTTGTTATATTCCGACTATATCCTTCCCTCTCCCTTCCCGTAAGTATTGTTAATAAAAACGATTCTAACATTTTCATTTTCATTTGTATTTACATTTAACATTTAAAAAGAAACCGGTGTTTTTATTTCATATTTATAACGTTTATTCAATGGCAGCCCGGTTATTACGGTTCTTAATATTTTATGGTCGATTTTTTTAACCCTGAATATCGATTACATTGACGTTATAGTGTTGATACTGTTTAATTTATCAAATGAATTTTTAATATCATTAGATCATTTATAAAAAACTAGTTTGTATATTTTCTATGAAAAAGTTCTATTATCGATTTGCACTCAACTAGGTGATATGTTCAAGAATCAGCAGTGTAAGGTCTTAAAGCGACCGCGTT